CCAATTTAATCACGTATTCCCATCCACAGAGTGGGCTTTCCCATCATGATTGGTAGCATTATTGTGGCCACGGGCTATCTGCTGGTCTCGCACTCGCTGTTCGCGTGGCATTGATGAAGGGCCCCTGGACAGCCAACCCAGCACTGGGCAGCGTGGATGGGAATTGACTGTGTCGATTTCGGAACAAGGCGCACTTTACCTCGTTACCTATTGAAACTGTACCACATATGCGATATGCTCGTCATGTTCAACAGCTGCAGATCGAGGTGGAAAACCATTCAGAACCGAAACAGCACGACCCCAAAAAACTAGAGAAAGGAATTTCAATAATCTTATAGCCTGTCTATATAAGAGAGTTTATATATTTAAACAGATTCTAAAAGGAAACCCCACACAGAGACAGAACCGAAACGAAGAATATTATACTAGAAATATACATTTATTTTTACACATCGTTGTTAGTGTAGTGTGAGTCGAAATAACAAAACAAAACAAAACAAAACAAAACCAAAAGCAAAACCCAAACAAAAAACAACAACAAACCTACAACAAGTATAAGAAATAAATAAAATACAACTAAATTAATTATTTACAATTAATAATGTCGCTGAACTGTGAAACAATTTGTTAAATGTTAAATGTATGTATGGATACGAATCAAATAAACCCAAAACCCAAAAAAAATATGCTGTACCATAAAATGTACCAAAAAAGTACCATACTTGTCATTAGGTAGTAGTTGTACATACATATAAGGTACCTAAATACAACTTTATATATACTAGTAGATATTGCAGCTGACAACGTCTCGACACTCTTAACACTTTTTCTTGTCAACCGCTGCCCATACGCATTGGTGTGCCACGAAGCACGAGACTCAGCTAGAGTCGAAGACGTTGTAAAAGTGTAAATATTTTGCATACGAGTATTTGTGATATTTCTTTTTTGTGTTTTCTTAATGCAGCAGCACAAAAGCCAAGCAAAAAACATACACGAGCCAAGGCAGTGCATTGAAATGGCAATTAGGAATATGCAGACGCAGTTTGACATTTTGTTTGCATTTTTCATGCATTGACCGTTGTTGTTTTTCGGACAGCTGCTTTCTGTTAGAGTGTGGTGTGGCAGGTAACGCCTATTACATAAATTGTTTGCTTCGCTCTCGGACTGTACTCGTACTGTACTGTGCTATAATGTACCATAATGTGTGTGTATGGTTTATGCTTGGGTAATTAAACAAAGTGTATGGCCATAAAGAAACGTCGTGTGTCTTTGTTAATTAGACTGGCTGTCGTTAAAGGGGGCGTGTGGAATTTAGTTAGCCCGCCATCTACCATGAGTTATGCAAAATATATGTATTCGTACCTAAGAAATATATGTACATCAATATGTACCTCGGGGTTCACTGAGTACAATAATACGTAGAGAGGGACTTAAGTGCAGGGCGGTACTTATGGTAATATGGGGTGCAATGAACCTGATATATTGGCGACAAATCAGCTTGAATGGGCTTGGAAATTTAAATTCGTTGCTAGATTTGTTTACCTGCAAGCAATCTCCACTGTAGCTCCAATGAAGTCCGATTTGGTACTGCCTCATAGATCATAAAAGATGATCCGATTATGAGCGGCTCACCCAGCCCTGTAGTCACCTTTCACAATACCACAAAAATGTGCCAAAAAACAAAAAAATAATTTTAAGACAACAAATTATGAAAGACCACAGAAGGCAAGAGCCAGGCCAAGTACACCAATTTGAGTCAGAGATGACGTTAATGGAGCAGACACCAACAGCCGGTCTCCAGCGGAGCAGCGGGGAGAGCGCAGAGAGCGTGCGCCTGCGCGGCTGCAGAGAAACGTTACGTGATTTAGCTCCAAAACTCTGGCTGAGAGGGAGCAGGCATGACTGAGAGACACTCACTCACTCTCCATTTCAGTTGCGGCACAGACGCGCATCGGGCAGGTTGTCAACGCACTCGCTGCACTCGAACAGCAATCGATAGAGCGAAATATTTACCTACGTTAGTTTTAATTATGCCATTCGTATGTGCTTTGTGTGTTGTGTTTAAGCCAAAGAGACGCAAAACCTAAATTGAAACAGAAATTACACTGCCAAAAATAGCAAGCAATAGCAGAGCTTTCCATCAAAGTAACTTTCCTTTTTTTATACAATATCAAAAATATTTCGGAGCTGCGTGCGATGTTTGCCCTGCATATTAGCGGGAATTTGAGCCGCGCCAAGTCGAGTGGAGTGTAAAGTTTACAACGAAAGAAGCCGCAAATCAATCTTAAACGAAATAAGACAAGGCCGAGTAAAGCTGTAATAAAAAACAAAAACTCAGAGCCCAAGGCGAGCCCAGTAGTTAGCGCTCAGACCGAAAAACAACCTTAACAAACTCATTGAACAAAAGTGAGAGTGATTTCCAAACAGACTGTGGCTGTTGTTGTGGATTTTATTCACGCCATGCCATCAACCGCCACTCACACACATTCACATGCCTATGCATGAGGACCGCCTCGTCTCTGTGTTTGCATATCGAAATCGCGCAAACAAAAACTTGACTAAATATTTGAAATATTTTTGGTACAAATGACGCACCTGCTGCGGGGCAACTGACCAACCTCAAGACTCGGCAGTCGGTCATTTACTGAGTGTTGCGCAAACTTAACGAAAATTCTGTTAACGAAAAAACGCAACACCAATTTATGGCATGAAGTAATCGTTTCTGTGTGCTGTGTTTCTTGTTGCAGTTACCCGTACTTTTGGCAATCTAGCTGGAACATTTAAATGCAGGCAACCAGCTGCCCAAGTTTGCTGACTGCTGATCATGTTTTGGCCAAAACAATGCCCGGGCTCTGCTAGCCTCCTGCTGCCGCTGCTCCTCAGCCTGCTCTACAGTAAGTACAGACAACCGAAAATCGGTCCATTAGATTGCAGCTATCGAAGCCCAGAGGCACAGCTTTATAACCGGTTTGACGACATCAACAGATCCCATCGACAGACAGTCTGTCTCTCTCTCTCTCTGTTGGAGTTTGGTTTGGCTTCAAAACAGACTTTGGCCTGGTCAGGCACCAGGCACCCAAGCGCTTGCCGGTCTTGCTCTTTGTGTCAAGGTCGCTGGATCAGCGATGTTTGGTTGTTCACATAGCTGAATGCGGCTGAATGCCTCACATGGGTTTCTGTCTACATTTTTATAGTGCAAAGTCTGGGATTTATTCTTGATCAAAGTGCTTATGAAGAGCATAAAAAATACATTAGTAAAGCTAAAGCTCAAAGTTTAGGTTTAGGTTTTAGTTTAGTTTTTATAAGAAAGATCTTTGTGTGTGTTTCAATATTTGGGAAATACCTTACAGTTATAAGAGTTTAGAGAATTATTGTCACAGGATTTATGCGTATAATACAAAAGTTTCATCTTATACGTATGACCTTCAATAGGGAGATGTCTTTACACTATTTAAATATATTTGATACTGCCTAACCCTACATGCATCCGCATTGTAAGCCATTAAATCAGTCATCAAAAGCTTACATAAGCAACAGGCCTACAGCTTAAGTGCTTAAGGGCTTGGCAAACTGGTCTCTCATCTCTGTTTATGGCACACGAAATTCACCTAAAATGATTTTTCGTTACAGCACAAAATGCGTCCAGTTTCCTTGTGCCAAATGAATTACCCAGCTTATTGGCCTTAGTGTACTCCAACATTCCAGCGCTCAAGAAAGGTATGAAACATGACTCGAGCTACTTTCTATAATAAATTAAATGATTGTTGAAACAGGAACCGATTCGCGTCTTGGCTTTGGTTTTCGTCTTGGCGAAAATGCCGATTTCCAAGTGCTCCTTGAGCTGGGGCCCCAGAAGGAGACGAAACCCATTGGGGAGCCCAACAAGGACGATATGTCGTTCAGCAAACGTCAGGTGACACCCAGCGAGCAAAAGGCCCTGCTGCGCCAGCAGTACCGCCAGCAACTGAAGGAGGAGGCCGAAAGATTGATGACCTCTACGGAGCGAAATGGGGCCACCTGGCTGGAGAGCTGGTCGAACGGCATGCAGCCACAGAAGCCTACGGCGAAGGGTACAAGTCGTGGTACAATTCGTCCGGTGGAAGAAAGCCAGGCCCCCAACCTTCCGCAGCAGCAACAAATTCAAGAGAATGCCATGCAGCAGCTGCAACAGTTATTCAAGATGGCCACCAGCAGCAGCAGCAGCAGCAGCACCAGCACCACAGCGCCGCCTCCGTCCTATGCGGGTGGTGCCCTCAAACTGGGTGGCCCCAGTGGGTTCAAGCTGCCACCGCCCGCGCTCGAGCAGGACTCCAACGCCTTAAACAATATTGGTCCGGCTAGGAGCAAGAGCGAAATCACAAAGGAGCTCATGGATGTCAGCCTGGAGACGGAGGCTTAGGTTGTGCACAATTTTTAGTTACTAATTGATACAATTACCACACACATATATATGTTTGTGTGTGAGCTTAGGCAATCTGTAAATAGTGGCTTAACAATTTTCTCTGTAAATAAACACAAATCTTTACTAATTAAACAGAATGTTCGATCGGATCGGGGACATTCTACCGATTACGAGAAGGTACACTTATCCCGTACCAAAAGATCACCACATCTACACACTACATGTACAAATTTACACAATTTCTACACGACCGCACGACATCAGCAGTTCCACAGTAATGAGCTTTTTAATGTAAGCAACTGAAATTTGTTAGTTCAAAAAGTGGCCGCTGTCAAGAAGATTTTCTGAAATATATTTGTAAAGCATTTATCGGTGAAGCCAAGGCAATCAACACAGAAAGTTCGATCAGCAGGGATCTAGAATATAGATTATGAACACATAGTCCCTTCTGACTTAAACCAATTACCAATTAAATCACGATCAGTGTCCAATTCAGTAACATACATACAATTCACATGGAGAATGTACATAATGGATTATGGTAGTAGGTAACCGATGGGCAACGGATACACTTGATCATTGAATAAGTACCAATTGGTTTATGGTTTCTTTTGGGTGTTAAGCTTTATTGTGAACTTAAAAGTTGCTTCAATTAATTACATAAATAATCAAGTATAGTACATAGACACGCATATTGTCTATTGTATTTAGCTACTAGCATAAGTATTTTGTTCCTCTAAACTTAACAAGATTAAGGACTAAATTATAAATTAGACAAAGCATTTCGTGCACGGCGGCACTCCATGGACATACAGAATACTATACATCATTTAGGCTACACATACATTTACATACAAGTATTTATGCTAAGTTATAGACGTAGTACATAGAAGAAGTAGTTAGCTTGACGAAGCTAGCTCTAAAGTAAATATTACTTATTAAAATAGTCAATTTCCATATAGCAGACATGTGTGAATGGTGTGTTGGTAGGGTGTGTGTGCGAGAAAGTATTTATAAAAGTAATGTCTTTCGTATCATGTGTCTTCCGTGTTGCAGTGTTTTAGTGTGTGGCTGACATCGTGGATCTCAAATGTGCAGTAGAAACTACTGTAACTTGTGCATATGATGTGTGGTGGGATGCTCAAAAAAGGTAGAGTTCTTCGATACTCCGATTCTTCAACCTGTGCGAAGTTACTTCTCGTTCTTGAGTGGCACACCCTCCTCCTGGGTGACATCGCTGATCTTCTTGCGCTCCGGTGGATTGTTCCACGGCTGCAGCTCGCCCGAACCCAAGATCGCAAAGACGACGGCTCCCGAAATATAGGTGACCGCCAGTATCCAGAACACAATTTGCCATTGATGGAAAGATTTCTGTGGGAGTTATTCAATTAGTAAAGACATATACCCAAAGAGTGGTTAATTTCGCCACTTACATCGTGGTAAGTGAGGGCGCCAACCATCCACGTAGAGAGGAAGCCACCAAACGAAGACAAAGTATTGGCTAAGCCGAAAATGGTGCCACCAAAGTTTGGCGCAATATCCAAGCCATTGCCCAAATAGCCAGCGGTGACCGCTCCATGGGCAAACAGCGCCAGCGAGAAGATCGTCACAGACCAGGTGGCATCGTAGCCCAGATAGACTTGCAGAATCATCAGCAGACCAGGAATGACCAGAGCGAATGTTGTAAAGAGTTTCCTTGTAGCTGTCGTGCTGAGAGTTCCTTTCTTGCGCAGATGATCGGCGAGGTAGGATGAGGCCACCGCCATCACGTACTTGCCCAGATAGGGTAGAGAGGAGAAGAGTCCGTTCTGCCTGATGTCAAAGTGCAGGATCTGCGACATGAATGTGGGCAGCTGATTGACCACCGTGAAGAAACCGAACACGGCCAGGCCGTGGCAGCTGATGATGGCCCAGACGGCGGGCGAGCAGAGCAGCTGGCCCCAGGGCACGTGGCTGGGGCGCTTCTTGGAGGTGGATGTGCCGATGGCATCCTCGATCTCGCGTCGCTCCTCCACGGTGATGTGTGGATGGGTGGCCGGAGTCTCGTAGACAAAGGTGAACCAGCACAGGGACCACACCAGACCCACGGCGCCCGTCAAGTAGAAGACGCTGGCCCAGCCCGCAACGGAGATGAGATACCCACAGACAGGCATGGTGATTGCGGCACCCAGCGAGGAAGCTGCAAGGCGACAGAGGGAATAATTGGCATGGATTCGTTTGGGTTTGTTACTCTGCTGCACTCACCCATCATGTTGGACATAAACTTGGAGCGCTCCATGGGTGGAATCCAGACAGCGGCCACCGGATGAATGGCCGGCCAGGAGGCGCCCAGCATAAAGCCGAGCACGACGCGCACAATGATGAGGACCACGTAGTTGATGTGCGCCGCCAGCGGCGTAATCAGGGTGAGGAGACTGGCCCACAGCATGGAATGTCCGAAGACGCGACGTCCGCCGATCAGTTCGGCCAAACGGCCGCCAGGCAGCTCGGTGAGAATGTATCCCCAGAAGAAGCAGCCCAGCACAAAGTTCGTCTGGTAGGTGTCCCACGCGAAACGCTCCTCGAACACCTCCACGCCGTCGGAAGAGGAACTATTTCCTGTACTATTCCCCGCCAGAGTGCCGTTGAGGGATTCGCTAACATTCGCCGGCCGCACCATGTCCACAATGGCTATGGTGAGATTTACTCTTAGGGCGTAGTTCAGCATGAAGCCGAACATAGTCAGCAGATTGAGTACTTGGCGACATGATAGAGCGTCTGGAAGGAAGAATGGTATGAAATGAAATTATTTCGGAGGTTCAATGGAACTTTCGGGCAGTCACCTCATGCGGCGAGTGTGCGGCGAGTACATAAATTATTCTAATACTCATTTTGTCTGGGTCGCCAAGGTTAGGTGCTTAAAATTCGCGTGGAATATTCCCAAAGAGAATATTCCGACAACAACCGATCGAAGCCCTGATAACGATACATTACTTAATTTCATTAATTTCGAAACGAAAGTTCTTGGAATAATCGAGAACGTTCCCATACATCAAATGCTACAATTTAGACCGAAGAAGCATAATTATAGCAAATTATAGCTAAATTAATATGGCGCATTTATGGCTCATTCTGTCGAGGAACTATTTCTATAATTCTTTAGTTATTGGATATGCAAAATGAAACCTTATCACGCGCGTTCCCTCTCCATTACAATATCTGATGTAATCGCTTGTTTTCTTTACACAATCCAACTCAGATAAACACATTAATTACCCATGTTAATGAGCAAATAAAAACCCAATGACAATAAACTGTCAGAATGTGACCTCAATAGCATACCGAATGGCACATGAATTTGATTTGAGGATCGGCTACATAAGAAGGGACAGGCCAATGGACCTGGACCTGGACCTGGACCTGGACCTGGGCCCAAGCAACACACAACTTGATGATCATTATGTGGCCATTAAGTGTGCTCCTCTGGCTGGGCTGTCATCTCGACTGTCAATGGGCTCTTGGGCGCTTATTAAGTGGCAAAGTGCATTGTTCGGCCACACAAATCTCCGAATACATTTCGAATGCCGTTGAACTTCGATGAACCTCCACTTCAATTCGCGATTCAGCGCGAGCGTGTGTACTAAATGTATAAGCTGTTCGCTTTATTGGTGCAGGGGGGAAGATAAACTGGCTTAGCTGCGCTCTAAACCACTTTCCCATCCACCCATCCATAGTTATCAGGTGGAGGAAACGCTTTTATCGGGGCCAGTCTATCGGCTGTCTGGTCGGAACACGCCCACCTCATTGACTATTGCCCCAATATCATGTTAATGTCATGCAAAATAGCTTCAACTCGTCTAGACATGGCATCGACATCGACATCGACATCGACTGCCTGCTAAGCGACGCTCAACTTCTATTCAAATTAGCACTTGAAAGTAAGCAACCGCAAAGCGAATCATCACAAAACAAAATATGCCATATAACCAGAAAAACGTGCCCGAAATACACTTCAGAAGAAGACACAAAATTAACTGCAAGGTAACTTCATCTTGGACCAGTTCCTCATATATCGGTTCAGATTGGTTTAGTCGGGACCAGAGTTATAGCAATTTGTGGATCAGAGGATCTGTGATTAGCATTTATGGCTGGTGGCTGTGACTGCGGCTGTGGCTGTGGCTGTGCCTGCGGCTGTACGTCAGTGGGAAACTTTAGATCATTAACAGTTACCCTTCTGTTAATTTCTTAGACATTTATCTGACACTTTGTCTCGAATCAATGCTAAGAGAGCGTGCGTGTGCCATAAATTACTTCCATCAACTGACTTCCATTTATCGAAACATTTCCTATACAATTCTCATTCAAATCAGCCGAAAGTTTGCATACTTAGCCCTAAGTTACCTAATTCCAGTTATCAAAGTTAATCTAAGCACATCTTAGTCATCGCAGCAGCTCCTTCCGAGAATTTTAATGGTTGAAACAAGTTTTGCCTGCGAGCGGGAGGGCCGACTACTTGATTAATTGTCGCCTGCCTGACACTGTCTTTCACTTGGAGGGGAAGCTGGCTTTGCTTTTGTTTACCGACAAGCATTTTGGATACTTTTTTGGCAATAAATTATGTGAAGGCTGAAGCTGATGTTTACAACCGAAACCTGCCGGAGAGCTGCTCAACTTTATTTAGGTTTCCCACCGGCGGGTCAAGTCGGAGATTTTGACAAACTCTTCTCGGAATTATAGATTAAACATTTGAGCTGAGACGCCGATTGTGGCTCTGTCTGTCTCTGAGGTTGCCTCATGCATAATGTTATTTGATTTTGGCTGCCTTTTGGTATTGTTTTTTTGCACTGATCTTTAGCATTTATGGGCTTTCGTTTGTACTCTACTTGAAACAAGTTCCAGGTCTGAGGCACAACATGAAAAGGCCATCAAAGAACGGCAAAAATTAAAAATAGCTGCGCAAGTAAATAAACGTGGAGAGTTCCTTTTGTTTTTTTGGGGGCAAACGTGATACTTAAATTACATTTTATGGTACCCAGACGAGACCCAAACCCACAGACGCAGCAGCAGCAACAACAAGTGAATTCCCACGAAAGTTCGTTGAGTGAAGTTCGGGTTCGTTGATTGGAAAAGTGAGTTCAAAGAATTATTTAAATACAAATTCACAATTTATAAACGGAATAGATATGAACATATATTTGGCTTTGAAACGTTTTATGAAAGACGCATATCCGGCACTTTTATTTGACGCAAATGCAAAATTCTAAGTACATTTTCCAACCGAAAATCTCTTTTATTTGGCTGCTTTCTATCTGTGTACGAATCTCGCTTCCTTTACACTCTTTTCGTGTCTATTTATAGCACTGTGGGTACACCACCCTCCTACCATAATCTCAAATCGTCTACGAGTGTGTCACTGATCTCTCTCTCTCTCTCTCTCTCTCTCTCTCTCTCGGTTGCTTCCTGACCTTCAAAATTGTGCACAGACAGGGTGATTCGTGGTGAAAGTAAAATGTTGATCAAGTCGTCACCAGCCTCTAGCGACTCTGATTTATTTTCTCCGCGTGGTTTGAGTGTGTTTCGGGTTCGCCATGTGATCGGATCAAGGCGTTGGAATGTCCTCATAAACCGCGTGGGCGGGCCAGCGATTTGCCATCGAAAATTTTCCATCATTGGGCGCCTGACGTTGCTGTTTATCGTTTTGCAAAATTTGGACAGTTTTTGTCGAGCATCGACGTCACATTATTCTGTCAAGGTGCCAAGTGGGAAATTGTTGTTGCATCGTGAGTTATGGGGGGGAGGGGCGCGACTGTCTAACCCACCACACACGAGCCCACTTTCCAGATGCGAGGGCAGAGTACACTGCTGTATCCATTACACCCACACCCAGACCACCAACTAGATCCAGATTGGTTGCTATAAAATTGCTATAAAATGGTATAAAATGGCCAGATAAGTCGATTGCTTTGGCGGCCCCCGACAGCGCGTTAGCTCTCCTGATGCAACGATTTCTGATGTAAAAGTTATATATGTTTGTGTACCGCACTGTACTTGTTGCATTTATTGCCCATATCTATCAATTGAATGACATTGCCGCCTCGCCTTGCCTTCCGAGCAGCAATTATTGGCTTTGTTTGCTGCCTAACTGCATTTCCGTTGCTAACTGATTTACGGAACTGGCCTCGTTCGATTCGATTCGATTTGATTTGATTTGAATCTAAACTGGTTCTACTTCCAGCGCGAACAATAGCTTGATTAAATGTTGATTTACTTGTTGAATTTCTTGGTGCACCCCCAACTTGCTTCCCAAACCCCTCCCGCTCCATTCGGTTGCAGACATCTTGTGTGTCGTCTGCTCCGCTTATCACTTTTGTTGTCTGATTGCGTTTTATTGTTGCTATTTATTGCCCTTTTCCCCAGCCAACTCAAGGGTCTGCGTCTCTGCATGTTGGGTCTCCCCAGCATTGTCCTAGTTTCGGTCCTTTCACTTTGCGCACACAGAAATTTTCCATGGAAATTTACAATTGGTTCCAAGAGAGAGAAAAAGAGAGAGAGAGAGATTGGGCGCTGCACTTGCCTACGTCTGAGTATCTGTATCATTCAGTTACTCGATTTATATAGATTTACAATGGATTCACGGCTATTCTTACTGATAAGAATTCGCTCTTCCCTTTCCCTCACCGGCTATGACGATAAGTCTTTGGAATTTAGTGCAATTGTCTGATGAGTTTACAGCTGTCGAGTGTGCAGGAAGTGGAAACCTTTTATTATGGCAGGTGGAGCCACGGGCAACGCAGTTGCCAAGTGGAATTTTAGATAACTGAAGCCAGTGCCCAAGCATTTCTTTTGTATTATTTATTATGAATATAACTTCTTCGAATTTAAGTTTGCTTAGCATCCTTTTTGGCTTGTGTTTACTGAGAGTTATCTGCAAGTGGTCTGTTCCCATTGCCTCGCTGTATTTCAGACGTGCACGTGCCTGCTAATGAGGTGCCACAGGTTGTAAACAAGTCTCCTTCTTCCCCCTGTCGCCCTCTATCTCCATAACTACGTGCGCCTATGCATGTGTATAATTTTTATAGCACAAAAAGGGGCTCGTCACTACGCGTTTTATGGGCCCTGCTAGGCATCGGACGTATTGATTTGCAGCGCTTAAATGTTATCAAAATCTATTTCGGAAACTATTTTATGAACTTTGGCACTTTGAAGCCATTAAGCGAAGACACGCGTTGCCTTGGCTAAGCACAGAATGGGGGCTTGACTGTGGAGCAGAGTAAATATTTATATTATTTCTAGTCCATCAATGGAGGCTGTCTCCGGTACTGTCTTATCTCATCAGTGTACACTTCTAGGGGCCAAGCCAGGTTCAAAGTCAGCATTAATTCTCGTTGCTGTCTCGCGCTTTTTATTTGATTAATGCCAGCCGACAAGTGTCATTGAAAACCCGAAAAAAAACGTGTGCCATGTGGAACGGAAGTGACATGGGAAACATGAAATTATAAATAAATGCTGCCTGCAAGGTGCACTCCGAAGTGCCTACTTGGGGCCTGCAAATGTCGCCGCAAACAACTCCGAAAAATTCCAAGAATCGAATGTACGTCAATTAATAACAATTTAGTTTTCTGCTTTGTGTTTTGTTTTGTTTATCAAAAACTGGACCCGACCTCACAGCATGACTTAATTAATGCATATTCAGAAAAGACACAGAGACAATGCCCTGCCCTGGGGGAGTTTTTGCCCACAAGTCAACACAATGGAGTGAGCAACGGCAACGAGTCTACGAGTAAACACACAAACTTTAATAACAATTTATAGCCAGTTATACATGTACATGTACATGTGCATTTGCCTGAGACATTCATTACTCATGCCTGGCTGGGCTCAGCTCGATTCTGGCTTGATTAATTCTGTTCTCCAACTCGATGTCTCTGTTGCCAAGGGGTGAATAGCCCTACGGATTCAACTATAAAATTCAAATGTGTTCCATATATTATAGGGGCATTACACACACACACACAGAAGCTCTGATAAGGGCATTTGGGGTACATTTATTTTGCTTTGATTGTGAAATAGGAAATGGGAATTATTTTAATGGTTTTAAAAGCTTTTTTTTTGTTCTTTTTATAACCTAATTATTTTGTAATTGGTAAAAAAATGAAATGGATATGTCGTGAAATTGGGGGGAGGGTAATTATAGTTCAATTATTTGCCACCATCAATGACGCAGTACACCTCCTGGCTGTCGTTTATGAACACAAATTATAGCACCTTAATCAAGTCCTTCATTTATAATTCGCCTAATGCCATTACAAAACCTTCAGCTATAAAACCAATTGCAATGACAAGCCACTATAAAAAGTCATATAAATCGGTTTATGAATCACACCTGCCCTACATATATCCCATAAGCACCGATAAAGTGGGTTAGTCGGAATGGGGCGTGGGTGTTAATTGCACGAGTCGCTGCTGACTCTAATCGAAATGCATTCTATTTTGTTTTCACTAAATGAAAATTAAAAATGCAATTAAATGCACTCTAATTAGCAGCAATTATTGTCAAGTACCTCCTAATTAAACACGCGCCTTCGATAGTTGTTAGTGGGGTTAATATGGAGTCCGAAAAATCCTTTTAAAATTGTAAAAGTTCCAGAAAAAGTGCGAAACATATTTTCCTGCGACTTCTGGGCCCCTCCACCCTCCATCATTGAACGATTCGCTTGTTTGGCCGTGCTAATTGGCAGATTTGATTTTTGGTTCTAACCGCTGGGCGTTATCGGCCGGGGGTCGTCAAAATGTGCACTCGGGCATACGATGCCGCCCGCCTGGCCAGACACATTGCCCCGCTCCTCGATGTCTGTGGCTGTGGCAGTGCGTCTGCGACTAAAGTGCTAAATAGCTCGAAAGCACGAATTAAATAGTAAACACTCGGATGACCGTCGCTGATAGGCTATTAAAATTGTGCCTTTATTTAGACACAACAACATAAATTGTACACAACCGTACAGACGGGCCGAAATGTACTCAGAAGTTGGTACATGAACTAAAATTTCCACTCAGCCGAAAGTCTGTGATTGATAGAGAGAGGTAGGGAGCCCAACTAACGTGTTCAGTTAGCGTGACTGTGCTAATTTGTTTGCATATTTTACGTGCTCCTTGGAAATGTCATAACAATGGCGTCATAAGGTCGTCCAACTGCGTAGTCAAGGTGTCACCAGTTGTGGGCGTCCCTATCGATGACACCAGAGTTGAGGAGTGTCAAGTCACGCGAGGGATACATAGTGACAGCTGTGGTGGGTATACTAATTTACCACTCATTTGCCATAAACAAAGGAGTAACTGTCTGGAACCGCAATTCAATCTTCTCCTCAGGCAGCCAATTGATTTGTAACCCCAATTCAACTTGCAGTCAAACTGTCAACTGGCCTCCAAAGTGGATCGAGATCGACTAGGAACATCGAGTGACTGAACCTAATCAATTTGTTTATTGTAACTGAGTTTCAATGCGTGCGCGTTGCGTATTTCAATTGAACCTCGGACATTTCGTCCGCACGCCACCTACCGTGGCGCGCCCCAATCTGGGAGCCGTCATGCGGTTATTGCTGTTTGTTATCTAGACGCGCAGAAAAAAGGGGCTCGGCTCGGCTCTACTTGGTTGGGATTCCGGTTGGATACGTTTGGGCTTCTGGAATTTTCGATGCGACCCACAGTTTGGGTAAGTTGATACTGGACAATGTTCTGCATGAAGTCAATTGGTTTGCCTTCCACTTACCTCTGATTCTGTGCAGGCCTCCTTTCTCCGTGTTAGACATGACGCCGCAGCCGCTCTGCAAGTGGAAATATACCAGAATGAGCAACCATTTCAGCAACAAATTAGAGACGAGTGACAGTGATAAAGATCTAACAAAGAGATATTATTGGTCTGGAAAGTTAATGAAACTTTTTCCGGAGTAACTCACGGCTTGTCCCCCTATCGCTTATCTTATCTGAACGCTGTCGTCTCGTGTTTGTACCTGAACGTGTCCGCAAAGAACTTTCGGCGCCAGTGTGGGCATTGTCTGTCCCATGACTCAAGGTGTGCATAGTTATATCACACTGACTGGGCCTCGCGTTTGCGTTTGCGTTAGCTCATTCATAACTAACCGAATTCCCTGTCTCTTATCTGTTCGTTCCATTATCATCGTCTGTGTGTGTCTTCAAATGCCGCCGCCATACGGACAGAAACGAAATTCGGAATGCTAAATATAATATGGGACCGCTACACGCACTCACCCACCCAGTACACACACCCACAGAGACCAGAGACCAGAGACCAGAGCGAAGAGAAACCATTTCCCATGCCACTGCAAGAGAGTGTTGCTCATTTCTTTTGTTCTATTCTGTTTGAATCTGCTGGCGCCGCTATAAATGATTGAACCCATCGGTCGAAGAAATTCGTCGTATGCGATTTCTGCATGCTAATTCCCACTAGACGGACACGTGTATGCAAGTCTATAAGTCAGCAGCCCCAGCCAGCGCCTGGCAACATGTTACCCGAGCATGAGAAGCTTAGTCCCCATCAATTAGCTTTAACTGCGGTTTGTTTTTTAATGACTGACCAATTTGTTGTGCAAATATTTGCAGGCGTCTTGGCAACAACATAAAATGCAAGGAATCTAGTTTTAGTTATAATTGTGCCGAAAATTATATACCCTTGCAGCTAGGAGAACATTAATTGCTGGTTTTCAGTGTTCAGCTCTAGAGCTCGGGTTTGTACGGTTTTTTGGAGCCCCTTTTTGGGTTTGTTACCTGGCTAAAGATACAAAAATGAACGAATGTCAGGTAAATCGCTAACATGTCAGCTAACCGATCCTGCAAAATGGTGAGTGTATCAAAAACCCATATGTGGCACATATATTTTCCTGTTTCTCGTATGACACACCAAATTATTGTCCTTGCCGGCTGACATGATTAGCCTTGCCTTTGCATATTGCCATGTTATTAAGCGAATGAAAAGCGGCATCTGGCAGCGAGAAAAATGTGCGTTTGACTTGGGCATTGACTATATACGACTTCTATATGGTCACATGCTTGTACGTCATCTTCCAACTGTACTTGTTTCGATTCCTATGTACGACAAGTGAAAATCAGGCATAGCCATAACGCGCCACTTTTCTCGCGGTTTTGCTCTGGCCTGAGGTGGTGGGAGTTCAGTGTATCGGGTAAATGACTTATAAAAACAATAATAGCTAACCAATAATATTAGTCATGAAAAATAACATGTAATTGCTATTAAAAAATCTAGAAACAAATGTAATGTATCTTTGTGTTGTTTAGTTTCAACACTTCCTGATACACCTATCGGTTTCAGTGTTTGTTTATCTCAAATATTGTTGTGGATATTTTAAATTGCTTGCGTTGATGCGTTAATTATTTCCACAAAGAGTTCTATGATTTGCTAAATATTTACTTATTTAACTGCTGAATAAATGTACATTTATATGTTACAAATCTTAAGACTAATTGCTACTCGTAGTTCGAATAAATGTAGCGCACACAGAACAATGTGTTAGCAGCTACTATAGATATCGAAAATGAACCCACCTTGCACTGGACGACAATAATAAATTGTAAATGGAAGTTGTTTATGGCAAATTATATAATTTGTTCAACACAAACCGATTAACAATCTGTATCTGAATATAATTATATTTATAGCGATTTGCATAAAAAAATCGAGAAACACACAAATGAAATGCACGTGCACGATTGTTGATTTTGTTTGATAGTTTAGAAAACACTTTTTCGAGGGCACTTTTGACACTAAACTCGAAGACAGCAAGAAACCCGAGATGAATCACACACTACACACACTCCGGGAAACAAAACAGATTTTGGAGTATTGTACAGACAGCTGTTGATTATTTTTGAAACAGAAACTTCTGGCGCATGCGCAGACACTTTTAGATTTCGTACACAGAGTCGAATCGCCTGCTGCCTGCTGCTGTTGTTGCTGTTGCTCTTGGCTGGCTCACTCGGAGCGTTGGAAGTGAACTGAAAGTGCTGCCTGCGCGGCAGCGGCTTTTTCTTTGCTTTGCTCACCGAAACGTACAGACAGAGCAGCGGCAGCAGCGTCGTGCGACGACGACGACGGCGACGAAGTTGACAGCCCGTTGGCGCTTCGCTCGGCTCCGCTCCGATGGGGCCATTTACAGTGTCTCTTGCGTTGGGGCCTCGGCTGACGTCGGCGTCTACGTAGTCGCCGCCGCTGTCGCTGCTGCTGGTTGTTGTTCGTGGGATGCAAAATTCAAATTCTTGCGCCGTTTATTTTATTTTTATGCTGTACCTTATTTTTTGTGTCTGCTTTTCGCTGTTGTTACGGTGCCCCTGTGATTGCTTCTCTCCATCTCTTCCCTCTCCTTCGCTGTTTCTTTCTCCTTTGCTCACTTTCTCAATGCGCCGATAATTATCCAGATCGATCTGATTGCAAAAATATAATTAACGACATGAATGGAAGGCTAGTTTCGGGGCGAAAGCTTTGGATACCCTTGCAGAATGATGATTTTGCTCATGCAGGGAGCGGAGGGGCAGAAAGCTACATTAAGCCCACACTCACTGAAACAATGAAAGTTTAATTAGAATTATAAAATATGTTTGTACAACAAGCAGCAAGATCAAATGGAGAAACGTGTCCAACGCTCCACAAGACTGGGTCGAGCCGAGGCCCTCATCCGCTCGTCGAAGATGGGACAGAACTTCTCGGGGAACTTCTGCTGCAGACACTTGATGACCGTGCCGGTGAGATAGTAGCGTGGTGGCCAGCGGCACTCGCAAGGTGGAATACAGGCTGTGCAGATCTTCTCCATGGCGATCCATTTGCTTCGGGTCAAAGTCAGCTGTGGCGCTAGGACGTTCAGGCGCCAGGGAAGACACAGGTCACGTTCCGTCCAGTCACAGTCGCAGGGCGGAATGCATTCCTTGCACATGACATCCTCGGGATGCAGTTCCGGTGGCTCCATTGGCGGTGCCTTCTTGCACTTGTACATGCTGAAGCGCGGTATCATGCCCAGCAGCTCCGTGTAGTTGTGTTCACGCTCGCGGCGCAGCCACAGCTCCAGCAGATCCCAGTGGTCCAGGTTCTGGGAGCGCTGGCGTATCACCTGCATGCGGCGATACAAATCCGAGCGACGCACCTCATCGTAGTTGACTCCTGTCTGTGTGTGGAAGAGCAGGTAAAGCTCATTCGGCTCCTCATCGGGCAGGGTGATGCTGCGCGAGAACTTGGCCAGCTCGAAGTGGAACAGGCTACGGATGCCATAAGAAATGTGACGAATGTGGTCAAAGTCCTTGATATTCATCGCCGACATGGCGGAAGCATCCAACAGCAGCAGTTTTCGCCCCCTGATCATGTTAACGCGAAAAGTGTTCTAAAATATACCGAAGATGGATCAAGCATTCTGTGTATATCTTGTCTTGTGCCGAGACCTACCATATATTCGGGATAACCATATCTCTTGATCCAACGCCTTATATCCATCTCGTTCCACTCATAGATCGATGGAATCGGTAGCTTATCCACCACACTGACGCACAGTTCCACGAGGGAAGACGGCGTGGCACGAAACTGAATTGGAACATCGTCTAGATCAACCTTGGGGCGTTCCTTGAGAAACTCATTGCGTCGAAATTTGATGGGTGGCACACTGGTGCGTACCTTCTTCTTGAGTTTCCTCACCAGAAACTTGGTGTCCGCAATGCCATACAGATATGGCATTTTTTACCAGCCCTAAATTTGGTTTGCTTTCCGATTTGTGTGTAAAAAAAGAGCAGACTATGAAAAGTATCAAGCAAAGAAAGAAAGTCTACTGTGATTTAACTATTTCCCTTTTGAATGATCCCGTGCCTTACTGCCAGGCACTTCCTCATCATTAGAGATCATCATCAGGCGGAGGGTTCTTAGCCATTTGCAATTGTGTACTCAGTATTTTGGTGGCGGCCCTGGCAGGGTTCATGTTTCCATTTCATTTTGCCATTATGCTTTGAGCGCTACTTCGTAAACAAGCCGGCAGAATCTGGCAAGATCTAAACGGAACCAGAACCAGGTAGAGGCCACAGCGACTTGGAACAGAGTCCCGTCCCTCTGCCGTGTGCGGTTAAAACATCTGTCCGTCAATCAGCACATGCCAAAAAGTGATTTATTATTATTGGTAATACACAATAGATCGGTTGTCCCGACGCATAACGGTCCCAGGTATGTTACCGTTGTCGGCTGCTCGGCTGCTGGCCATGTGCTAATGTTGCGCTTGTCAAAACATGGTCAAGGGCAACGCCAGCGGTACATAATACTTACTCACTTACTGTACTACCTACAACTGTATATACAAATATCTGAAAACGAATATTTTTGTTATTTATGTATGAACCCCCGCGAAATGAAATCGATTCGGGGCAACTGACTGTGTGGCTGACTCATCCGCTGACAGCCGCTCACGTGACAGCCATATTGGAGGTGATTTTTATTTAAACACGTTTTCATGCGTTTTCGAGTTGTTCATTTTGTTGTATTTATTTTTTGTTCGGCAATCAAGCAAAAACCCAATAAACCTCATCAGGTTCATTTATGGCGAACGCTTACCTTCATTAGCATGTGCCCGTCAATTTTTTATTTACATTTATTTATTTCTCTTTTTTTGGCAACAATTTTTCGCCGAACGCTGAGATGACACTTACCGCCAATCTATTTTTTTGGAATTCTTCAATTAGTGCTGTTTGCGTTTGTTTTTAACACAATATTTCGTTTCGGAACTAAACACTTGACCCCCAGAAGGCGCTGGGCATGGCGATACGTTAGGCGTGGCTCTTGCTTAGAGCTATAAGTTCTGTCCATGCTGAGTGTTGATAAATGTGTAATTAACAATTTCCCTTCATCAATTAAAAATTATAGAGCGTTGCTGCTGGTACAATAACTGTGAAAGGGAACCCTAAGGGGTGAATGCACTTTAAATTATTAGAATTTATTAAGAACAGAGGATGGAGCTCTATTCCAGACGCAGCGAAAGTTCGAGTGATGTGGACCATTCGAGAGGAACAATCTGTAAACTGTGTAATTCTACAACAGAATAACATACCCATATTTGTGGTGTTTTCACTTTCGTTGAAAAGACTTTAGAGACGCCAGAATATAAATGATATGACCATGTAAGGGCAGATGATGGCTACCTGCGGACGAAAGCCAGCCACAACAATAAATTAAGGTTCTATTTTTGTAGCTAACTTGAATTACAGGCCACAAGCAGCACCGGCCCCGGCGGACTAGTAAAGGAGGCTGGCAGCCAACTAGTTAGACCTAAAATAGAAGACGTGGCTGTCCGCGAGTCCTGCCTTGACCAACTTGCCCTGGTACGAGGTACGAGGTACGTGGTACAGGTACATGAAAATTAATAATGCAAATAAATTGTTAACTTTAAACGCGCAAATTCCAGTCTCCTTACGGCTCTCCCATCCCAGTGTGGACGCGACAGCGACCACTTGAGGTCAGTTCGATCACGATTCCACATTTTGTGGTCCAAGGTGTTCAAAAGTAAGGTACATATGTCCAGAGAGTACTATTGTTTATATCCAATATTGCATAAATATGAAGCGATTTACAATTTACGTTTACGACTTACACATTTACATTTACATAGTAATAATGCACACCCAGCTATCGCATCACCTTACACAGATACACCTTGGTCTGGGCCATTGTCAGTGCAGCAACCGCGCAGTCGCAGCCGCAGCCGCAGCCTCTCCCAAGATCACGACGACGAGCCTCCTTCTGCGGTTTGGCTACCTCTTCTTCGCGCTGTCAAGTGGCGCATGCGTAAGTGTGCTCTGTGTGTGTGTGTGAGTGTGTGGCTACACTTAAAGAAAATACTGGCCGGAGCTTAATTAATGTTATGTCTAGATCAGCTCACTTTTTCACTATCGTCGAGCTCGTCGAGGGGTGGCAATGGCAGAGGGACGAGACTGTTATTTGGAATTCGAGCTGGTGCACAGCCTGATTACATGCCTGGCACATTTTAATTGATGATCCGAACGCAATGCCCGAGTTTATAGCTTCGTTTGGTGTCTTCTCTTCGTCTGTTGTCTGTGGGCTGTCTTTATGATTATTGCTTTGGCTAGTTATTCGTGTATCGATTTGCTCTGCTCTGCTTTGCAATGAAAGTTGGCTGAAGTTGGACTGAAGGTATTTCTTAGATATACTTAACATGAAGAGCCTTTATGTTAAAGGACAGCGCACTTTTAACAATAATACAATTCTCGCACCATCAGATGATTGTCTCACTGCGACTTGATCTTATCGATGAAGCGCTCAGTTTGCACTTTTTCTTTTTTTTCCGTCTGCGAGACACAATAACAAAGACTGTTTTTTGACGGTTGCATTTTTAATATACTTTATATTTACGTATATTTATTAACTACAGTTGAGCTTCGATTATGCGACAATGTGAATATGAATTCATCTGAAATGTTAGCTAGAAGACCTTTTGGCGTGCACTCGTGCTATCTGTATCTAAAATATTCTTATAATCACGATCAAGTTCTTTGTTTTTAATTAGTGGTTCCTCTCCAAGAAGTTTGACTGTATTGAGTACTGTATACAGTAGAAGCGTACTTTTAAATATTTTTTACGACTCATAAATGCGAATGACACATTAATTTTGCCACGAGATTTAGATTTTATAGAGAACAAGAAAAAATTGTTTCTTTTTTGTTATATTTTCTACAATTTGAAATACATTTTTAAATATGCATGTAAGTACGTTGCCATGTTCCAACTCGATTTCTTAATTTGTCTATTTAAAAACTCCTATCCCCCCTATTCTGTGTGATCTCTGCCTCTTGCTCCTCTCTGCGTCATCAGCAGCACGTAGCAAACAGTCACAGTCGGGCCCCCTTATGATGGGTCCTATGTGTGGGTCTCTTCATCGTAACATATACACGAGTCATCCTCCACATACATACATATACAATGTATATGTATAGCTATGCTGCTGACGAGTGTTTTTCTCGCTTTGCGGCTGTTGCCAACGTCAAAAGTGCGCAGCGTTCAATAAAAATCAAAAATAAATAATATTTGCTACATTCAAGCACCGCAAGTAAACAATTTGAAGTCATCCATAAATACCAATGCAGTGCTGATACAGCAGAGAGTTCAATTTTGATTGACAGAACTGTGTACACAAATCCGTTGAACTGAAATTGAATGGAAGTTGTACCGGCAATGGCATGATCTGGTCGATACTTTGAAGCCAATTGGTGCAGTAATACAAAAAGTTTATTATTTTTGAGTAAATTATAATATTTTCGGCAATTGAGCTCTGTCGAAAAATCCTATGTGCCAGAGTAAGCTTAAAACGAGAGAGTGTAGAAAATATAAAAATGAAATAATCACTTTGGTAGTGTGTTTTATGTATAGTATTCTCATTGATAAGCAAGGGTACAGCGAAGCAGACTTTAATTGGCCAGCCTCAATGAGCTACAACAAATCGACACACACTCCACCATACGTAGGTAAATATATGCACATAAAACTGCTCTTAACTGGATGCTGACGTCACACTTGGACTATTTTTCTAAAGTCCAACTTACGAACGCATCCATCACGTTCGTTATTTGTTGCTGATGCTATAACTGATTGATGAGCCACTTCCTGGAGCTCTCCTATAGCTGGGGATCCGGCAGCGGCTCTGCAGCGCGCATGGAAATTTTACTCCGCTTCGTAATCAATTGATCAAAGATTTGTCCAAGCTGGGAATCTACCAATTAAATGGGGAAAAAACTGGGCACACACAAAATGAGTTCAATTGCCGGGTTAGCTTCTGTGGGCGTGGCACGTGTAGTCATTGTGGATGACATTTGCATTAATCTTAATTGATTAATAACAATTCAAGATCAAAGCCATTAAAAATGCTGAATGCATGGAAGTTAAATGTAAATTTCAAAAATTATAATGTTAAATATGGAACAAAGGCAAGAACTAAACATTGCAAAAAGACTATTTTTGACAGCCTTCTTAAGCATAATTTAAAACAGCAAATGCAATTTACAATAGTTTGTTTTGAGTTTGTGTTATAGTCAAGCCACTCGACTACAATAATCATTATATTTTATATGGTTTTGGAATTCAATTCAAATTTCAATTACCGCTTTCCAATTAACAAATATCGTTTAAATATCATCTAGAAAACACAAACTAGAGTTGTTTATTTGTCAAGGAAACACTGGCTGTTTTGTTGTAGTTTTAATGTTTGGCAGTCTTATTGTCCTTATCCTTGTTTTCCTCTTCATCGGCATCGCTATCGTGCTCATCATCCTGTTCGTTAGTATCTTGCTGCTGCTGCTGCTGCTGCTGCTTTGCTTTGCTTGCCTCGCGATCCCGCTGTGACTTCTCCCAGGCCAGCTCGAAGGGATACTCGAGAGGCTTCAGTTCGTCTGGACACTCCTGCTGATTGGGTGCAGTGGCCTCGTTGATGGACGCGCCACGTGTGTGAATCCGCTCCAGCATGGCAGCATTGTGAGTCTCCGCATTGAGATTAGTTATATATTCGAACAGCTGCTCCTTGCTGTAGATGTTAGGCAGTCCGCGTCTCTCGAAGAAGTTGACAATGTTGCCGCAGTCCCGCATGAGGAACTCCAGGGCACTGGGATGCTTGGGCTCCACACTCTGGGCCACGTCGATGAACCAGCACTTGCCCTCGAACCAGAGAATGTTGTACTCGCTGAGATCGGCATGGACCAACTTGGCCTCGTTGTACAGCTTGTGCATGGCCGCAACAATCTCCTCGTAGGCGCAGCTGAGCTCGGCAGCACTCAGGCGGGCGTCCTTCAGCTTGGGAGCCGCATTGTGATTGTCGCCGATAAAGCGCATGACCAGAACATGTTTCTTCAGGACGACCACATCGGGCACATTGAGGCCAATGTTCTGCATTCTCATCAGATTGTGCATCTCCTTCTCCGCCCACATGTTGATGATGACGCGATGATTTTGCTTGCTGAAACGATCCTTGAAGCGATAGTCGTCCTTGATGTAGCGATCCCGCTGCTTGAACTCATTCAGTGTCGTCTTGAAGATCTTGATGGCACACTCCTTGGGTAGGAGGTTAGGCGCCATCAGCACACCGCTTTGATGGCCATGCTCATTGCTGCCGGTGTAGCTGGAATCGGAGTTGGCGTGCAGTATCACCGCCTCCTTGCCCGTGGAGATGATGCCATTGATCTGTTCGAGTACTTGATTGTTGATCAGCTTGTACAGCAGCAGACGAGTGCTGGCATCCAAGCCCATTTCGGCAGTGGCCACTTTCTCGTGACGATCGGAACGTCCTCGTCGGGAGTAGGCCTTCAACTGGTTGAACACCTGCAAATGGAATTATGTTAGCAAGTGCAGCTTTAACATCTTATCCGTTGCTACCACACCTTGTTGGACAGCTTCATGTCGAAGCCAGCTCCATCACCAGTGGGAAACTCTGGGGGAAACGACATCACGCGCTGGGCATTACGAACGGCGCACAGCTGCGGATCGTGCTTGGTGATCATTTCGCCCTCCTTGCTCATTTTGAAGCCACACCTCGGTATGGACTCCAGCCTCTTTTCGTTGGTCTCGAAACGATCCCAGTCGTGCCTTAGACGCTCCACCTCGTCCTCCTCGTAGTCATCCTCCTCGGTGTCGTGCAGGAACTCTGCCTCGCCGCTTCGTCGAAACTTCTCCAGCGTTACAGTCACTTTGGACTGCTTGTTCTGCTTCTGTTCGATGCGACGCAGCTCCTCGTTGTACTCGTGATCGAATTGGGACTGCAGCATTTGGGCAATGACTGCATCAGAGTCGCCGCCACTGCCGCTGGCCTCTTCCTCAAGCAGGGCCAGCACCTCTGGTGGCAAGTCGGCATCTGCGCACTCTTTCAGCAGAGCCGAGTAATCCTCCCACTCTTCCGTCTCGCTGTTGGTCTTTGCTGATATCGCAGCCACGTCGGAGTAGCTGGCAGTGTCCGTCGGAGAGGCTGCTGCCCCCTCCCAGATGGATGATACTTCTGGCTCAGTGTTCTTTTGGGTCTGCTGATGTCGCTTTACTTCTTTGTTGTGCAGGCGATGGGCATACTGCTCCGACATGATATCAGCTAGACTCGTGGTCAGCACTGGCTCCTGGGTCTTGATCCATGGCGACGACATACTAGCAAATAAATCAATACAGAAATTTGTTGGTGATAGTTTGCATTGCTCAACAAACCTTTTGGCACTTTCGACTTGGTGGATCGGCTCCTGGTCGGTGGTAATTTTGGAATTTTTGACGATTCTTTGAGCTAGTCCGCTGGCTTCCAGCAGCACTATAGGCAGTCGAATCGTTCCCTAATTGAAGACTGTTGATATTTATACCGCAGTAAAGGTGAAATTCACCTGGCGAAGGATTGCAACTTTTGTGCAAAAGCTTTTTTATTGTATTTCGCAATTAAGTTTGTTTTTATTTCACAATAAATTTTTGTTTGGTATTTAATCGCTACAGCGAATTGGATGGTCGCACCAGGTGACCGCAGAATTATCGATGAGAAAACATACCGAAATATACCATCTCATTTTAAAAATATACCGCAAATATAATGATATCTTAAATCATTTTCCTCGACTTTGATGTTCTATTTGATATTGCTAGCTTGCAAAGACTTTTCACACTGAAATAATAATTTATTTCGATTGAACAATGAATTTGGTTCATTATAAAAACTCATTTTTATTGGATTGTATAACATATGACTAATAGTTTAAAAATTTGTATTTGAATTTTTCTGTAATGTTCGGGAAACCTTTCCTGCGCTTAAACAGTCAGAGTGTGACCGCAGAATTATATACCGCATGACCCTCAAAAAAGTTCCGCCATTTATTGTTGTACAAATGTTGTGAAATTGTCAGCAAGTGCTTATTGGGGATGGAAAACCCCATAGAACAAAATATTTATGCGTGCTTTTTCAATTTAGATTCTCAGATTGAGCTATCGATGGCCATCCACTCTGCGTTTTGCAGCACTGAATTCAGTGCAAAACGGAATGTGCAAAAGTATCGATGCCTGGCGATACTTTTTGTTGTACTTGTACATTTTTCGCCAAAAATAATAATAAAAGTGAAAAATTTTTTTGTTAATATATTTTTGTTGTACAAAGGAGAAATGTTATTAAATTAGTCGGGCACCTTTTTCGCCAGCAGTAACGGCCGCATAGAAACCCCGAGTGCAATAAATACGTGCTAACGCTGGTAAGAAAGATGAAACAAAAACGAGACCGAAAAAAAATCAAAATAGAATTCCGAATTTAGAATATGACAGACCAAAAAAAATTTTCAATTCGAACGCATTGCCTCTGCCGCCGCCGCTGCCGCTGCCGTCCGTGTGGGGGGACTTGGGGGTCAAACTTGAGAGGGAAAAGAAACGAGATCGGGGCGACAGAAGTAGAAGCAGAAACAGAAACATAAGCAGTGAACCAGTGGCAGGGCAGAATCGGCGGGCGGCAACTGATTTCCGATTTCGTCTTGGGGGTTTTGCGAGCAATGGTTTCTTGTGAAGATCTGTGCTAATTTGTGCTTAATTATTACTGCTAATCCTCTCCAGCCAGCACCCACACTCCCGAAGCACGCGCACACGAACGTTGAAAAGAATACTGGTGTAATTATTATTTCTCTTCTTTTCGTGGACAGAGGGCGCCTCTCCATCATCATACACTAACCGCCAAACCGCCAATCCGCAATCGCTACTGCTATTCCACCTTACGCCACTAAAAAACGCCACATTCGCCATAAAACATACCAAATAAGGAGCAACGCTTACGCTTGGGGCTTTGGCTTTGGGAACAGTCTTTCGTGTGATAGAGTGAAATGATAAAGTCTACCACAAACATACAGGAACAGCGTCTGCCACGTCCCGAGGACCAGCCACAGCAGGTGCATCCGCCGCAGCCGCCGCCCCCACCGCCGCCGACGCATCGAGTGGCCGCCGTGATAGCCAACATGGACACACTGAAGACCGCCTTTCTGCCAAATCTCAGCATGGACCCCAACGTGCACGTCAGTCCGCACTACTGTCCCATGTGCCACCAGCAGTTCGAGCGGGCCCAGCACGTTACAGAGCACATGCAGCTGTGTCACGGCATAACGCTGAACGCTCAGGGAGCGATCACATCGCTGGAGGCCGCCCAACAACAGCACCAGCATCAACAGCAACAACAGCAGCAGCAGCAGCAGCAGCAACTGAAGCCCAGCTATTCGTGCATTAACTGTGATGAGAAATTCGGGAGCGCCGTGGATCTGGACGAGCACCAGCGAATGACGCACCAGGCGACCGCCTTCCTGGCGCGTTGCCTCGTATGCAGCATTTACGGCGTGCATTCGGCCACGCCGAATCCCAACGAATACAAGTGCACGCAGTGCGGGTCCGTCTGCACGACGTCCATGCTGGCGGCGGGGCAGCAGGCGTTCATGGAGCAGCAGGAGGCGCCCGTGACACCCGACGAGCTGCCGGCCATAGCGCCGCGTGATATGAGACTGACGCCAGAAGAGCAACATCACCAGCAGCAGCAGCAGCTGCAGCAGGAGCACCATCAACAGCAGCAGGAACTGCTAGAGCAACAGCAGCGGGAACTGCAGGAGCATCAGCAGCAACAGCACCACCAGGATGATCTTTCTGGCGACCAGGTGGCCCTCAAAGTGCCGCCGCTCACCGTCAAGCTGAACAAGAATTCAAATGGTGGCTCCGTCGCCCATCCCCAGGTCATCATCAAGGAAGAGCCCCTCAGTCTGAGCGACAGTGGCGATGTGGTTAACGCTGTCCCCGTCTATGCCATTCAAGCGAATCCCGGCGTGCAGGCCCCGGCCTCTGGGGCCGCTACCAGTGTGCTGGTTAGCGCGAGGATCGTGACCGCGGATCAGGCGCACAAGATCCGGCACAAATGTCCGGACTGTCCTAAAACATTCAAGACGCTGGGAACCCTGGCCATGCACCGCAAGATCCACACAGGCGAAGCAGAGTAAATTCCATTTCTATGCGTTCTATGTGAAAAGTGTATTCCCGCCGAACAGCGTGACCAGCTCTAAAGTGTGTAGCCATGTGGTCACACTTTTCTGCGGGACAACCGTTATTCGTTTAGGGAGCAGTCCTGGCTGCAGCACCCAAATGGAACCATTCGATTTGAATCGCTGTGTGATTCGGTTCCGTTTGGGTCTGTCTGGCCTGGAGACTCTCCCCAGCTAACCGTTATATTTTTACCATATTGTACATATATGATTTTTTTGTTTCCTTCGGACCAGCTGGGCGCATGGGCGCGCGCCCCTTAAGCGCCTTGGGGCGTGGGCCATGCGCTCGTGTGTGATGTTTGTTTTGCAATTTATTTTTACATCGACTGTTACTAATAATATAATTCTGATTTTTCTTTCTTTTCTCCCGCGCCATCTCTCTATTTATTTCTCTATCTCTCTCTCTCTCTCTTTCCATTTTTCTGTGCGTTACGTTTCTTCGCGCTATTTTGACAAAAAAAAAAACCAAAACTGTATATCTATGCCAATTCTTAACTCTCCATTCTCCGCTCTCCACGTCCCGCAACTTCGACAGCGCCACGCCCAAAGAACGCCCCTACACGTGCTCCTACTGCGGCAAGTCCTTCACTCAATCGAATACACTAAAACAGCACACTCGCATACATACAGGTGAGAAACCATTTAGATGTGGCTATTGTGGCAGGGCGTTCACTGTTAAGGATTACCTGAACAAACATTTAACGACTCACACGGGTGAGAAGCAATATTTTTCAAATCAAATCAGTCAGTCAATCAGCTATCAACTCAACCAATCAATCGACTCGTCAATCAATCAACCAATCAATCAATCGATCAATCAATCAGTCAATCAATCAAAAATTGAATCACTTCAATAAGCAATACTCAACAAAAAGAGAAACCTCTGTATGCAAGTCCATTCTCATTTGCCATTAATCTCTTACTCTTACTCTTACTCTTACTCTCTCTTAATCTCAGTCTCTGGCTCTCTCTCTTTCTCTCACCGCTGCGCAGGCTGTCAAAGCTCGCTCTGCGCTGGCGCAGCCAGAAGAACATGGCAAAGAGAGAAAAGCACGCAGCACAAAGAACAGTTACGATGATCAGTGCCATATGTTTTTGCCATACTCTTCGTTGAGCAGCCAAAGAAAAAAGAAAAAGAAAAAACTTCACGTTTCGGCAAGCCGAACTTTACATATTCTCACAGAAGAAGCATTAGCAATATTTTTGGTTGCTTTTTCTGCTAGGGTATGCAATTGCAATTGTGATAATCCAAATCCGTATCGCCCGCCGCCTCATCTCATTACGTAATAATATGTCTCGTATGCATTCTAACACCACCAAACCACAGCCAAATATATACACACACATCTTTATATATTATACATATAAAATATATATATATATATATACAATATAATTTATATATAGTTTGATTAAAACGTGCAAAACCCTTTTGATATGCATATTTATACTGTACCCACACACACACACACACACATCAATCAGTCAATCAAACAAAGTTTTTGGTACTGCACGCACCATGACACTTTTTGGCGTTGGAAACGACATGTGCTAACCAAGTGTCCCAATCTTCCTTTCGCCTTCGTTGTTGCAGGTGAGAAACCGTTTCATTGCGGCTACTGTGAGAAGTCCTTCAGCGTGAAGGACTATCTCACCAAGCACATACGGACGCACACCGGCGAGAAGCCGTACACCTGTCCGTATTGCGATAAGCGCTTCACGCAGCGGAGCGCCCTTACGGTGCACACGACCAAGCTGCATCCGCTCTAGGGCAGGCCTGGCGGGGGCCGTCTACCCGCTGTTGCTGCCGACCCCGAGAAGCGGTCGACGACGTAAAGGAGCACCACACCACTCCTTGTGGAGGGTGTGGCGATCAGTGGCAGTGGCAATATACAAGAAGCAGTAGCGATAAGCAGGAGCAACAAACTAGAATGAAAGACCTTTTCAAAGACGACACACACACACACAAACACAAGAAGTTAACTGAAGCGGAGCAACGCAACCAACGACTGGCAAATCTCCTCAGAAGGGATGCTAGATACTAAATTAGATTTTCGTTTTCAAACAAATCAAAGTTGTACTAAACACTAGTGTACTTTTATAGAATCTTTAAGTTAATGCAATCGATTTTTGATTCAATTTGGTTATGTAGATGTTTGCAATTTTATTTTTTTATATACTATATATGAATATCGTATATTATTTTTGTTATTCTATGAGATTTTATATGGTGACTCCTTAGCGCACACTCACGCACCCACGCGGCGCTATATATATATATATACACAAACACACACACACACACATTTATTATATATGTGTATATATAAAGAGAGACAACTATTTTTTATTCATATACTTTGTGGCAATATTAATTTTATCTCAAACTTGTTTGTAAAACGTTTTAAAAAAACAAAGAAGGGAGCACTCAAGTCTACGCGAAAACTTAAATTATTTCTTAAATTATACATTTATGTATTCGAACTCAAACAACACTAAATTATTTATTTTTCATAAAACAAAAACACTATTCGAAATTTTTACTCAAACCATGAACAAGAAAACAAAAAACAAGAACTCAAGAAACCAAATCATTTCTTCACTATTTGCATACGAGCAGGATCTCGTTTGTTTTGGCTTTAAAAACTTTATTTACTTTTAATCTGTTTAGCTTGTTTTACTCAAGAAATGTTAACCATTGTTTATTTTTTTAATTATTTAAGTTAAACGTGTCGCTTTTGTTTTGTTACACTAAACAGTGAGATTGTATAAAACTAAACCTTAAACTTAAAACTAAAAAAAACTATAACTAAATAGAGAACAAAACAAACAACTAAGCAATTAATTTTACAAAATTTTGCATTTTTTAACGCAAGTCAAAAAGTATTTAAGGGCAAATTAAAAATGGAAAAATCTACGCTAAACGCAACACAGCTTTATGCGCCAAACTAGAACATTAAATAAATTTAACATAATCTAAACTAACAATTTATACAATTGATAATTTTGATAAACAGGCTTCAAGTTGTTTTTGTAACATATATACATATGGATGTACTTTATCCAAAAGCGAATCCAAATTCATAATTTTTACCACTACTTAAAAGCGATTTTTAAACAAAACAAAAAACGATTACTTGAACGAGTTGTTCGTACTAAAACAAACTAAAACTGTAGCAAAACCAAAACCATGTACATTTTTATAACATAGTGTTATATAATTATATAAAAAAAATATATATATACTATATGTAATATTAATGCATAATACACTCAAACAAATTGTCTACCTAAAATGGCACATAGCACAGCAACAAACGATGCGCAGCGCATGTAAAACCAAAATAAATTCTAAGTACTAAAAAACTGTAATTTTTTAAGTTTTAAATAAACCGAGATGAGTTGACGATCAAAAGCAACAAACAAAGAAACAAACAGAAACGAAGACGAACAGCTTATCTAACCGCAAAACTAAGCAAATTAATTAACTAAGTTCTAAGTGAATATGAGAATGTATGAGTGTGAATGATAATGGCATAACGAAGTAATCATGTTGATAACGATACGTACTAAATACCAATTAACTATTAGATATTAGCCACGAAAACCGATAACGAAGCCAGACAACACGCACACGAAAGTGAACAAGTGAGTAAATGGAAGGTAAACTGTAATTAAAATGAAGTTTATTATATACATATATAACTAGATATTATTATGATGTATGTATGTACTTGCAATCTAAATTTACGTGAGCGAAACCTAGTAAATATTCGAGCAATATTTCAATTATACATAAATATATATACAAGATGAACTATATATACAAAATAAAGTCCAACAATGTAGAAAGATTATATACGAAAAGAAAACGCTCCCACAAGTTTGATTCACTGAGGCTGGAGGAAGATGTGTTATAAAAGTCATTTATAATATTTTTACTAAAGTATACGAACTATTGCCATTTCTATAATTTTTTTTTTTAATTTTAGGAACACGAGTCATCAGCTTGCTGGAGCACATCCGATATTTATTGCCCACTATAATCTGCAATCAATCCCCAAATAACTCCAAACACAACACTTACAAGATCATTTAGTTTAGTTTATTTAGTTTTTGTTGCTTGTTTTTTTTCTGTTTTAATTACAATGAACGAATATTATGAACACTATCACACTTTTAAAATGTTTTCGGTTTTTCATAATTTTTTCTGTTTTTCTTTTCGATCCTCTTTTGGGTTGTAGTTTCATTTGCGCTGAGCAACTAATTTAGTATGCCTCTCCTTGCATTTTGGTTTTTATTGTAATGCTGATTACATTCATATATGTATATATATTTATATATAATATAAGTTGTTATATATTTATGTATGTATATGTCATATATATTTTTTACACACACACTTTTGATCAAACGCAATCAAAAAGTTGGCTCAAAGTTTTTTCATCAATTTATTTCATGTTTTGGGTTCTCTATAATTTGTTTTAAATGCTCAATTTGTTGCATGCATGTTGTATGTTTACCTAATTTAACCATTTGCCATGTTTTACTCGCTATCTGTATATATTTGTTATATGTATATGTGTATATATACCATATCCCATATAAATGCCCAACGTAACTGTACTATATGTTTTCTATGGACTTGTTTTCCTCCCAAAACATTCTAACGAGCGCATCCAAAAATGTATTGCGTGCATTTGAAATGTATTCACTTTGTGGTTTATTTTTTTCCAAATCTCTCCTACTGCCTTCGAAACAACGGATATTAAACATTCTCTGGGATTCGATCTAAAACTTGGGGAAATCAACTGCAAATAGGAATAATACTTGAGACAGAATTTGTTCGGCTAGTTACGTTACAAAAAAATGTACTTAAGCATCTATTAAGCATTACCCACACATCCTTTCGGATCTTTTCGATTTCTTTCTGTAACTGCCAGACAAAGTCAACAAGTGCCTCGGCTCTCTTGAGTATGGCACGTACTGCACTTAGTATTTACACAAAAGTTTACACCATTTGGTTTTGGATGGGAAAATGTAGGAATTACACGTATACAATATATAATACAAATATATATTATTAGGTAATTAGTAAGATGTAAAGTGTACGATAGTAGTGAGGGAATTTCATAACTAGATTTTAATGCCTATAAGCTCAAATTTACAACTGATTATTCACTGTTCTTTAAAAATGATTTTCGCTGTGCCCCCTCTGCCAAATACAAGTATTCTCAATAATTTATGGAGAGATCTTCGGCTGGGTTAGGATATTCTACGAGTATTCGAGTGTTCGTTCGGTTGGATTCGAAATAATTGGCAAAAGAATCGAGTATTAGTAACTGTTGAGGAACTTAGATGTTAAACTCAAAAGTGTGTAGTAGGAATAGGTATATCAATAGTTTCTTGTCGTTTACTCCTTTTTGTTTTGGTTTTACAAGCAGTTTTATCGTTTACCTACACAGGTGGGCTCTGTTTAATCGCTCTCTTTCGTACAACTTTGCTCGAAATCAATCGAAATCAAATTGAGAGAAATGAACAACGTAAAATCATCTAAAAGTTTATCAAAATTGTACAAAACTCGTCTGTTCTTTCTTCTCTCTTTCCATTTCTCCTCTCTATCCTTTTTTTTTATTAAATAAAGTAATGTTTTTTTATTGTTTGTGTTTTGTGTTTGCCTTTGTTCAGTTTGCTCTTTGTTGGTTTTGTTGTTTTTCTTTCATTGCGAAATTAAAGTAATCCTTTTATTGTTTGTGTTTTTTTGCGCTATATATTTCCTATGCTGCACCCTAATACTCCCATACATATACATACACATAGATATCTACACATACAAACATGTACTATCGTATCCTTTAATACTTATATACAAACCCTTCTTGTCGCTGGAATATCGTTTACTTCCTTACTTCGAGTGAGAGACAATAGAGTGCGAGACCATCGAATGGGAGAGCATTGAATGCGACACGCCCGATATTTCCGCATAGGTATCCGTCGGTCCCTCGGCACTGCATACAGAGTCCTCGGGTGTACGGGAGGGTTCCGCCTCGGTGATCTCAATGTCCTGATGATGCTTGTTGCTGCGGTGTTTGGCACTTAGAGCCTGCGGAGTAACGATCTCTTAGTACGTGACTTAAACTCATTGCAACTAAGTAATTCTAATTCGTTTTCGTGTGCATTCTGGTTAGACATATGAAGTGCTATCTATGGACGGACACATGCACACGCACAGAGAGTGGGGTACGGGAAGGGTAGGACTGGGGGGTCTAGTTGAATAGACAAACGTGCGGCAGAGATTTCTCATAATTTATTTGAGGTTAGTTTTAGGCACAGTCACAACACGCATATTTTGTTAGATTAGCTTGGTTAGATTAGGTTTACTTTAGAGAGAGAGATGCTGACATTCTTACCTTATCTTTGCTGCCCTTTTTCTACATTGAACATTTTTTGGTATTGGTTTTTAGTTGGTGGTTGTGGTGGTGGGATTCGAATATACGAGTATTGTACATAGTCATGACAAGAACAATGATATATATATGTAGTTATATATGTATTAACACAAGTCACATACAATGGGGAATCAGTTGAGAAGTATAGAGACAGAGACAGAGACTGATAGCGAGAGAGAGAGAGTTAGAGGAAGAGAAAGATCTAGGGATAGCTTGGAATAGGCAGCATTAAAGAATATTCAGAAACAATTGGTAGACACAATCTGAGTTCCCTATACCCCGTTCCTTCATTTTGGGTGATGTCATGTACAGTGAGCGCGATGACTACGACTACACTGTGGTGGACTGGTGACAGTTGGCTTGACCCCTGACTCGGACTCACCTGCAATGAGAAGCGACGATGACCCGCCTTGCGTCCACCTCGTCGTTTGCTAATGTGCGGATTGTCCTGTCTCAAGGTCTTGTTCTTCAATATCTCAAGTTGTGTGTACAGTCTGAAAAGGCATAAGTACAGACACATATAACGGAAAAACGGCGATCGATGGGCACTACCTTTTGAGTTCAGCGCGGATATCCTCGGGACTCATTTCGGATATGGTCAGCTCACCGATGTCGGGGTCACCCAGGCAAAGGCCCGCATAGCCACCGCCCAAACGTTGGCCGGCATCGTGTGAAGCACCCTTGAAAGCATCCACAGGTAAACGTATTGATAGATCATACGCTAGCGAACGAACCTGCAAGCTATGAAGATGCAACAAACACCGCAAACCACACTCAGGAAGTAAAACGTAAACCGAACTCAAACCGAGAGCAAGTACACAAGTATATAGAAAGAAGGAGCAAAAATATATAGAGACTCGAAACTGAAGATCAAAACTGTGCATTGGATATGTAGGTGAATGAGTTCTGAGTGAATGAGTGAATGAGTGATTGAGTGTTGTGTTTGAGATGGAGTAGAGTGGGGATTTTCTGCGATCATTGGCTATGGGTTTGTCTGATGTTGTGCTGGAAATGAGATAAACAAAGTTCAAAGGAAATCAAAAACGGTATATAAAACTTAACAGAGTTGGACTTTAGCTATAGAAGACTACACAGAGAGAGAGAGAGAGAGTTTCAGGTTGAGAGACACAGACAGCAAGAGAGAGAGAGAGAGAGAGGCGTGAGGCGAGTGGAAGTAAGTAAATTCTGGGAATGCTAGTAGTATTTTGTAGGTATATGCGTCGTATTGGGGATTTTGAAAGGAAACCGATTTTTGTCATAGATTTTCTAATTGATTTTTCTTGTTAATGTTCGTATTGTTTTTTTTAGCGTACAAAAGACATGCAGAATTCAACAGGACATGCAAAGAAAGTGTGCTGAAAAAAAAAGAATAGCGTGCAAAATCAACTTCAAGTGCAAAGTTCGAAAATGTTAACTAAAGACAAACAAACATACAGTTCAAACATTCGGGGGACAAATAACGACACACTTGCAGCAACTTCATAGCTTGACTAATAATTCATCAAAATGTTAGCTTAATACTAAAATTATGTTAATTTTGTTGTACTCCAAATCAAAAGAAAGACAATAATCAAAACCAAATGAAATAATTAGTTGTTTTTAGCAAAAGCAACAAAGCTTTTGTTACGTTTTAGTTGAACAAAAATCGTTTCCTCAGCAAATTTTCAATAGTACGAGACCAAATACAACTCTATCGATGGCAACGATAAATGGCAACGACGATGACAGCGATGACGAACAACCCTGACGGCGACGGACAAAAGCACAAAGCGCACAAATATGGGGTAGGGGCAGAGAGAGAGTGACTAAAGTGCCGCTAAGTAGAGTCTGTACTCGTATAGCCACAAAACTGCCTACGCTCCTTGTTTAAAACGAAAAATGAAACTCAAACGAAATTAAAAGTAAGACATAAAATTAAAACAAAAGAGCAGCAATCAACTGAAGAGTGTCGAAAACGTTGGGTTACCTGTTTGTGTTGATACCACAGTTTTGGCACAAATATCAGACCCAGGGCAAAGCTGTTTGTCAGCTGGGAGCGGACGAAGAGGGCCAACAGTATGGCGCTGGGACTCATTTCCGGTAGGTAGACAAAGCGCAGAAAGTAAAAGCTGGACGAGACGAGGAACTCCAGCGTGAGGGCGGTGACCAGAAATTGTCGTTCCTGCGATGGGCGAGAGGAAATTACTTGTAAATGCATTTGACCCACTTCGAATCCACTTAGAGTCTTCGCTTCTCACCCGGAACTGAGTGTTGGCATTGCGACTGGCTATGGAGAGGTGCAGGCCGAAGCACAGTATGAGTATCTCGCTGGTCTGCGTCACCAGCTCCCACTTAAGCGGATGGCAGGTGTTGGTGCTCGCCTCGCGCAGACTCTCCAACTGGGCGCTCTCCAGCAGGTCCAGCGATGAGGCCGTGAAGGCGGACATGTAGCACACCACAGCGAACACCATGGCGCCCAGATACTTGAGCAGATCCACGTCGCGCAGCACCCAGCGGTGTGCCTTGCGTGTCCTAAAATCCACCAGGTGTCGATACAGCTTCAGGATGATGGCGCCGTAGCAGGTGATGAATCCCAGCTCCCGCAGCCAGGGCTCCAGCAGGCAGCGCTCGGTGGAGGCGGGAAAGAAATGGACGGCAACCTGTAGGAGAATGAGTTTAGTAGGGAAATACAGGACAATCAGGGTAAAAGTTCACTCACAGATGCATAAAGTAAAACAATTCCCAGCAGTATCGTCTCCAGCACAGTCCACATGCCCGAGGCAATGGCCTGGAAAGTCAAAAACATGAGAAAAGTACGCACAAAGAGTACGCCAGGAAACGCACCTTGCTCTTGCGCTGTCTGAAGACAATCACACCCAGGACGACACAACACAGGATACAGGCGCCCAGGACAATGGCCACCAGTAGACGCAAACAGGCATCCATATTGAGGGCCTCCTCCTCCTGAAAGTTGAGGCACACACCATGCTGGTCGCAGTTTGTGCAACCCCCTGGACACGGAATGCACGAGTAGTTGTCGTAGCCCTCGGACAACTCCACAACATCGCCTCGGAAGCCCTGCAGCGTAGAGTTTGGCAGATAAAAGGACTCCCGGCAGAGGCACGTGTACACATCCCGCGTGGCCGCCGGCTTGTTCTCCGTGAGCAGGCAGAAAGTTGTATTTCGATCGCAACTGCAAAAGACATAACTCATCCATCATACATCCATATGTTCGAAAGGAAACTGTGCTTATAGCTCACCCATGACGACGCCCAAACACCTCCTCCAGGCCATCGTTGCACACATCCTCATCGGCGGCAATAAAGGCAGCTGCCACAATTCTGAAATTTGTAACAAATTGATGATTTCACTCTCCTCATTTGGGGGGTATGCAGTTGCTTGCGACTCACTTGATTCTATGCTCTGTGAATGATATGCGAAATGGCCACAGCCAACGACGCTTCAACAGGTTGCAGTCGCGAAATGGGGCACCCCACTCCTGGGTACCATCGCTGCTGTTCCAGGCCGCGCTACATGAGGAAAGGGAAAATGAATAAATAAATAATTAAATAACTAGTTAAATAACAATAGTTACACAATAAGTGAATTGGTCCATTTTAAGTACAACTTTTTCATAATTTTACATCGATTTAAGTGAACCATTAAAAATGAACATAGAACCAGGAAAAAAAGAGTAAGGCTTGGATTCTGTTATATTTTGACCTTTATATGTTTTCAACCATGCAACAAATATCTTCTTATTAAAAGAATCCAACTCTTCAGTCTGGGTAACTTTTCAAAGGTGATAGCATAACTTTTGACACAGCTTGAATCCATTTAGAAAAATCATAAGAACTTACCCCAATTCCCTCCAGTATGAGCCCAAAAACGCCTTATTATGCACCTGATCTGGTGGTATCTGCAACACACATCATTAATATCGCCGCCCATTTATGGCTGATTAGCGTATGCATACCGTGACATTATCCCTGAATTTTACGACTACTGTGTGTATGCTCGGCGCGGCAATGGCAAAAGCCAGGAGATTCTCATCCTCGTTGAGGGCGTAGCTGGCAATACTGTTGGCCCGACGGCTCACCTCCGCACGTGTTGACTCGTCGATGGCAATCGGTGTGTTGGCATTTGGGAATTTATTCGATAGAAATTCAATAAACTGTCGTGCGGCATCCTCGGCAATGTCGGTAAAGTCGTAAAACTGCAAGACAACAAAATGGAGAAGCTATTAATTGCTTTGGAAATGCTTAAGCAAAACGGAATTTTTATGGAAAATTATATGTAAAAATTATAAAATGTTTCCCAATATATCTTCTGCTGTAAAACATGTACAATTAAAAGTTTAGCTTTAAATTATTTATAATTTTACATTGCTGTTGCTGTCAAATCGATTGATTTTTATGGGTGTTAGCTTTTGTATTGAAATTTGTATTATTTAATTTTAAGTAAGTGCCATCCTAGCTTCAGAAAAGGTTACCTGTTAATGGTACGAATACGAACAAGAATTACTTGTACGCTGAGGAAGGGAGGTAGGGAGGGTCGTGATTTGCCTGGCCAGACCATTTGCCATGGCTTAGGACCCTGACCCCCTTTCGACATTAATTATTCACATGGCGCCCAGAACACGTTCCACACAGACCAACACCTTCCGCATGGAATGCACAAAAAGTTTTCTTTCAGCTGGTAAATAATACGATTTAGGGCCTAAGATGGGGCTAGGACTGGGACGGCACAAATGTTTTTAATCCATGTTTGTTCAGCTCTTAACTGACCAAATGTTTGTACATAATTTACACGCTACAACCGACTCTCGAGATCTACGCACGGAGAAGCAGTGCGAAAAGCAATGGCAGGCAAGGGCATGGCCTACTGGGCTTTGATGACATCATTATGGCTTTTGGAAACAAAAGTAACCACAGCAAAGACATGCACATAAGGGATAGGATGGGAGGGGATGGCTCCCGCTGCCTGTGGGTGAGTCATGTAGCCACAGACATGGCCACCTTTTGGCTTTTAAAACCGACACTCCCCATTAGCAGTGCCCAAATGCGTATACGCTTCAAAAGCCCCAAATAAATTAACAACAAGAAGCGAATAAAGAGATACAAATATGTACATCTCTTTGGGTACTTGTGTAGGAATGTAAATAAGTACATATGTACATTCTGACCATATCAAGGTAAAATATATAAGTAGATATCAGGAAGAACCTCCGAATTTGTGTGTGTACTGTATAAGCAAAATCGTAAACCTTAAGATACCTTAACCAATATGGGATGCGGATCTCTCCTGATGGGATAGCGGCAACAAATCTCACATACATATTTATGTACTTATAGGAAGTATACTACCACCATTTGGGCAGAAGCCATGTACATGGCACATGCATGTGAAGTTCCACTACTTTCCCACTGTTAATACTGAAACCATGAGCAACAAGGCTTTGCTGCGAATGCATATACCCTGGCGATAGAGTCAGAGATATAGGGTACAGCATAAATATGTATGGAAAACACTTGTAAATAGCGGTAACCACAAAGCACAGAGCCGAGAGTGTGTGCAATAAAACATGCATACATATGCAAACAAGAACCCCACAAGGATATGGGTGTGTGTGTGTTGTGTGTGCAACTATGCCAAGAGCTTAGACACATCGCAAACATAAGCAGACGGGTATAGAGAGACAGAGAGAGAGAGAGGCTGGCTGCCAAATGAAATCAGTAAGGCGCGTTTTACTGGCTTTTTAATGTCCATGCGAGAGCTCTCTCCGCATCCACATCTGCATCTTCCGTTGGCTCCCTCTCCCACCACTCTCCCGCTCCAGCCACACTCCCCTACGCACACTCATCTTGCACACGTTTTGGCATGTACAAAATTCTTACTTATGACCATAAAAATATTTACATGGCACATGGTGGCACAGTAACTGTAACTGTAACTGTAGCTGTCGCTGTATACACGGCCTCTGTGCTTTTTCCATTCTCTTCTTCTTTGCTCTGTGCTTTTGATGCTGATGTTGTTGTTGCTTTTGTCATTTGCATGTTTTTCCTCTTATTTTCTATGCTTTGTGCTTAATGAATAAAATATGTCCGACACTGTGTTTTTTGTCTCTCTTCTTATGCGGGGTACTCATTGGAACACAAAGGAATATTGTGTTCCTGCAGTTGTACGCAACAGGCAGAACAGCAATGAATCAGACTAAAGTAATAGTTAAATTATCATCTGTTTGACCAACGCAAAAAGGGTAATTAAATGTCAAATTATATATTTATTTTCATTCTTCACTGGCTGCTCTAATTTTTAAGCAAAGGGTATGTACTGGTCGCAATACTAAACCATCTATGTATAGTTTTTACTCGTTGTTTCTCTTTTCACTTTCCTTTGGTACAACTGCTGTTGACAGTCTGTGCGAATATCACACTGAAGTGCGATTAGCTGTCGGTAGCCAAGGCCACTTGCATTCATTTCATTATTCAAAGTGACGCGGCGAATGACACAAGCTGACTGCTACGGAAGTTTACAGACTGTCGCTTTGGGCTTGATTAACATACACATCAGATTAACATAAATTATTCTATTAAGTGGATATTCATTACTGTTACTTGTTGATTTATAAATATTTATGGACAATGGAAAGTCCTTGAATGGTTAGACGAATTTGCAAAATCTATGAAACAAAACGTAAAAAGATGTTTGTTTTTCCACCAACAAAAGCTTTTAATACTAGATGTCATTCAAAATAATTAAACATCACTCACACAAGGAAATCATCCTCTGACGTACACTTAATTTATCGCCAAAATCTACTGCGTAATCATAAAGAAATCTCAATTAAACCTGCAGCTACATACTATAAATATTAAATTTGAAAGCAATCTTATTTCGCTTGCACTTTTAAAATCAGTTTTATATAAATTTGGCCTTCCGCCTGGGACATAGAAAACAGATTTTTTGTTCAGACAACAGTAAAATGCGTGTCCAGAACATCCGATACAGTAAAGAATATATAAAAATAATTATTAATAACTTTTCTGCTTCAAAGTTGCCACTGGAAACAGCACGCTCAGAAAGACAAAGAGAAGGCTCAACACACACACAACAAAAGAGACCACAAGCCGAGGCAAGTCTGGCAGCTGGCAGCATGGCCAGCAACAGCAAAGTACTGGCTAAACGTGGCAGCATCTCTTTACATGAAATCCATATAGAAAAATCCCAAATAATCATAAACTGCACACCGAAATTCAGTCACTGCCTCGTTTGAAAAGTGCTTGAAAGCAACAGAAACTGGATGGAAAAAGCAAGAACAGTAACAGCGATAGCCACCATAATGCTTGACAGGCATTCGACATGGCGTTCGCCATTGACCGCAAGGCACAGAAAAAAGATGGGGAGTGTGAGAGAGCTGGATGAGAGGCAAACAAAAGCCAGGATGATGCCCGAGCTGGCAACTGTTAGTACGACACGGCACGGCACATCACCGCTCCTGCTGCTGCTCTTGTTTCATGTGCGTCACATGTATTACTTTGTCCCCGCCTAGCCAGTGGCCACACTTGAGATTCAAATCGTTCGCATCAGATAGCAGCTATGAGGATGCTCCATGGCAATTTACACATTTCGCCAGCCATTTGCTCGTTGTTTGTCTTTTAATTATGGCCGTCCGACAGTGGCGTCTCCGATTGCGTCAGCGGGAACTTATTAGGGAATCGATCCGTGCTTGTCATGTATCGAACCTTGTTTACCCGCCTGTGGCACGCTTGAATATTTATAGGATTCGCGTAGTTGGCTAAAAATAGCGAAGTAAGCGAAGTAAATTACCGACTGACGGACTTGCGGCTCTGACTGACTACTTGATGAGATGTCAGCTCAGCTGTTAGAGCTTTAAAGTCGACCCATTGTCGTCCTTGGCTGCAATTGTAATGCAAATTCAATTAAAATAATGTTCTAGATGGGTGCCTGGAATTCTGGCCCCGTCACATCATTAGCATCTTCTAATTAACTTGTTCAAGAATCACCAGAAAGAGGCACACGACAAGGAGGTGGCACAGACTGTAGCACATATGACGTGCTGTCAGGACATGCCGCAACTCTTTCCAAAATCCCGCGGTTTTTGTGTAAGCTCTGCAACCACTCGTCTTCCACTTCTCACCTCCCTATTCAAGCTCCCGAACCAAACTTTCCACAGAAATCTATTTGCGTCAGACATGGGCGTATGCGTAATATTTTTTACGACACTCAACAAGGTAGGCGGGGACGTACACACTCAGCGGAAAGTGGGATTGGGTGCGGGTGGAAATGGGGAGGAGGATTTGAATTTCGAGGGTGCTGATTTGCGTAAAGATTTGAGTCAGCATGAAAAGGAGACTGAGACTGAGGGGCCACAGAGATTGGAGGGAACAGGTTACAGCCAGCACACTATCTATGTGGGTTTGCCTTCTCAGCAATTTTATTGATTATTGCCGCACTTCCCCCCAAGCGAAAATACTTTCTCAACTGTCGCGATGGCAATTCGGAAAATTGTCGCTAATTGTCTTTGCCTTGGTGCAAGCTGCACTCGTTCCCACAATGTCCGTCGAAAGTTATGAAAGGAAAAGCGCTGGCCAAGTCAAGGTCAATCGTTTCTTACTTTTGCTTAAGCTGGCTCTAAGTTATTCAGTTGCAAAAATGCAGCGTTTTTAGTTTAGAAATGCACTTAACGGACCTTGAAGCTGTTTTTTGTCTTTCTCTTTGGCATGAGTCGGGATAATAAATTGGAAAGAAAGTAGTTTAGACTATTTTCGCACCTTTTTACCTATTTTACCTATTTTCGATTTCATCAGCTCTTTATTCTTTCACCCTTTCCAAAGATTCTAGTAAAGGCTTTGACTGCATTTTTAGAGAGCTCATCCGTCCATGCAAGACTAATGTGACTTTACGCACTCTGTCATCGCGTATTTTTGTTGCCATTACCTTGTGAAAGTGAAGAGCACCTTCGAAAAGCAGACAAAAACAACGGTAAACGGCGCCGTTATGGTGAGTGCAGTGACAAAAGCGGACGGCGGACGAAAGTAGAAACTGAGACTGAAGCATTGGCTGACTCAGACGCGGTGGGTGAGCACATTTACAGTTAGACGCTATCGAAGTGCATTTATTCAAGGTGAGGCATTTCCGCACTCCTTCTCCCAGCCCCAGCAAACAACTGTGACTAACCTTTCCATAAACCTAAAACCTAAAAGTCCACATATCTACACAGACAGCTTTTTAGAGGTTTTAATATTTCATCATTTGAAAATTCCCTTTTTTTTGTGCAAACACTTACCGGCTCATCTGGCACCATTTCCAATACTTTTGGATCGCATTTCTCTTCTGGCTTTTTGCTGCTGCTGCTGGCTGCCTCCGCTGCGGCCCTTGCTGTTGTTATTGCTGCTCCTTCCGCTGCAGTTGCAGTTACAGTTGTGCTGGCAGTTGATGGCGTTGTTGGGATGGGGCTACGCTTACGCAAACGTTCTGCCCGGCTTAGGGCAGAGACAACGCTGACTGTGGGCGTTAGCTCATCAAAATCCACAGCAGAGGCATCGTGTAAATGGTACTCCTCCAGGGACTGCGACGGTCCCCCCGCATAGGTGAAGGATGCAGCGACAGCGACAGCACCGCGGGCGGCACTCTGCTGCTGAAGGTGTGCGCGTTTATAGTAGGCCAAAAGAGCATCACGCCTGCTCTCGTAAGGGGAGGCAGTGGCTGAGTGGTGGGCGAGGCCAACTATTAAGAGCACCAGCAACAAATAGAGCGTGTTTAATTGTGTGCAGCAATTATTGTTGTTGTTTATGGTGTGGCTGCTGACGTTGCTGCTGGCTTTGCTGCTTTTGATGATGCTGCTGCTGACGACGACGCAGCTTCTGTTGGCGTCGCTGCAGCCGTTTGATGATGTCGCTTTTGTTTTAGGTTTTGTTCGTTGGTTTTCGTGTTGCTTTTTCAGGTGGTCTCGATCTCTTTGGTTGTTGTTGTAGTTGTTGCTACAGTAGCTGCTGATTTTGCTTTTATGTGTTTGCTTCCCTTGAGTTTTCGTTTGATTTTGGTGGCATATCTTTTGATAATTGTTATCTTTGTTGCTCTGCTGCTGCTGTGGCTGCTGTTGCATTGAACTCTCAGCTGTTTCATTTTTTGACTTTTTAGACTTTTTCGCCTTTTTCTCTATGCACATTTCCATATCACTGATGTTGCTTTTGAGTTAGCCTTTGCTTTTTTTGCTTTTCGCGTTGTTTCCTGTGCTGAGGGTGAGGCTCGTCGTGTGCGTGGCAGCTTCTGCAGGTGTACAACGTAATTGTGGCACAGTAGCTCGCTCATCTGCATAATTGAGGAAAAAAGTTTCGTTTAGTACATACAAATATTCGTGGTATAAATAAATGATAAAACTGTCGTCAAATATTTGCAGTTGCATATTCATGATCAATTAACTGTAACTGCATTCGGTAAACGAATTTATGTTGATTGCCTTTGCATCAAGTCCGTTTCTCCCAACGAGCGTGAGCCTGCTAAATTCGTTTACCGAATGCAGTTACAGTTAATTGATCATGAATATGCAACTGCAAATATTTGACGACAGTTTTAGAAAGAAATAGAATCCAGCCAGAAATAAATCCAAAATTGAACATGAAATTCTATTCCCATCCACCCCAGAGAACAGCCAATTGGACAATTTTCATTGCAGCGCCAATTGGAATTTAATTGGGAACCTTTACAAATATACGTAGTTGTTGCTGCTCTTGCAGTTGCCTGATTGAAGCGAAAACGGTGGATAGAATAAGGGTAAAGTCGACCATACAAATACTCTTTAATATTCAGCTAAAATTGAAGTTATGTTAAGCGGAGTACTTGTCCATATCCTCTGTTATTATCTGCCAAATAATTTCATGTTTCCTCGCTACGCTTTATTTCCTGATATTTTAATCAACTTTTATGTTCGTGTCGTGTTGTGGTGGCTTTTGATGTAATTAAACCACTTTAAATGATTTATTCCGCACAATTGTTGTTGGAGATTTTCCCTCTTCTTCCAACCTTTACCATTTCCATTTGCATTTGCACAGCAAAAGGGAAAAACCAAGAGCGGTCGCTTAGTTCGTTACGTGGCCCCTGGGGACAGGGCGTGGCACTTGCAGCGCTCAAGTGTCGCCTGGCGGTGTGCTACAATTTTTTGTCTGTCTCTGATTCCAGTTTATGAATGAAGGAGGAGGCAAGGCATAACTAGCTGAAAGGCTAGACAACCAACCGAATAACCCGTCAATGCGTTGACAGGCCACAAATTGGCCAAAACATTTCGACGATTGCAACGTGCTGGAAGGCAAACAGGTGTAAAAACAATTTCCGCTAATTGAAATTAATTTTCATTGCAACTGCAAGCAAGAGGGCGGGGGGGCACTGTTTTTTGTAGTTTTATTTTTTTCTGAATCGCTGGACTTGGCCAGGCACAGTCGTAGACAGTTGGCACATGCGCCATAAACAAGTTCTGATTACGTGATTTGGCCAGATGCCAGGAGCAGTCGGAGGAGAGGATTGGAGGGGTACCTGGTAAACTATACTCTCGCAGTGCCAAGAATTTGTTCGGGATATCTTCTGGTACTCGTAGTGAAATCAGGGTAGACGTGGGGTATGTACAGGATGGGAATTGTTCTCCCTGCAGGCGTTTACATACTTTCTTAGTGTGATATTACGAGCAACATTATTATTATTGGACGGTTCTGTTATCAATTAAATCAGTTTACTACTAGTATTATCTCCAAGTAGAGGATGTCCCATAGTCGTTGCTCTTCACGGTTGGTATTCTGTGTGTTTGTGGCTGACTGTTTTCTGCCTGGCTGAGCTCACCTGGCCTCACCTTGACACTCGCTCAACTGCAGCTAATGCGGCAAGGATGCGAGCATGTACGAGTACATATCTGTATCGCAGAGTCTGTATCTAGCAAGAGGGTCTACCCACTCGTATATGCAGTTTTTCAATTAACCAGATTTCGGTCTGCATTCTGTGTCATGTTCTGCTGTCTGGTCGTGTGTCTGTTTGCTGCCTGTCACCTGTTCGGCCCGTTCCACTTGCTGTTTGCAACATAATTGCACAGTTTGTTTGCTGCCAAATCCCAAATCGTTTGCACTTTCCCCAGCTTTGCATTTCAATTCACAGTTTTGATTTGTTGAGGTCTATCGCTGTGACATCTCAAACATGCAAATTTCCATGCGCAAAGTCAGAGAGAAAGATATTTTAATAGATGAATATTTATGCATTTCGGGCAATTATTTTGTGCTTGTGTTTGCAGAGCAAAATGCAACAATCGAGACAAATTGGCTGAGAAATGTCTTGCCATGGAAATAAAAATAAAACACTTGAAAACTGATTTCATTTGCAGAATTTGCTTGAAAAATTCTGACAAATATAAATTAAAATTGTGGCATTATTTCATCATACAAATTAAATAGTTGAATATGCAAGTATTCCAGCAGAACACACACACACACACACACACATATACTGTATATACATGCATGTTTGTAGTGGTATTAGTTGTGTCTCATCAATTTGAGTGAAGATGAAGCTCGAGGCGTGTCCGGACATGAAATGTCTTGTGGCCGGCTCAACATTTGCCCTTAGCGCAAAATAATGAGCTAAAAATAGACAAAAAGCCAGACCGAACAGAGGAAGCATGAAGAATGAAGAGAGAATAGAGAATGAAGAGAGGGCGGCAGAAAACAAGCAAGACAAGACCCGTGGCTTGCAGAGAGCTTTTCATTAGACAAATGTTATTTCGCACACACGCACCACGGAGAGACAATGCGGGGGCGTTAAACAATCAAACAATGCAACAAAGCAAAACACACACACACACACACATTGAGAGAAATGTTTAACAATTAAACAATGGGAGAGCAACAAGCAAAAGCAATTGCAAGAGAAGCAGAAACCGAAACACAAGAGAGAGGGCGAGAGAGAGAGAGAGAGAGAAAAGAGAGCTCGAGTGAGTGCCGCTGACAACGTCGAGGACAAATTGTTCGCCGGTTCGCCATTCGCATTCCTTTGTCCTATTTTGCTTAAATAAGCTCAAGCAGCTGTGCCCCCTGGCAACCCCCCGCCATCGCTGGCTCCTTGGCCTTCCTTTTCCACCGAAAAGCCAACAAATCAGACAACATCGTTTGAAATCGCTTTCCCCCTGAGCCTTTGTCAGGCATTTTCCAGCTAAAAGCTTCGAGTGCCAGTCCCAAAACACTTTTCCAATTAGGCTTTTTCCTAGATACTCGCACACCAAAAATGAAAAAGGAAGACACCAACAGCAGCAGCAGCCCCCTGTTATGGCGCGCTGTTTTTTTTTCGGCAGTGGATGAGGCAGGGTAGGGTGTAAAACCCTTACAAGGACATGCACATTGTTGTACAACAATCATTTTAATCACTTTTCAGGGTCTGGCGCCCCACTTTGCGAGTATTTGGCCCACTTTTTTCCGGGGAGAAGGGCCACTGTTTACATGCGCAATTTACTCAAGTGCTGTCGCCCCTCATACACTTCCCATCTCCCCGGAAAATGTTTATGTCCACATAATCGCGCTTTTCAGTAAGTTTTGCTTGTACAATTTTTTAGATTTTATTCGATTAAAACCAGGAATAAAATGTAACTATATTCCCAAAGTTTCCCATCCATTTGGATGATTTTCCATACTCATCCTCCGTTACCAAATCTAATAATAAATGTAGCCCGAAGTTAGTCACAGAAATAGCCATATGGCGGCCCACACATACATATTTCATGCAAAACTCATATATTACGATTATTCATCATTCATCCGCCCGCCTATGTAAAATATATTTCTTTATGGACAAGCAGCTCTTTGGGTTGTAATCTACTTGGCCTACTTGGGTCTAAGTGAGCTTTTAGATAAAGTCGCTGGCGGGGCGGCTTGGCACGCAAAAGCAGCAGAAGGGATATGCTCTGGGTTCTGGGCTAAGGTTCACTTCAAAATGTCGATGGCTGGGGGTTGTAGGGTGTGTGGGCGCGTGGGCGATTGGGTGCGCCTAATGTTATGCTACGGTATAATTTGTTGCTTGAAGTGAAAAATTGTCAAGCACACTCAACGTTTATATACAGCAACAGCAACAAAATTGAACTTTTCGAGGTCATAGCTTTTTATTGGCTTTGTTGTGGGGCTTCAGCACACGCCACTGAGCCACTGAGACGAAACCATAGCTGGGTTATACAGTGAGAGCTCTCGCGATGGACAGTTCCTGTTCGGACAAACTTTATAGCCCCATTTATCTATGAACTTTCACTGCCATAGTTGTCACAGATCAGCGTGTTTGCTGCTCTTCAGAGAAGTAACGTGAAGGTCCCTTGGGAAGGTTCCTTAAAGCTTTAATTTCTCAGCTTAGCTTCCAACTAAATTCCCATCAAAAGACGTAAACTGGGAACATGGCTTTTCGCTCACTTCCTCATAGCACACACAAGCTCTACTTTATCGAGCTTTTCCCATATATTCTAGGAAGCATTCCAATCCCACATTTACTCAAATTCTCTTGGCTGCTTTCACTGTACGTCATGTGGCATGATGTAAGTATCTAGTGAGCCCGAAAATGTATACGAATATTTTCATGTTTATTTCGCTTGGAGGAGCGTGAAGAAAATGTCTCTCCGATTGCTTTCTCGATTGCTATTTACAAACAAAATTTGTCCATTTGTCCATTTTCCATTTGCCAGTTTCACAGTTTCGCTCTTCACACATAAGTTCGAAATTTCACTTGATTTTATTTTCATTCATTCTACTCGTACGACTATTTGTGCAGCCTCCTGTTCCTGCTCTTGTCCCAGATCCTACTCCTGCTGGGCGTAACTGTGCGCTCGTACAACATGCATCCAATATGCATTTATTGTCTATGTGTGTGTGCAAGCAAAGTGCAGCCATGCGGCAACACAACATGGAAAACGAGTGGCCAGGGAGCAGCGATTGGCAAGGATGTCATTTGAGGCTCAGCCGCAGGAGGGGGACTGTACGGGGGTTGTCTGCACTGTGACCCGACTTTAAGGCCAACACTTAATTGCATAAGAAATTTCAGTGCATAAATATCTTGCAGAATATCCACTCTGCCTCCGTCCCTCCGCCCACCACTTCTGCCTTTATCTCTGGAAAGTGCTTGCACATGAAACCCCATTATTAGGGGGCAGAATGAAAGGATTGATTGCACAGCATCGAGAGGACAAGGCAGGAGATTGTTGTCATCAATGTGGCTTCTGAGGCGAGAGATTCAGTTTACTTAAACTGCCATACAAATATGCTTAAGTTATTTATTGCAAGAGATTAGATTAGTGATTAGAGAATCTCTTTATTTACTTAATAACAATATTCGATTGGGAATAATTAGATCTGTTTTTGGCAGAATAGCTGAATAATTTGTGTCCTTTGTGGTTGGTTGCCCTGCAGTTATTAGTCTTGATTATGATTATTTGTTATTTGGAATTTAAAGTAATTTCACTCTTCTATTCCTTGTGGACTTGGGCCTTCAAATTGCTTTCTTCTTGTGGCTTTGCCGATTGAAGACCCACAAGGAATGTCGCACCATTCCCCTCAATAATTTTCCAGTCAGTTTTCCACATTCAATTCGAACCATATCCAGCCTCATCTTAACGTCTCATTTTAACGTACAATCTCGATTCTGCTGTATCCATTTTACAGCTGGCAACTACTTTAATTCTGTTAATGCTCAGCCATCTCATTATATTCATTACCAAAGCAAACGCATAAATTACGATCCACACTAATTAGAACCACCCTCAGTTCTACTTTGGCACAACTTTTGGTCCGCCTTACTCCCCTGCCTCTGTCCTCATCTATTGTTTTAAGAAACAAACTTACAGACCATCAAGGGGGGAGGGTAAGCAACAGGCTCTGTCAGGCTCTGACCTAACAGTTTTTCCAGGACGAAGGCACTAAAGCTGGAGCCCCTAGCCGTATATCTTAACACAAAGCAACAGCCACATGGCACAGCATAAAAGCGCCATAAAAAGCTGCCCAAAGACAAGCGAAACAACTCCGAATCGGGGGCAATGATGGGGCGAATGGGTGTAACATTAAACCGAACAATTGCTAAAAATCAAATGTGACAACTTTTACCAAAATTAAAATCAGCAAAAGAGAAGCCAAAACAGCCAGAGGCCAAGCTGGAAGCAAGAAGAGAACTGGCATAAAAACGAAATAGGAAAATCGAATGGCAGACACACAGAGGCAGGAAGGAGACAGCTCAATGGGCATGGTGCGAGGGAGTCGAGGAGTGGGAGAGCAGTGGGTGTGATATAGGGGAGAGCCGTATCTACACCAAGTCCGAATCATTGATGCCAAACGGAAATGTGCGCACTTTTAAGAAGTGCACTAAAAATGGCGACGAGCACTTCCGCTGATGGTTGGTCGGGCCATGAATGGGATGCTGGACTCTAGACTTGCCAGAATGTTGACTAGTTTCTGCGATACAGTGGCATGAAAACATAAATTTAAGTGCGCTCAGTAGCTGCAGAGAAGTAAAGAGTTATGAGAAGTAAAAATATAACGAATTTTGTAACAAATAAAAAGGGAGAAGCTGTTTCCTTCCACTTTACAAATAACAAACTGAAGGCTAGAAAACTTTTGCCACAATTGTTGCCACAGTCACGAACCACTGTGAATTAGCTGATTCGTGCAGATTGAGAACTAGACGGGCGACTGTCCGGACTGCCTCTCACAGAGCTTCTTTCAAAGCGGAAAACAGACGAGGAGAAAACAAATGTTCGCATGAAAGTTGAATGATAGCTGAGGGGAGAGTTGCAGGCTCTGGACAGACTGGGAAGTCAGGAACGCGGCACGAACACAACTCGACAGCAGTTAAGGAGCGAATGGGAATCGCAATTGCAGGCCAACTACGGATGGGTGTAGGGGATGTGGCCCATGTTGTCGGGTATGTAAACAAGCGCCGTTCCACAAGTAATTCCAAATTGCATGTAAAGTGCTTTAAATGCTTGGCATTAGCAGGAGAGAAATCGGAACGGACTGCGTGCTGAGGATGTGAACTCGGATGGGTGGATGTGGCGGATGTGGCGGATGTGGTTGTCTCTTCATTAGCGCCACATGGCATATGATTAATATCATTACAAGTCCGTAATGACCTTTGCTTTGCTGTCGACATCATCATCCACATCATCATCAGTGGGATATTCCTTCCTTCCTGCCAGCCAGCCAGGACGATGGCTAATTGCTAATGGCAGAGCAGAGCAGAGCAGAGCAGAACAGAGCAGAACAGAGCAGAGTTTCAATTGCATAACAGCCACTGTCGCTGCTTCTGGTTCTGGAACTGAACTCAACTCAACTGATGCTGTTCACTTGAGCTGAAACGGGCAACGTTTTGGCCTGGAAACAGGCAATAAAATTTGGTCAAAACGCAAAGGCATAGTAGATAAGCGTCAAACTGTTCACACATTTTCATCCATTTTCATCCCCCATGCCTGGAAACGCGCTCAAGCGTGAATATTAAACGTTTGCTTAGAACCGGGAGCTGGGAGGCCAAAAGCAAAGCCTAGTCCAGCCACCCCGCCCAGGCGACAGCACAACTTTGTGTTGGCAAAACTTTTGCCCAAAGGCCAAACTTTCCAATCGAAATGGGAGAGCAGATATGCAAAGACAGAGCACAGTACGGACCGTGTGTAGAGAAACTTCCATGGGGAATGTGTTGGTTTGGTTTAGATAAGCAGCCTGCTGAGATATTTTGCTAGCCACCAATTTGTGTACATACTTTAAATTGTGTATTAAATGTTTGCTCTCTACTTTGCACGAAATATTTATCAATGTATACGCATTGGTATATTTTATTCATTTTTGAAATCTAAGAGCCCCAACTGGTCTTGAACTTCATCGATTCAAGTACTTCATCAGATGTGTCCTGATGTAAAAGAGGGACCTGGACAGCATTACCAAAATGATCAGAGATAATGGCAGTGTAATGCTGCCAATCCAATACTCTTCGTAGCGATTGTAGGTTTCTTCCGACTGAAGCCGATAGCCGCACAGTATTATGCGCATCATGAGCATGATGACGGTCTCCAATGGCTGCCAAAACACACTCATGCTGAGGTACAGCACAAAGATCGATATAATGAGCTCGTAGATGAATATATACAGCCAGCATGCCGTATAGAGAATTGGCGGGGGCAACTCCACTTTGTTGCCAATCAGATCCAGCACGCCTATGAAGACCAGCATCGAGGGCATCATGGGTTTGACAGCATTCAGTTCATGAAATGGATCTTGCCCTACCCATTGATAGAAAAGATACATCAGGGCAGCAATGGCGACAGAATACCACGATGCCATAGCTATGCAGTGGCTAAGTAAATACAGGAGCAATTTTTGGACAATTTTCATTCACACTTACGTAATGGTAAAACTGAATTTACCCTTGAAATTTGTTGATGATTAATTATTTTCTATTATGTATCTTAATTGTTATTTGTATGTATAATTTATTGTCAAAAGGTTACTATGATATGCTTCATTTCTTTCTAGATTTTCTCTTGATTTCCATGTCATAGAAGTTTCCCAAAAATTTGCTGAAAATTCCTCAAGATTGTTTATTCCTTGTCGAATTTTCTGTTTCCTTTTTTTTCTCAAATCACCAGCGACAATTTTGTGCGGTGCACACAGACACAGACACACGCACACCTACACCCATACATTTTCCCAAATTCAGGGGAAGAAGCGCTTCTCTCTTTTCTCTCATTTGGTTTGATTTAAAAAGGTAAACGGACTACCTTGAATGGCAAATGTTTGGCTGGGGTATACACTCTGGTCACTCTGGTTTTGATCTTTGCAGCGTAATAATTTCCCCTACGCAGTCCGTTGCTAATCACAGAGCGCGTCCTTGAAAGCCCAGCCCCTGCCGCCCAGTAAAACCGAAAAAATTGAATTCCATTCAATGCAGTTGGCAGCTCTTTAAATCATAAATCGGTTGGATGGAGGGGGTGGCCAGTGGAATGCAGGGCAATGCGGTACATTAATATGCAAAGCACGCGGCACGTCATTAGTGGAGGGGGCTGGGGCGTGAGGAAGTGAGTCAGCATAATGAATTATGCCACGCCTAACGAGTATACAGCAGCCAGCATGGCGCTGTCCTGACTGCAGGTCCTTGTACCGCTCTCCATCTCACTCTCTCTCTCTCTCTCTCTCTCTTTACCGTTTTGTGGGCGCGCCAGAGAAATCCAATAAAAATTCAATAAATTCCCCACAATTCCCGTTATGCTAGGCAATGCTGTGTGCTCGCGTGAGTGCGAGTGGGTGAGGGAGTTAAGGCATTGCACGTGGGGCTAAGCGAAGAATAGGCCTGGCCACACTACACAAGCGAAGTTCCGTTGCTGCTGCTCCACGTCCGAGGAGAGGGCACATAAATACAGTGGAGCTTCTTTAATATGTAGCCCAGTTCCATTGGGATTTTATACGCCTGACTGGCAATTTTCTGTTCTGTTTTAGTTTCCAAACTCAAACAAAATATATTTACATATTGAAATTGTTCTGTATAACCCATACTAAAACTACTATATAAATGGAGCTTTCACGTATGAGAAGTATGTCTGTAATTTACTTTTCAATTTTCTTAGCATTGTGGGGTCTGCGTGGAGGTCTGCGTGGGCGGAGCCTATAAATAGACAATGGCAAATGCCAAAAGAGACAACCGGAAGTCGTAGGAGACGATGATATATGTATGTGTAGAAAATTATCCTAGAAAGTGTGGGACGGTCTTAGACCAAAGTTGAAAATATGAACAAAAGTAGATGGTGCTAAAGCTTTGCCGCCTTCGCTGGATATATTTTTAAAGCAAGAACAAACACTGAAAACTGGCCTTAAATTCAGTCCTTTAACATGATATTCTGTTCAGCGAGTGGTTTGAAGTAATTCGAGTTCCTCGGCGAGTGCGATTAAAGTTAACGAGAAGAGCCTGAGGGAATTTAATTTATTTCCCCATAGGCAGACATCATCAGAAACTGCTCGACAGATACAACAAATTTGCCTCTTCTAAGAAAAGCTAAAGAAAATGCTTTGGAGATTATTTTACACAATCATAGATCCCCAATCCCTTATAGCCCAGATGGATATTCACCCCCTCTCGTGCACCCCACAGAGCAGGAATATTAAATTTCATAAAAATGGCTTGTGCAGCTTCCCTGTCACAGGCTCGCCAGCTGCTGGGCGTAATTAATTTACGAGAAAATAGGGTTAATATAGCGAAGGGCATAGCACTCAGACGCGTACTTGTGCTCGTACACTTGAAGAGATGATGGCCCGAGATGAACGGGTCTCCGTTTCATATCAGAGTCGAGCTGCCGTGCTCGCTCATGTCAACACAGTCATCAACTGGCTGTCGCTTAAATTGCTGTCACTGCTGCGGACGCGGTCTGGCTGGGCTCGACCTTTTTCCTTCCTTTTTCGAGATGCCTTCAGGCAAATGATGCCTATTTGATCAGGGCCAAAGGATAAACAAAACGAGCGAGCGAGCAAGCAACGCAGCAAAAAAGAAATATGCACCCGACTTGGATGCGACGAATATGGAATACACTTTTCCCAGCACCCATCCCATCAGACTTATCCTCATTGGTAAGGGCATACCAAAATAGCAGGAATAAAATGGATAAAAAATTAAAACGAATGCAAAAAGGAAAACGAAAAGCATGAAAGGAAAGGCAAATGGTTTGCGCTGTTCTGTTCTGCTCTGGGGGAAGTCAGTAAGACAACAACGACATACTAACCTAAAGTAATATGGCCCGGGTCAGCAGTTGGCAGTTACGCCTTTTCCATGGTTAACCAATTCAGTTTCTTGATGTTGTAGATGGGTATTTCCGTCTGGTTTGTTGTTGCTGTTGCTGTTGCTGTTGCTGGTGTCGCTTTCTATGTAAATTTTTATGAGCGCGCGCATCAAATAATATTAATACCAGAAATTCTTGTTGATTTTTGTTGATTTTTCTGCTTTTCTTGTTCGTTGAATTGGATTGGTTTGGATTGGATTGTTGCAGTTGATTTAGCGCTGGTTTAAGCCGGGCTATGGCAGAGCGTTCGGTTTCGTGAGATAGTTTTTTGCTGACAAATTAAATTATGCGCCACATTCTTCAGTTGCTATTTTTGTTTCATATTTCTATTGATTTGTATATTAAATTTAATTTGGTTTTGCGTTAGTGGGTGGGACATTTCATCAGAAAAAGAGAGCCTAATCAAATTGGAGCACAACATGGAAAGCACACGATCAACCATTTATCAGTATTAAATCGAACTGTTTTTAAGCATTTATGTCAAAACAATGTACATAAATTTACATATTGATTATAATCCATAAATCCTATGGCTTAACCAGTAACTCCGATACTGCTCACAAAAATAAACAATTTTTTTTTTATGATCCACGTTCGGGCGGTTAAATCAAGCAATCAATATATGTATTTACGTATCTTTATTGCTGGCCAGCAGCAGCTACCCCAAGTATGCAATCAAAAGTTTTTGGGATTGCAATTTCTATGAATTTTCTGCGGAAACTTTTTCTTGCAGATTTTTTATTTGTTCTATTTTGGACCAATTTTGAGCGGAGTTTTTTGTTCGAGAAAATTAAAAGAAAAATTTGATACTCCTCAAGTCTAGAAATAAAAACTTCTTTGATTGCAGTCAAAAAAGTTTTCGTACGAAATTTCATAAATGAAAATATTAAAGTTTCCTCCATGCACTTCTGCACAAAGTGGAAATATTTTAGCTGAATTATATTTCTTAAGCGGAAATTCGTAGACCGTCAGAATCGGATTTCTCTGAACAAATGTAATACATAAATTTTGTTAAATAATTTAACTAAAAATCCTTAAGATGTACATTTGTGTGTAATTTCTGGATTATGGTACAAAAATAAAAATATTTCAGCACTTGGACAAAGTTTATTAAAGCAAACCAGAAGCTGAGGCAAAAGGAAGAGCCATAAAAACGCAGGCATCGAAACTTTTCTCGGATTAAATAAAATCCTACGGCTCCTTTGCATGCACCGTCGGCTGCTTCCCTTTTAGTCTCCCTCTGACAGCTCCTTCAATTCTTTGCTGCTGCCCTAGCCGCTGCCGGCGACTCGTATTTCTGCTTGTACTTATGCACACATACATACATAAATACACACACTCATGAGAAAAGCCAGGCGTCGCCTGGCCAAAACAAGCGCGTGTTAGCTGCTGCTGCTGCTGCTGCGGCTACTGCTGCTCCTGCTGCTTCTTCTGCTGCTTCTTCTGCTGCTTTCAAAATAACTCTAGGATACACAAAAAGACATCCTGTGGCCTCGAATGTGTGTGTGTTGGTGTGTCTGCGTGTGTGTGTATGCGCGAAGCACACAAAGGTGAAACTTTAGCCAGCAAGAGCTTCTTGTTGTTGTTGTCGCCGTCGCTACCACGGCTGGTCTGCTGTCGCTACTTTGACGCTGCTAGGAATGTTGATAACTCTGGTAGTACAAAGCGTTTGCCTGACAAATTAACGATGGATGGCTGGGCAAACGAATGGAAACGAACGGTAACGAACGTAGGCAAAATGCACGAGAAATGCGTATAAAAATATATTTTGGTCATAAATTAAATGATTTGCACACTGTAGCCGGGTTGAGTCGGGTTTAACGGGAACGGGCAGCCAGCACGCGCGCAAAACTAACGAAGCGGGTCATGGCAGCGTTGAGCGGCGCCAGCAGAGGCAGCAGCATAAAACAGCAGCAGCTTACGTACATACACTCACAAAAACATAGGCAGCATGTTTTTGCGTGTGTGTGCGCGTCGCAATGGACGTGTATTAATGCCGCCGCACTAAGCGCGCAAAAACCGACAGATACACGAGCATTTAACACCCAAAAAATGCGTGGCGCATGCTGAAAAGAGAGCAGCAAAGCGCTGCCCTCCTCCATAAAAAGGAACTGTTGAAACGGCACTTGGATATTACACGCTGCATTTGATTTTTCTTCAATTGAATTACACTTTTATTCGATTATTGCGGTGTGCATTTCACATACTCCTTTGGATTTAAGCAAAAATTATTTCAATTTTATTGTTAGGCACTGGTTCAACTGGAATCTCCTGCTGCTGCCACACAAAAGCGGAGTGTGCGTAAGCTCACGTTTAACTCAACTGAGAAGGACTTTTTCTATGCTCAGCGAACAGGATGTGGACCTGGCATAACTGGGGGTACAACTTACGGTCATCCCCTTCGGTGGCCAGGCTCTCTCTCACTCTCTCTCTCTCTTAACTGTACGCAAGCGCAGCGAGCGCCGCCCTCTCTTAAGAGGACTTATTTTGAGACACATAGCGAGTCCTTACCCAATGTAGAGGCCTTGATATTAGCTTTTGCCACTGGACTCGCGTTCACGCTTTCCAACAGTTCTATAACTGTTTTTCCAACAACGGAATTTAAAACATCAAAACAGTTAAATAAAGGGGGAGCTGTGTGTGAGACGCGTCGTACGCGTCACAACTTTGCCATTGTAACTTTCGAAGTTAATCAAGAAAAATTAAAGAAAAAATCATTAAACTATTCTTTAGGATTTACTTAGATTACAAATGTACATGCGTATTATTGGTATAAATGATTAAGTTAAATAAACGCCGCAAAAACTGCAACGCAACAACATCGTCCGGCGTGGCACGTTAACAATTTAGAGGCAGCCGAAGTTTGTTTAAATATAAAAATAGTTGTATCTGTATCTCACATGTCACTCTAATTTATAGCTATACAAATGCTCGCCACATGCTCGGCAAGCTCAGAATGTGGCATGGCTTCGTATAAAGTACACGTCGTACTCTTTCTCAATCCATTTGATCAGCTTGTCCACGTACTTGATCACCGTGGCCTTGTCAACCACAGGCTCAAAGACGGCGTACAGCTCGTACGTGCCCGTTGCCCAGGCCAGCACTACTTCGCGCTCTTTAATCTCGTAGATGAGCTTTAGCGGCTGAGAGCTGTTGTGGATGCGATGCAGCAGACCGCAGTAAATCGCCTCGAGGCGCTCCAGCTCCTGCAGCGACTTGTATGGATGCCTGAGCATGGGACACAGCAGCTGGGCCGTCGACTTTGGCTTGTACAAGAAGTGTCGCAGCTCGGGTATGCCCAAGACCTGCTGGTATAGTTTTGCATTGAACGGCTGTTGCAGCTCCTCGTTGATAGCCTCCAGGCAATGGCTTCGACGCAGCTTCTCGGTGATCTTCGCCTTGGCCTCGGCCAGCGTGAAGAAGGCATCCCGATCCACAGAGAGCAGCAGCAGGCACGCCTGACAGTCGTCCGCCAGATACGAGACATGAGCATGCAGATACCCGTTCATGTCGAACTTTGGCAGGCAGATGGGTGACCAGTTCTCGGAGCTCTTGAAGGACTCGGAGCACTCGACCAGATTGAAAATCAAGCGGAGATCAGCCGGATGTATGGAGTACTTCTTCATGCGCACCAAAGCAATCAGTTTGTTGTTGGCTATCAGCACGGCAAATACCAGATTTTTTATCTTCGAGCAGTTGCTCTGTATGGCGCTGGTGATCTGCGAGCGAACTGTCGTCGACAGGGGGAAGACGCGTATGGAGTTGGTCAAAAATGTAAAAATGTTGTTGGACACTGCAAAGGAAAGAGGGAGAAATATTAAATCATTGGTTCATGGATCATGGTTCATGGATCAAGCCTCACCTCGAGCACTGCTGCTGTCGTTGGCCAGCAGATTGAAGAACAGCCGTTCGCTACCGGAGAGCAGGCGACGGAGATCAAAGTTCTTGCGCTTCTCGAATATCTTTGTCATGTGTGAGTAGGTCAGTATGGATAGTATCTGATTGTAGACATCCCTAGAATATAAATTATCAGTTGTGGAATTCTCCTAAATTCCCGTGGTGAATGACTTACCCCAGTTGCAGGTGCAGCTGATGCACACTCATGTTGGTGCGCGTTGCGGCCACCAGGATAAGGGAACTACGCTGCATGAATGCAAACTTGATGCCGCCTGCATGTATGGACGTGATGGCATCCTGCCCGAGCTGCACGAAGCTGACCAGAGCCTGAATGACACCAAAGAGGGTGACCAGCTTGTCCTCGTTGCCGTGCAGCGAGAAGATTGGCTTGCCCGCCTCGCTGAGTATAAAAATGTGCTTCTTTTGTCCTCGCCACACGCTGTCGTGTTGATAGTCGTGCTGGTCGTCGTCCAAGGCAGCGCTGTTGCTGCTGCTATCCTCCGTCTTGGCGCTGGTGGAAGTGCTCAGGGCTAGGGATTCCACGGAGGCGGCCAGTCCCTTGGACTTGCCTGGCTCCGGACTAATGGCGCTGGTAGAGCTACTGCTTGGCTCCAGCCCGTCGCGTAGCTCAGAGATAATACTATGTTTCTGTTGCTCAGCCTCTTGATCGTGATCGTGATCCGCCTCCTCGTAAAAGTTGCTGTCTATGTCGCTGGGATCCGGCTCGCCCTCTGCATCCAGGTACTCGCAGGTGCTGTTCGTGTCCGATAAGGCCAGGCTAGGAGACGTTTGCTGTATTTCCATGTTGCTAATAAAGTCCTAGTAGTCGTCCAGGTCCAATCATTGCTATTATTTGGCAAAGAAAAGTTTACAACTCAATCGGCTGACTGATGCGCTTTCCAGCACTGACCCAGAAACAGCTGATCCATGTTGCAGTCCACAATTTTGTTTTTTTTGTATAATACCACTGCATAAATTTGCCTTTATTTCAAATTATCCCACTATTAAATAACTTCCTGTTATTTCTATTTATCTGCGTAATAATGCTGGTTCTCTAAGGACGCTACACAACACTGCACAACATCTGTTCTGTGGGACTCGCTAAAAGGCAAGAAGAAGATTGGTTATGAAAACACGAGCCGCGTCAAAATGTTGAGAAAAACACTTAATAATTGTAAGTAATTAATGAAAACTATGGTGAAAACTATTTTTAAATGATTCTGGTACGTAGTGCCACGCTTTAGCCAGCTATGCGGCCTGCCCCAAAGGCTTCAGAGCACACAAGCAGAGGCTGCACCGTCAGTTACCACCACAGTATCGACAGAGGCCGAACCCGAAGACATAGCCGTGATAGAGCAGCGGATTCTGAAGCATCCGGACTACTTCCAGGTGCACAATCTGTTCACCGTGCGAGACCTGTTCAATGCACGCGTGCACTATGGCCACAAAGAAGGCTCCCTGGACGAGCGCATGCGTCCGTATCTGTATGGCAGTCGCCTGGGGCACTTGATCTTCGACCTGGACAAGACGGCCGTGCATTTGCGGGATGCCCTTAACTTTGTGGCCCACATAGCCTTTCGGGATGGCATCATATTGTTCTTCAATCGCAACGCCCTCAATGCCCATTTGGTGGAGCAGAAGGCCATGGAGGCCGGCGAGTTCTCACACACGCGCTTCTGGCGTGGCGGCATCTTCACCAATGCCAATGTGCAGTTCGATGCAGTTACTCGACTGCCCGATCTCTGCATTTTCCTGAACACCCAAAACAATGTGATGTCCCAGCACACGGCGGTAAGGGATTCTGCCAAGATGGCCATACCCACAGTCGGCATTGTGGACACCAATTGCAATCCCAATTTGATCACCTATCCGGTGCCCGGCAACGATGATTCCCCTGCAGCCGTTGAGCTCTACTGCAATCTCTTCAAGGAGGCCATCCTGAGGGGCAAACGCAAGCGTCGCGACTTGCTGGGCCTTCCAACCTTGGACGAGAGCCAGCCAAGGCGAAGCCGCAATACCAAAACCAATAGCAATTAGTTTTAGGATGAGAATTTGTTACATTTATCTGAATACAAATACCGCTGCTGTCGTGTGCAGTGAACCATGTGTAATCCATCCACCCACCTTGTGTCTTGTGTTCTGCCTTTTGTGGGTTGATCTCGCGACGTATCCACTGTACCTGTGCTCGTATCGAAGTCGCAGCCACAGCTCGGTGTATGTGTGCCAATTGTTAACTAGGTGAAGCCCCCGCTCCAGCTCACTGGCTGGTCTCGGCTCTAGGGTGGCAGCAGCATGTCGACCTTCACGAAGCTGTTGCTGTAGTTGCTGTAATACGAGGAGTTCGGTCTGCTCGTCGTGCTCGTGTTCGTGCTGTTGGATACCATTCCAAAGGTGTTGCTGCTGTAATTGTTTTCCCGCTGCTGATGCTGTGAGTTATATGCCTGCAGCTGTGGCTGGGGCTGTGTTGGCACCTGCGTCTGGGCTTCCGTCGGAAAGCCCCCCTTTATGGCCCTGCCAGTGCCTACGAAAGGCGTCGCGGGCTCACTATCCAGCTGCCCGGTCTGGAATCCATTGTTGACCTGACTTTGCCTCTGCTTTAACTTGTCCCTATAACTGGGATTGACCTGGCGACGCACATAGACCTGCGTCTTGTCCGAATCATCGCTCTTCTGATTGTCCTGCTGCACCCAGCGCTCGGCATGCTTGATGGTCAGCATTGCCTTGTGGGCGCCAATGTACTCCTCCGCCTTCTGCAGTCGCTCCAGCTGCTGTTCGTCGAGTTCTTCGCGCGGCAGCTTGCCCAGCCGCTGTACAGTTCTCTTCCAATTGTGGAATTCGCGATTCTTGAACGGCTTCATCGCCTGTCGATACTCCTTCCACTGCCGCTGGCGATCCTCCTTGGTGCCGGGCGGCGAATCTTCGAGTGGCAGCGGCGCCTCCGGTTTTTGTATCCACTGCCCGTTGATTTGTATGAAGGCACCGCCTCGCTTCTTCTTCGTTGGCTGTCCACAGTTCGCCGTGGACGCGTCCTTGGTGGCATTGGCGTTGCTGCTGGCGTCACCATCGCTTGGCGGATCGGATGGCGGTGGCGGCGGCGGAGGAGGCATCAGGTACATATCCTTGGCCACGTTTTTACTGCCGTTGTTTAGCTTGTACTTCTTGTTGGGCGTCTGGTTGGTGCGATTCTGACGTTGGCCTCTGTCCTTGGGCAGAAGATTCCACAGACTCGGACACTTGGGCATTGGTGGCTGTATGGGAGGCGGTCTCTGATTGGGCGACATCATGTCATCCCAAAATGGAGGCGGTTGCAGTGGGCCTTGATTGTTGCCGCCATTATTATGACCATTATTGCGGCACGCTCCAGGTCCAGGTCCCGGACCAGGGCCACAGCCAGGACCTGGTCCTCCCATGCCCATGCCCATGTTGCCCATATTGCAGTTGGGCATATTGGGTGGGGGACCCGCATTGAAATTACCTCCAAAGCCCAGACCCATTGACATCAGCTGCAAGGGCAGCGGTGGCGGGCGGCTGAGCGGTGGAATATTATTTCTGTCCTGGTTGTTCCATTGATTGTTACCATTACCGTCGCACCCGCCGCTGTTGTAGCTTCTGTGGTCGAGTTGGGACCATTGTTTACGTCGCTGTCCTCCTCCCGCATTCGTATCTGGCTTCAGGGCTTCCATGCATTTTTTCCAGTCCATGAAGGACATTGTCAACGATTTTTGTGCCACCTCATCACCAGCAGCATTGTTCTCGTTGTTTTTCGACCTCTTCTGCCCAGGGTCCCCATCCGTAGCGTCTTTTTCAGACATTTTCGGAGTGAGAATTTATGCTTTTCCCGAAATTTTCAAATAATAATTATTTTTCTCTGAATTTTCGACTAGGGATGGAACAAAATATCCATTAAAATGGCAATATAGAGTTATCACTTATCGATGTAGTCAATGATGTATCGTGCAAAACAGTAGTAAATATAAGTATTGGTACACTAGTTTGTTGCTGTTTTATGAGTCCTTCCTGCAATCAGTTTCCTATGGAATTGGCTAATTTGTATTAACGAAAAAGTATCTTATTTCATAACAAAACATTATAATGACTTTATTTGGTATTTTATAACTTTCACTTTACGGTCACACACACAACAGCTGCTCCACCACCCATCCAGGCACCGGTTTAAATGAAAACAATTGAATAATATACGGAGCGCACCATGCTGAATCTTTCTCTGGTGCTGCGAGTGCAAACCTCCAGGCCTCTGGCGACGGTTGCCACAGCCGCAGCAGTGAAAACAAAGCCAAAGGTGGCGAAACAACGGGACAAACCAAAGCCACTTATCACATGTGGTCGAACGCAGTACAATCTGACGCAACACGAGCGTGCGGACGCCAAATTCGGGACACTTGCTCTGGCGTCCAAGGGATGGCTGCACAACAAGTCGAAGGGCGACCACTTCATACTGAATGCCAGCGTCAGTGGGAACCAGCTGCAACAAGAGATGAAGAGCGTGACCGACTTTCTGGACAGTGGCCAAGTCGGGAAGCTCCATCCGAAGCTACTGGAAAACCTGCAGAATGAACTCGGCATCAATATGCTAACGGGCATTCAGGTGAAGGGCTTGCCCATTGTCCACGGCGACTCCCACACACTGATTGCAGCCGAAACGGGCTGCGGCAAGACCCTGACATACATGCTGCCCATCCTGGACAGACTGCTGCAGCGGGAGATCACGGAACGGAGCTTCAACACACCGCGAGCCTTGATACTGACGCCGGGCCGCGAGCTGGCCACACAGATTGCCCAGGTGGCCGAGAAACTCAGCCAGGGTACGGATCTCAAGGTGAAGACTCTGCTGGGCGGCAGCACAAAGCAGCTGATGATGAACCCAGAGTTCCAAGAGGTCGACGTATTGGTGGCGACACTGGGCGCGCTCAGCAAGCTGGTGACGACGGGCATCTACCGCATGGAGCAGGTGCGACATGTGGTGCTGGACGAGGCGGACACACTGCTGGATGACAGCTTCACCGACAAACTGACGTACTTCCTTAGGAGATTCCCCGTATGTCGCCGCTAATCCTTAACGAGGATGTAGATTCAATTTCTCTTTTCCACTGCAGTTCCACATGGTACAAAAGCAGGATGTCCGCACTGTGGGCACTCAGCTTGTCCTGGCCTCGGCCACAATGCCCACAAACACACGCGAGATTCTGGAGCGCGTCATCGATGTGGACACCATTCAGGAGGTGGTGAGTCCGCATCTGCACCACCTGATGCCGCATGTCACGCAAAAGTTCCTGCGCATGTCCAAGGCAGATCGGCCGGGCAATCTGCTGACCCTGGTCAAGCAGGATCTGGCCAAGCGGCGTCCGATCATTGTGTTTAGCAACAAATCCGCCACCAGCGACTTTGTGGCCATCTTCCTGAACAACAGTGGCGTCAACTGCCTCAACCTAAACGGCGACATGCTCATGAAGATTCGCCTGGGCCGCTTCGATCAGTTCCAAAGCGGACACTGTGACGTGCTCTCCACCACAGACGTGGGCAGTCGTGGGCTGGACACAACGAGGGCGCGTCATGTGGTCAACTTTGACTTCCCCCTGCACATTTCCGACTACATTCATCGCTGTGGACGCATCGGTCGAGTGGGTAACACGGACAAGTCGCTGGTGTCCAACTTCATCTCCTCCCGCCGCGAGATCGATGTTGTTCAGAGAATAGAGCATGCAGCACGCACCGGTGGATTGCTGCCGGATGTCAATGCAAACATTGCGAATATTATCAAGAAACGATTCATGGCCGAAATTAAGGCAGCGGGCATGGAAGTGCCACCGCAGGCCCAAGAAGAGGCTTTCTAGTTTTAGTTTTATCTCTTGTGTTGAGAATAAAATGTGTTTTTAAACGCCAAATACTACTTCTGATGGTGCCTACTTGCCTTTCGAATACAACCAATCTGCGGGAACTGCACTCCGTCATACAATCGGCTAAAAAGCTTTTTCCATTGCATTTTTCTTAAATATTCGCCCTTGCAAATCATCTCCGTCGGTATAGAATTGCACCCAGCGTTCGTAGTCATATAAAATTGGAACACTAAATAATTTGTCTTTTATTACGTTCTTCTTCTTCTGTGTGCTTTTATCGATAAAACAGCTATCGATATGAGCCAAGAGCAATCGATCGGGCAGGAGTTTAACGGGTCGTGTTTTTCACGATCCTTTTCTCAAAATCTGATCCATGATCCATTAACTTGATAATAAATACATATTTATTTTGTGATTTCTTGTAGACCTAATTTAAAAAGGGTGTTCCAAGTAGATCCCCAAAAACAAAGAACACTGAGATACAGCTAGAATCTGAGTCTTCTGATTCAAATCCTAATGTAATGGTACCCACTGGTTGGCACCTCTCGTCGCACATTTGTCAGCGGCTTGAAGAGCTTGCGTCTGGCTATGAGTATGTCCGAGTTGCTGCCACTGCCGCTGCCTCCGTTGATGGTGGATGGTGAATCCATTGCCTGTGGCACTGCCATAGCCTTGGCCTTGAGCAGCATGGGGCGGCAGCCCGCAAACTTGAAGCGAATGCTGCCGGAGCAGTTGTGCCGTAGATTCGGCAGCTGCAGTTCGGGGAATGCCTCCCTCAATGTGGGCTTGGGCTTGAGGGCCCGGCTGGGATCGTCGCCGTGGCACATGGCCGCTGCCAAGGTGCTCCACTCCAGCCGACGTACGCCAGGTGTCGCCTCAATCCGGTAGACTGGTGTCTTGGCCCGCACATAGCGACGTGTCACCATTTCCTCATACGCACCTGCAAATTGATGAGTTTAAGCATGGAATGGGGGAAGGGATAAGTAATTCACTTACGTGCATAGTGAACCATAAATGGCTGCAGCTTGGATGCCCCGCAGCCATGCTCCAGCCACTCGTACAAGTATATATCGTCTCTGCCCTCTAGGAAGACGGCAGCCGGCGTCAAGTCCTGCCACAGGCTGTCCGGTATCTCATCCGCATTCAGCTTGTAAACGTAGGGAATAAACTCTCCAAAAGCGTACGCCCCCAGGGCAATCAGTCCGCGCACCGCTCGGCTGATGTATTGGAAATCTAAACGAAATCCAAAAATTAGCATTTAAAGTTGGATACGCAAGGACAACGCACCCCGCTCGCTGCACACGTCGCGCCCCTCGAAGAATCTTCCCAGGCGTCTTTTGATCAGAAAGAGGCACTCGGCGTGCAGGTAGCCACTCTGGGAGGCCAGCTGGCCAATCGTTTCGCAAAGTTCGTCCACGAAACCGTTGCCCACGGGACTGGCAAAGTAGGTGGACAGATGCTGCGGCTCCGCCTCCATCTCATTAGTCTCGTCGTCCTCCGATTTGATCTTATAGATAGTCTGCTGCTGCGGCGGATCGCTGGCAAACGCAGCCTGTTCTTGCTGCTGCTCCTGAGGCTCCTGCTTGCACACATCCATCGCTGGGTCTGGGAACTGTTCTGGCTTTATTTTGAGCGGCTCGTCAAGCTCCATTTGGACTGTGTTGTCTCTGGCCACGGGTGGCGCCTTTATGGTTTCGTAGGGAGCCATCAGCTGGCTGACGAGAACCTCGGCCAGGTGAAAGTATTCCTGGCGACAGGCGTTTTGGTTTGCCTGCGAATTGTAGTTACAGGCGCGAAGCAGCCGCCAGCAGCGGCGGCTCAGTTGATCCTGCTGCTTGAACGCCAGCAGCTGGAGCATCTTGCTGACTATGACACGATAAATGGAGCCCATGAGAGGCGTCTGAAAGGCAAAGGCAAGCGCCGCAGACTGGGTCTTCTTGTCGGCAAAGAGAGCAGCTGTGGAGAGTTCAGAGTTTATAAATACTTGAACGACATGCGGCTGCATCAGAACCAACCTGTGACCAGACTCTGGACAGACAACTTCAGCTGTTCCGTGTGCTTGTCCTCCACGGGGCACAAGCTGTGAAAATCCGCGTCGTCTGGCAGGCTGAGGCTGATCTCCTTCTGGAACTCGTCCCGCAGCTCGAAAATCTTATCCGAATGATAGTAGTAGCTGCCGTCGTAGTCAATGCGATCCCAGTCACTGTCCATGGCACCTAACATGGGCGGCACGTCGGCATCTTTGAGCACCTCATTGACCAGATCGTAGGTCACCACACCGCCCGAATGGCGCGAATATATCTTCACGTTCTGCAACAGGAACAACAATATTTAACAAGCAACAGTACGGTTTGGGTACATACATTGATTAGCTCCCACACTTTATAGGATGCATCCTCGGCGAGCCGTGCGCACACATCCTGAGACAACTCCACGTCCGTTTGGTCGTGCTGCTCCCAGAAGATTTTTACGCTGCGCGGGTCGAAGCCTGCATAACTTTTGTGATGACTCTGGTAAAGGTAAATATAAGCGTTAGCTGGGTAAAGACTTGCTAGAGCAACACAATTACATACCATACGACTGGTGTTGCCTGAGGCCTCAGCCGCAGAGACTCCTGCCACTCCGTGCCCGCCTCCGGCCACCGCAAAGGAGGCATCGAACATGTTATAGTTGGCATGGCTAGAAGTCGGTGTTGTGGGCGTCGCTACCATATGTACATGGGTGGGCGTGGCCGGTAGACTGCCCACTCCCACACCCACACCTGATCCCAGGGCAGAAGTTGACGTTTTGCTTCCTCCCACCTCCAACTTTGTGGACTTGGAGCGCGACTTTGTGGACTTCTTGCTGACCTTGTTGTGCGATGATTTGTTCTGCTCAGGGTCTGTGTTCGCAGCCCCAGGGGTTTTCATTGTCTCGTTGGAATCAGCTTTCCGTATAAGTTCAGATAATAATCATTTATTTCGGCGGAAAATAAACATAACAATTCGCTGGAGTTGCAGTCAGTGTTGTAAAGGAGCGCGTCACAAAGACTATCGACTTGCAACACTGCTTAGTCACTGTTGATTTGATTTTATTTATTACTCCACTTTTATGTTGCACTAAAAACCACACCTGGTAGACATCCGCTAATCATGGCAGAAGCCGCTAATGTGCGCCAGAATCTGCAGAATGTGCCTTCCTTCTTTGAAATATCAGCAGCGGAGACACTGGACAACCTGATATACCCGGCACTTAGTAAAATCTTTGATTACTTTGGCCTGCGCCTGGACTTTAAACTCTGGGGCAACCTTCGAGTGCGCGAGGAGCTGTCGCCGGTGCTGACCTGGATTCTACAGTACCTGTATCTACGGAATCGCGCCTCCTCCTTCGGCGAGAGCTTCTACGGACTGCAGCGGACAGCCACTGGCACGGGAAAGCTCCTCACCCGACCGCAGCAGTTCACCTCCGCCACTTTGCTGACCTTCCTGCCGTACATAGAGCGTAAGCTGCGGACCCGCGACGCCCAACACGAAGACACCTACGCCTGGGAACCGTACTTAATCAATTTGTTTCATGCCTATAACGCCTCCAAGGCGGTTCACACATTCGCGTATCTCATCAAGCAGGCGTCCAGTCACTCGCCGCTGTTCCGTGCCATGCGCCTCACCCTGCGTTACCCGAGTGAGCCGCCCCAGGAGGACAAGTGGACTTATATATTCCTGAAAATGCTGGAGGTGCTGGCCTTCTTCCTGCAGTTCATCCAGTGGTGGTACTCCAACGATCAGCGCCGCAAGGTTGGCGGCTCACTGCAGAATCCCGAGGCCATGCCAGAGCTAGATCTGCCAGAGGAGGTGAAACAGACGCTGCCACAGAAGGGCAAGTGCCCCGTCTGCTTGCTGCCACTGCAAACGCCAACAGCGTGTTCCGTTTCCGGTTATGTTTTCTGCTGGAAGTGCATCATCAGCCACATGAAGGAGCACGGCACTTGCCCGGTGACGAGCTATCCCATCAGCCTGGACGACCTCGTGCGCATTTACGAAACGTAGCCTAACGTAGTCTAAGTGTTTATTTTGTTGTACAATATTCAATAAGATCTGAATCAGAATTCGCTGAGGAAGAAGCCCAATCGCTGGTCGTGGCAGATGTGAACATTGTAGAAGTCAAAGTAGCAGGTGGCCAGGTAGAGGAAGGTGCTGCAAATGTTGACAAACTCACAGAGGCCAAACACAGAATAGGCTGCAAAGATTCCAATTAGATTTAAAAGATGAAGCCATCGGCCACACTCACCAAAGGGAAAGCAGAAGTGCTCGTGAAGAAAGTAGCAGAACCACATGATGGGCACAGCGGTGAAGTAGGTGACGACCAGCTTACACTTCAGCCTGTAGGCCAGCTGCTGCTGGGACTCCTTGCCCTCACAGATATAGTACTTGTGAAGCACAAAGCATCCGGCCATTAGGATGGCGCAAGAGACAAACAGTGAGATGGCCACCGCTCTATGAAGCGTCGATTCGCCTGCAATGTTGGGATACATGCCCCACAGGAAAAAGCTGCATGAGGTCTGCACAATTAACAAAGCCAACAGGCAGCCAAAGAGGCGCACCTTGCGCGGTAGACTTCGTCGATAGTAGCGAGAGTAGAACCAGCTGGTGAGCAGACTAAAAGGCAAGTTCGTGCAGCAGGTTATCTGCCAGCCGGAGTGCTGCGATCTGGCCACTGCCGACAGAGATGGAAACACGTTCAGCCTGGTGCACGCGGTGTACGTGGTGCCCTCATAGTTTGTGAGGATTGCCATAAAGAGGTAGAAGATGACTGCAATCGGTACAGAAGCGTGGCCAGCAGCGAGCAAAGGAGCCACACGTATGCGGATACGGCTCTTGGGCTGCACATCCTGCACGGAAATGGGCAGCTCTGGAATCGAGTGCATGCCGTTGAAGTAAATAAAACCAAATACCAATAGGAGAAGTGCCAAAACCAACTTCAAAGCAAACTTTGTTAAATAGTTCAACACAAATCGAAGAGAAATTCATAACGTAAACAAGCACACAAATAGACATAGACAAAGGGACATAGAATTGAGCTAAACAAAAACCTCAGAGGATAAGCTTAAATATACAATTATAGAACCAACCGATGTGGACATGCGTTTGCTTATGTGTCTATTAGAACAGTCCGAGGCATCGCCTTAAAGCCATCTAAATTCAATAAGAAGTTAATATAAATAATAATGCAATGCAATGATCCAGCTTATGCTTAGAGTAATCGGATGTCCGAAATTAAATTCCTTAGGTAAAATTAAGTAAACTTTGAGCTTAAGCTAATACCGCGTATGTACAGAATACTCGAGAGTGGCTGTTAGGACGTGAATGTTAATGCTATTGCTATCGGTATTTAGAACTGGGTTAGGTAGAGGCCGTGCTTGGCGTCGCAGACAACGTTGAGCGCATAGAAGTCCCAGTAGGAGGTCATGTGGAATCCCATGTTTGTGAGTACAACAATGTACTCAAAGAGCGCGAAGAAGGTGTAGACTGGAAAGGACACAGGTTTACTTTACATTGAAATTCCTTAGGGGACCCGCACTCACCACCCGCTTCGCAGCGTGCATTGTGCCGGACAAAGCAGTAGCCGGCGAGCCCAAAGGCCAGCACATTGACCAGGAAGAGATTGCGCTTGTAGCGCAGGGACTTCTCCTCGTGCGGCAGCAGCACCACCTTGCGCGCATTCCTGTTGAGGAGGTACGAGATCAGCATGTAGCACTCGCTGCACGCAATGAACACCACAAACGCGTTGCGGTGCGTTTCATAGCTGTCTGCGGATGTCCAGAAGGACAGGCAGAACAGGGCAAGATCCTCCACTACGTTGAGGAAGCAGGCCAGAATGCCGAGCAGCCGTCGGCTCCGCCTGATATTCTCCTTGTAGTACTCCAGATACATTTTGGCCACCGCCAGCCGGAGGGGCAGGTGCAGGAAGATGGCCAACCTCCATATCGTCTTCTGTGGCTCATAGTTTCCTATGGCAGCCGACACCGACGGCAGGTAGTTGACCACGTCACAGTGCGTGTAGGTGGAGCGCACAAAGTCGAAGAGCAACGACCATACCACGCAGAAGAAGAATCCACCAAGGGGCAGGCTCAGGGCAGCGAGAGCCAATTTAGCAAAGGGCAGTCGGAAGAAAACGTTTTTGGGGTCGTTCAGGCGCTCGTACGTGGGCAACATGGCGGGGAGGCGGTGGTCGGTTGATGGCGGGGCGCGGCTCACATACTTTTTCGCACCCAATCAGCTCTACTGTACTATTATTAAGCAAATGCCTTCGTTGTAAACATTGCAAGAATGGTAAACAAATTGATCGATAAGACTAGATAGCTATCGACTGATACTAGAGATGAGGCACAGATTTGCGATATGGATGAGAGAGATGGTGTGATGTAATGAAGTGCTAAATTAATTTAATTTTTTGATAGTATGGATCTTATGTAACGACGACTAAATAGCTCAGCTGATTCATTGCAGTGGATAAAAAACACAGCATACAACAACATGAAAATCGAGGTACATATCGCTTCGTGGCAGGAGAGCTCTATCGATTCATCGTGCCGGCCATGCACATCTCTAGCTGACACTAAACAAAACAACACGCGCAAAAAAACGAAGAAAATACTGCAACTTTTTTGTTTATGCAGTAAGTGTCGCATCAGCATCGTCATGGACATCCTTTTGGCCAACGTGAACAGCCTGCAGTTCAAGGCGGAGCGGGATCTCATCGAACAGGTGGGCGCAATTCCGCTGCCGTTCTATGGCATGGACAAGTCCATTGCGGCCGTCTGCAATTTCATCACAAGAAGCGGCCAGGAGTGCGACAAGGGGAGCGCGTGCCCGTTCCGTCACATACGTGGCGACCGCACCATAGTGTGCAAACACTGGCTGCGCGGCCTTTGCAAGAAGGGGGACCAGTGCGAGTTCCTGCACGAGTACGACATGACCAAGATGCCCGAATGCTACTTCTACTCCCGCTTCAATGCCTGCCACAACAAGGAGTGCCCGTTCCTTCACATCGACCCGCAGAGCAAGGTGAAAGACTGCCCCTGGTACAAGCGTGGTTTCTGTCGCCACGGACCCCACTGTCGCCATCAGCATCTGCGGCGCGTGCTCTGCATGAACTACTTGGCCGGCTTCTGCCCGGAAGGACCCAACTGCAAGCACATGCATCCGCGTTTCGAGCTTCCGCCCCTGGCGGACCTCAGCAAGGACCAGCTACACAAGAAGCTTCCTACATGCCACTACTGCGGCGAGCTCGGCCACAAGGCCAATTCCTGCAAGCAATACGCGGGCAGCCTCGAGAACCGCAACAATATCAATGCCATGGACCACAGTGGCGGCGGCGATGGCAACGACGACGGCCCGCTCAGTCATCCGCCTCCGCCTTTCCTGAAAATACCAACGCCGCTGGAGGAGATCACCTGCTACAAGTGCGGGCACAAGGGCCACTACGCCAACAAGTGTCCCAAGGGCCACCTAGCGTTTCTCTCAAATCAACATAGTCATAAATAGTGCCTAGCGCCGTGGTTATTTGTATATGTAAGTTGTAAGGGCTCTGTATAGAATAAATCTTCCGACATGCAGCCAGAAGAAAATTTAATTTTCGTTCCATTTGGGTTTAAATTCAGCTGATATTCGATTTGTAGGATTTTCTTTCAGTCGAATATTTTCTCGTGTGACCATGTCTACCACCATCACTATTGATACAAATACGTATTTACATGGATATCATATGAAAAGGATAAGAACATGTCAGTCTAAGATAAAGTCATCAAGCCAATCTTGTGGAGAACTGTTTGATAAATCGGATAAAATTCTAGGTATAGCGCGAAGACTCCTAACTAGTTAGTAATATTAAAAAGAACAACAAAATCGAGGAATATGATTTAAGACTACGGTATATTTTAAAAAATGAGTAGGTTAATCATATCGCTGGAAACTAGGCCTGGGAAAACATCGATAGTGGCCACCATCGATAGTGGAATATGTGAAAATTCCTGTAAAACCATATTACTGCGCTCTCGACTGGAGTGAAAAAACAAATCATATTGTTTAAACATTTTCAATGCAACACCATGCATGCCCTCATCAACAATCATCGATAGCAACACTCTTCAACAAATATCGACAGCAACATCGAACATACACTTGCCAGAAAATATCGACAGCCCCAATTGCGCACTAAAAATTTTCCGAATAAACAAACAGATCCGAGCACAGTTCGTTCGTGAAAAAACACAAAACGGTGACAATGACTATTCTGGCGAAATTGAGGGGCGAACCCAAGGACCAGGAGAAGGTGCCACTTCCCATGAACCTTAACGATGAGACTCTGATGCACCATGGCTCGCTAATCGCTGTAAGTTTATCCAATTAAAATGGCCATTTTTGCGCAACGTTTTCATGTCCTTGCGAGGCCCCGAGTCTCCACTGTCCTTCGGCCCCATAAAGCTACAAGTTTCGTTACGCCTCGTGCAATTTAAGTCTCCCATATGTACACACACATTTGTACGACGAGCGTGGAAGCTCTCTTGCTTTACAGGGGTAGGGTAGGGGTGGCCCAAATTCCCGTGTTCGTCTCTGGTGCCCGCCCAGCCTGTGCTCGGCAGCCTGACGTGCATAGCTATTGATTTTTCCATGCTGGAATTGCCGCTGGCCTTGCACTCTTTTTCTTAGCCAGCAAACGCCAAAGCACCACCCCAACTCCCATGGCTGCCATTCACTTTTTTTCCTGGGGAAACCCAAGGGAGCACCCACTACCGCCCACTCCCACTTCCTTGGGGTCACTTCTTCCTGTTGATTGCCAGGCACGCAGATGTTGGACATGAAAATGCCACTAGGAAAAACCCATGCAAAGTTCTTTGTGTTGCTTTTTTATTTGCAATTGCCCTTTGACCAGCGACCAGAAAGCTGCACAGCACAGCACAGCCCGTCGTAAACACAGTGCCCCCGATAACTGCTTGCGCACTACTTTTCTTGCATTGGGAAAGCTTTATCTGACCCAACAGCTGGGCCAATGAACACGAGTACTTATCTGAGTCACCAGCCCCCGTGGTAGTTTCTTTTTGCGGGTTATCACTGCGCTCAGTGGAGCATTTACGTTGATATTTCCTGCTAATCCTGTTAACCCACAGCCCAAAGGTGCCTACAATGACTCAGAGGCCGATGCCGAGTCGATGGTCTTCAATAGGCCGCAGCACCATTGCCTTAAGTCCTTCTTGCTCTTCCTGATCGCCATGGTGGTCATGATGATGGGAGTGCTGGGCGGCTGGACCCTCTACAGGCTGTACGCCCCACCCCATGCCAATATGCGCTATCACGCTCTTTGCGAGATTCCATATCCCGAGGACTCGATCGAGATGCCGCGCTTCTATCCACGCAGCGACGATGGCTTCGCCCAGATCAACTGGCGGGCACTGTTGCCACAGTTCAGTGGCGCAAGCTCCACCGATGGCACTGGCCTGGACAGACGTTTCGGCGACGAGGATAACTTCTTCCGCGAGGAGATCGAGCTGGACAGCAGCGATGAGGAGGGATATGCGAAGATCGATGTGCCCGACTTCAAGGACGGTCGCTGTGGACGCTTCATGCACGACTTCAAGGAGAACCAATCGGCCATCATTGATACCACCACCAATCGGTGTTTCATCATGCCCCTCGACCGGGAGACCACTCTGCCGCCCACCAGCTTCGTTGATCTAATGAAGAAAATGGGCACCGGATACTACAACATTGACACGGAGCGAGTGCGCCGCAATATGCGCGTAATCACACCCCGCATCACCGATCTCTCGCTCATCTCGGAGCGCATTGCCAACGAGTGCTACGACATGAAGGTCTACATGATGGAGAAGTTCGTCTCTGGCGGTAAGTGGCATGCAAAGCAAGCCCGAAGATTTTTCTCATTGCTTCCATTTGCAGTGTCCAAGCGGTCGGCAGATCCACTACCAGATGCCGGCAAGTATGCCGCATTCATGGGCAAGGGCGTCATCGAGTACGATCTGTCCAACATAGCCGAGGTGGAGGCCTACGAGGCGAGCGAGTCCGCACGGGAGCAAGTGGCCTGAGGAGCTGAGCTGCGAACCGTTTTAAGCTTAAACAACATATAAAATAACACAAACCTAAACAAATTATTAATTAGAATTGATTTATATATAACGAAGACCGATCTGTTTGTAGTCGCCAGTTTGAGGACAATGCTTATAAATCAGGTTAGACAACCAAAAACAGAACCGAACGGAACGGAACAGAACAGAAGAGTGTACAATATCCATTGGCCAATCGATGACTCTGCGAGCGCGTATGAGAGCTCGCAAGAGTTTTTAAGCGAATCATAGAGAAGCGAAAGAAAAATGTACCTAGAACGCAATCAAAATGCGATTGAAGAAATTGTGACAAATACGAAAGCAATGAATCAGCCAGGCAGTAGGAGAGTGTAAGGCAGGGTGGGGAAAAACACTCCCTAATCTGTCCTACTCTGGGAGTATTTAGTCGAAGCGCGACTAGGCATAATGCATACCATTCCAAGTACATATTTTATATAGTATATGCTCTTTAACTATCTAACAATTAATGTATAGAACACGAGAGATCGATAGCTATTTACACATGCACACACAGTACTCGACACGACTCGACAGATGCAAAAAGAACAGGATCGAGTTCCGAACAGACAAAAAACTATCAAAAGAAACAGACAGAAACAAACAGAAAACACTACTCTAAATGTTCTTTAAAGTATTTAAATGTATTAAACGCGAATTTGTGATCTTTAAGCCAATCTCTTTATCTGAATATTATTTATTTTGCACTAAAAGTAGGGCTTGCACAGTGCTATGGTGTGATCCACGCCGTAGGCTACCTTTGTCACCTTCCCATTGATGGCCGCCTTGAAGGGAAAGAACTGATCTTTCTTGTGGCCCAGGCCCAGATGGCCAAAGCGGTTCTTGCCCCACATGAACAGATCACCGTCCGAGTTGACGGCGCCCATGTGGAAGACACCGCAGCCAATGGAGACCACGGTGGTGGCATTGCTAAAGTCATTGCGTCCAAACAGGGGTGGCAGCAGGTGCTGCGGCTTTGATGTTTGCTCCACAAAGGGTCCAAAGCCCAGGATGCCGTAGCCCCAGGTGTAGACCAGACCCTGGTCATTCAGGGCCATGCAGAACGAGCCGCCAGTAGCCACATCCTTGATGACACCAATCCCCTTGGTGAGCTGCAGCGCGCGCGGTGTGTTTATCTGCGTATGGGCGTGCTCCGAGTCGTCCAGCTGCCCGTACTCCGAGTTGCCCCATCCGAATACGTCGCCCCGCTCGTTGAGCGCCAGAACACAGTCCGAGGAGCTGGTCAGCCGCACAATGCGCTCCTTCTCGATGTCGCCGCCGATGAGCGTGATCTGTCCCGCTGTGTGGTAGTTTCCCTGACCCGTCTGTCCATCTGCGCCCCAGCCGCAGGTGTAGACGCGGCCCAGCTTGGTGAGGAACATTGTGTGGTCCTGGCCGCACTCCACGCTGACGATCTCGTCATCCGCCCCACAGATATCGGTCTGGGCAATCCTGTGGATGAGGGCGCTTCGGCTGTATCTCTCGTCTTCGATGATGGATCGACCACACTGTCCGTACGAATTGTTGCCCAGGGTGAAGATGGTCCCGTTCCGGGTGACCACCACGAGATGGGCCCTGCCAGCGGCCATGCTGCGCACCTGCATGTCCTCGTCCGTCTCACCATGCTCCCGCGGAAGTCGAATGGCTGTGGGATATATGATCACGTCCAGGTTGGCCGGGTCCTTGGGGTTGCCCTTCACCTGGAAGCCCAGCTGGGAGTCCGTGTTGAGGCCGCTGCCAAAGAGCGTCTCGCCGTCGGAGCGCTGCACAGCGTAGGCAGTGAAGCCGTAGCCGGCTGCCACATCTGTGATCTCGTTGTTGTTCGAGAACTGGAGTCGTGTTGGGTGGTGGACCATTTCGGTGTATCGCTCCTGGGCCTTCTTCACGCTCGTCTGCAGCCCGAGGGCGCCGGTCTCCTGGAATCCCCAGACATAAACCCGGTTCGCGTGTGGATCCGAAACCTTTGGCGTGTAGTCCTTTATTTTGCTCTTGTCCTGGGAGAGCACGCTGCGCTTAGCCTTCGTCGTGTAGCTGCGAGTCAGGCGGGGAGCTGTCCATGCTCCGACTCTCACTGTGCCCAACATTTCCCAGCAAATTCGTTTTTTTTTTAAACAAATTGCAGGTGCAAAACAATAACAATAACAATCGATTGGAAACAGTGCTGGAAAGTGGGCGTTGCGCGAGCCTTGCACAACTCTGGGCACATCGCCTATCGTTATCGCCATCGACATATCGAAACTGGACGTATAAAAAACGGCTCCGGTAAAATCATTAAAAATTAAATGAATTAATAATTTGCGAGTGCTTAAAAGGGTTCATTCGCCTCAATAATTGCACTAATTATCGTGTGCATTGTCGGTATAACGCGAAAAGTGTTGAATTCGTTTGCTTTCGTGTGTTTTTCGACCGCCCTAGCAGCATATGTACATACAATACACACACACATCATTCATAAAGAGGAATGCATACATCCATACATCGGGGAGTATTATAATTATAATCGTGTGTAAAGTGCAATACCCTGGATTATTAGTGCTGCAAGTGCAAGTGCAGCTGCCTGAGCCGCAAAAGAAAGAAAGTGAAGTCTCCTCCGCCGATGCCGACGAAAGGGGCTGGGGCCGCTGGCTGCTGCTAGGCGCACCGCACACACGGAATACACGGATCAGGAACAAGGAATAGGAGTTGCCGTTGGTTGCCGCTTCCCCGCAGCCGTGCCCTGTTGTCATCGTCTCCATCGAATCTCTCGTCGTCTCCGGTAGGTACACACAAAATATTCGGCTGCTCCTTTTAGCTCCTGTTTTGTGTCTCTGCTCGCTCTCATTTAGTGGTGTCTCTATCTCTCTGTCTGTCTTTGCATCGCACTCTCTCGCTCGCTCACTCGCCTGCTGACTGAGTCCGCTCTCTCTTTGGCTGTGTGTGTGTGTGTGTTGGGTTTGCTTGCTCTCTCCTTCGTCAGCACCTGGTGGTGCGTACGCATTTACCGCTGCTCTCCCTCGGTGGGTGGGTACCCTGGCAGGCCAGCAACCCTTAGAAGTTGGTCCTCAAAAGTGCGTTTTCCTAATGACACTTTTTCTATATTTTTTGGGTAACCCATGGTCTCGTGCCCTTTTCTGCAATCCTGCAACTGTGCCACATTCCCCACCATCCCCGCAGCACCATCACCACCACCACCAGCCCACCGTTCATCGCCATATCACGCCCCGTCCATCCTTGGTAACTGGCAAACCAACCACCGCTCACAGAATGCGCAGCAGCTCTACGCCTTTCGTGCTCTCAAATATTCGCTGCATCCATCCCTACAGTCCACTCGGCAACAGCCAAAGTGGACTCCCAAATCGAATCCCGAATCCCAATTCACCGCACAAACAAATGCTTAATCAACTCTCGAATGCCCACATAATAAATGATCTTATATAAACATTGCGGATGGGCTTCCTCTGGCATGGGTTTTTGTGGCTTGGCTGCTGCCCTTTGCCTCGCGCGACACCAGATAACACTCCTCCACGAATCCCCCTCTCACAGCCTTCATTGGGTTTGCCCCACTTTCTGTTCTCTGTTCTCCCCCATTCAAATCGATCCGGAGTCGGTCTGCGACTTATTACAGAGCATAATTCTCCTCCGTTTTGTGCTTCCCAATTTGTTTGTGATTGTTTTTAGGGCCACTTTGGTGGGGGCATGGGGCATGCATATTCATATGAATCTCCCCTTCGCTGCTTCCTCGAATGGAACCGAAATGAGTGCTTCCGTACTGCCTACCGTTTCTGGCCCATCCAATTCCACTCCACCCAATCTCCGCCTTCGTTCCCATCCCAGCCAAGCAGAAGAAAACTTTCCGCCTCATAAAATCGTGGGCTTGTCTATCCCAGCGCCCCCCGTCCCACCGCTCAGGCACGTGCAACTCTTTCTTTCTTTTTGTCTTTCTTCTCTGACGAAATGAAATGTTGTCAAGGCAATGGGCATAGATATGGATATGGATGGATGGTTGGGTAGTTGGCTGGCTGTTTGGTGGATGTGCCCGTAGATGGCAATGTGGCTATGTCAATGTCTTGGCTGTGGCACTGGCTCTGTCTCTCTGTGGGGCCCCTACATACTTATGCAAGGCAAGCCAAACACAACCAGTGAAAACAAAACAAAAGCCGAAAGAAAATCCGAATCCATCGCTGCTGCAAGCGCCGTGCAGTTCATTGGCAGCGGGCCAGCCAAGCGTTTCATGTTTTTTCTGGGTCCACCCCCCCTATATGCCGTCTTATCAGGTGGCAGGCAAACATTTGCACAAAGCATAATCTTTTTGGTTCTTTCTTTTCGTCGTGTTTTGGGTTCGATTTCAGCAGTTTCAGACGGAAACCCCACTTTCTTCAACGGAAGAGTGACTCAGAAATATTGCACTTAATCTGGGAACATTTGCCATATCTTTATTCAATATCAGACACAAGCACAGGCACAAAACCTTGAGTAATCGATGAGATACAAACAAGCGAAGCAAGCAAGCTCTTATCTAATGATGACAACATTTTATGATGTGCCAAAGACCCAGTTCTTAGTAGAAAATCTTAGACTCTGCCATTGAGCCAATTATCTGTGAGGTGAAAAAGTGAAAACCGCAAAGCCAAGGCCCTAGAAGAGCTCTGTTTGTGTCTGTGTCTTGTCGTGTCTGTGGTGTCTGCTGCCCACTTATTGATTTTTAATTATTGAACAGGGGGCCCTGGGCTATGACATTGACTTTGATTTTGCTGTCTGCAGATCTTTGGACAACGAACTCTGCCAACCTTTGTAGAGGCAGCCTCATTGAGCCGCCTTATGTCATGCTGCTGAAGCTGTTTGGGACAGCTGTTTGGTTAGTTTGGTTTGATAAATCTCAGCAACCAATTTCCAATTCCACTTCGAATCCCGTTCGTGACTCATTGCGGTCGCAGTGCGCGCTCTCTTGTTCGATGGGCACCTCGTTTCCCCGTTCACAGATGTGTGAGGGAATGTATTATGGTTCTCGGTAACCTCCATAGCCACACGATTGTAGCCAAATCAATACCCAACACTCACTCCAGCATTCGATTCATTCAAATTGAAGAGTCAACACAGCAATTGAATTCAATTGGGAAGCCAGAGGCGGCTGCTTGCTGGCTGGCTCCCTGGCTGCTGTGCAACTTTCACTTGCCTCACCGTTGAGATTGTTTTTAATTGCAACACACAACTGGTAACGGTCCCCGGCCCCTGTCCCAGTCCCTGCTTCATTCCAACCATCCATCATTCATCACATCCATCCAGACATTCATAGATCGCTCGCTCGCTCGCCCGCTGACCCGAATTCAAAACCAAACCAAACAAAACACTTTTGTTCGGATGCTAATTTTGAGTTATGTTTTTATTAAACGTTGTATATTAAGTGCCTTTACGTATTTGGAACGTTAATCATTTTCACGCTTCTTTATGCAGAGATTTAATTTCGAATTTCCTTTTTTTCTTTTCTTTTTCTCTTTTTTTTCTCGGTTTTGCGTTGCGTTCTCGTTGCGCGTTTTGCATTCCATCTTATCGTTTGCGCTGCATTTGTTTGTTTTTTGGCTTGCTGCTACTGCCACCTGCCACGCCCACGCATATGCACATGCATCTCACGCCCATGACCATGTCCAGATGCTGAGGCACAGCAGAAATGCATTGGCTGGAAGGCCGCCAAGAGGCAGCAACTTGCAGCAAGCATAGATTGCTAACCAAACACACAGACCAGCAGCAGCAGAAGCAGCAGCACACGAAAACGAAAACTGAATGAATACTGAGCCCGAAACTCTCGTTTGCATCCATCCCGCATCTTGCATCCATTACGTGCAGCAGCAGCTGGAGTACCTGGAGCCGGCCAACGCTAGCTAGGCAGCGCCCGAAGCGAGCGACGGAGGAGGCCCTTGTGGAGGGAGGAGCTGGTCTGGAATGTTGGAACACCCACAGCGGTTCGCTCGTAACATCCCCGACTCCTCAAACAGCAGCACCAGCAGCAGTGCTCAACAGTATCCGCCGCCACCGCCGCAGCATCAGAATCTGAATCTCAATCAGAATCAGAACCAAAACCAGATCTACCAATACCGTCCGCAGACGCAGGCACAGGCACCTGGATCGCCGGCGCACCATCAGCGCCACTCGTCGCTCTCCCAACAGCAGCAGCAGCAACAGCAGCAGCAGCAGCAACAGCAGCAGCAGCAGCTACAGCTGCACCATCGCACCCTGTCGACCGCCTCCAGCTGCAGTGCACAGCACAAAAGTGTGACATTCGGCCAGCCAGCGATCGACTACAGCAACGGCGGCAGCAGCAGCGGTAACTCATCCAGTTGCAGCGCCGCTGGCAACGCTGGAATCCAATCAATGGCGGGAAACATGAAGCACGGTAAGCGCTCAGCCATTGACAATCCATTGGAACACTCTATAAACTTCCATTCTCTACCATTTAATGCGCAGGCAAATCACAGGAAGACGTCTGCTACGTGGTAGCCAAGTACGATTATGCGGCGCAGGGTGCCCAAGAGTTGGACCTGCGCAAGAACGAGCGCTATCTGCTGCTGGATGACTCAAAGCATTGGTGGCGTGTCCAGAACAGCCGCAATCAGTCCGGCTATGTTCCCAGCAACTATGTGAAGAAGGAGAAGCCATCGCTCTTCGACAGGTGCGTCCAGCCCCCCGAGTTCAGAACTAAACTTAAGCCTTCTTCTTGCTCTGATTTCAGCAGTATTAAGATCTCTCTCTCTATATATCCACATATATCTGTATCTTTAACTGTAGAAGTATCTCTTTCCCAACTCCTTGTTTTTGCTTTGATTATTGTAATTTCTGTTTCAACTGCTTTTCGGCTTTTGTATTTTTGTAAACAAATTCCTTTTACTTTTGTTGTCACTCAAATGTCGAGCCCTGCCCCTGGACCATAACTAACACCCCAAAACGAATGAAACCTAGGGCTAGTCTAACACCCAACTAAAACCCTTTATAAAGAACCCAAAAACCCCCGAGAAGTACCTCCCAAAGAGTGTTCCAGCCTTGAATTGATCTGATTTGTGTTTTCTTTGCATCTGTCTTTGCAGCATTAAGAAGAAGGTGAAAAAGGGTTCCGGTTCGAAGACGCTGCCCAACTGTTCGCCGTCCCGGCAGGTCGAGAGTCCAACCATGTCGCGACGCTTGCCCCCCGATCCGGCCGAGGCCATTGGCACGGCCATTGTCAAGTACAACTACCAGGCCCAGCAGCCCGATGAACTCTCACTGACCAAGGGCACGCGCATCCTCATCTTAGAGAAGTCCAATGATGGCTGGTGGCGCGGCCAGAGCGGCAATTCTGTCGGCTGGTTCCCCAGCAACTACACAACCGAGGATTGTGATAACGATGGCGAGATTCACACCTATGCCATGGCCGAGAACGTCCTCGATATTGTGGTATGCAATTTTTACAATAGATTCTTGTGTGGCATCTAATGTTCGTATTCTCTTGCAGGTGGCCCTCTACAGCTTCACGTCGAACAATGATCAGGAGCTGTCGTTTGAGAAGGGCGACCGGCTGGAGATTGTCGATCGGCCCGCCTCCGATCCGGACTGGTACAAAGCTCGAAACAACCAGGGCCAAGTCGGTTTAGTTCCACGCAATTATCTACAAGAGTTGAATGATTACCTGGCCACGCCCTATCGCAACACTAGCGCCGCCGGCAATGGCAACGGCAGTGGCAGCAATGGTGGTGGGGCTGGTGGTGGCGGAGGAGGCGGCGGAGACTCCATGGAACGCCGCAACGAGGGCAACAACAAACCCTCCTCGCAATCCTCCACTCAGCCCATGGAGCGACCAAATTTGGCGGGCAAGACCTGGTACTACGGCGCCATCACTCGCAGCCAGTGCGACACGGTGCTCAATGGCCACGGCCATGACGGCGACTTCCTCATCAGAGACAGTGAGACTAACGTAAGTGGGAAGAGCAGTTGTTGAGAGCTGGACCTAAAACCTTATTCTACTATTGCAGATGGGCGACTATTCGGTTTCGCTAAAGGCACCCGGCAGGAACAAGCACTTCCGCGTGCATGTGGAGCAGAATATGTACTGCATTGGGCAGCGGAAATTCCACTCACTGGACCAGCTGGTCGATCACTACCAAAGAGCGCCCATCTACACGAACAAGCAGGGCGAGAAGCTGTATCTGGTGCGATCGCTGCCCAAGGCCAATGGAACGTAAATTGATGAATCGCGGAGGAATCTCATCGAAAGTGGGGCATCGGGGGCATCATTATTACCCGTATTAAGCATTATACAACACAAAGATATACCAAGGCTAAATTTATAGGCAGCTCAGCAGCTCAGCTCGACGTGTAGTTCAATGTAGTTTCCAGATACAAATTCAGATTCAAACTCAGTTTCAAATTCAGTCTTAGATTCGGATTAAGATTCAGATTCAGTTAAATGCCAAAACCAATTCGAAGGTTCAAGCGCAGTTCAGTTCAGTTGATATCAGATCAGAGACCGAATGGAATCTGTGTATGAGTGTGTGTGTATATATAGATCTTATATAACCACGGAAGAAGGACCTTTTTGTACTTTTATATAATTAAATTAAATTAAATTAACGCTTAATTAACGCATTGGCTATGTTAACGTGGAGAAAGCACACACCACACATCACATTACCTTTTGTGAGCCGCCTTCGGAGGTGGCAAGTGAGGGATGTGACAGATGAGAGGGATGAGATGGATGATTCAAAGAACAATTCTAGATGTCAACATGCAACATTACACTTACATAAGTATATAAAAAACATACCATATACATACATGTGCACATATTACTATATTCTAAAACGAAAGTTGTAGCCGACTAAAATGTACACAAGAAGAGACTAGACAGGAGAGCAGAAAAGATCGAGATATGAGAACGCTTTTAACCCAAACACACACTTGAGAAATGTAATATGAAATATGAACCATACATATATACATACGTATAGTATATATATAAATATATATAGTATATATGTACGGGTCGGTATGTGCCCAAAATCAGTATGATGATGTCTATTATACGTGCATAACGATTACCTATGTATAACCCAAGTCCGCAATATAGTTGTTTGTGTATGTACATACATGCCACCATGCCACACACATCGCACAACAAACTCAACCCCCCCACACACACACACACACAGCCAGAGTGAGGATCGCTCCTACAGTCATTTTTGTTATTTAACCATTTAATTATCGACTACGATATAACCATAACGAAATACAATTGATATCTCTGAGCAGCTCTGGCTCCAGATGCTGTTCGCATAATTATAAAAAAAAAATCACATAATCGAATCGTTTGTGCGGCAACCGGGGAGGGGGAGGCTTAACTACGCCATACTGTACAGTTGATGCAAAGCTAACACACACAAACACACACCTAGGACACCTCTTTCACAATATACATAAAACTATACATATTTACCTTTTATTTACGATTAAGAGTAGAGTGCAGCGATTCCAGCTTTAACTTTTGTTTAATTATTGCAATTACATTTTTGTTTGCCTTTTTTGATAATTATTATTTTGTTTTTATTTAGCTCTAGGAAAGTGATTAGGTAAACGATGATTAGATACGGGACGGGGACGGGGGCGGGGACTGGCTGCCAGGCGAGGAGTTAGCTGACTTTTCGACTTTCTTTCATATGCGAATTTTTAAGATATAAATTTATATATATACGAGTACGTAACAAAATAAACCTTAAATAATTTATGGTAATTTAAACAATTGCTAAAAACCAACTAGAACTAAAGAAGACGAGAACAAACTAGAAATTATACCGAAACGGAAATGAATAAAAATAAACATTCAAATAAATTAAATAAAATGAACGTCTCGTTCGGGTTCATTTATTAACAATCGGAGCCAAAGGAATAGCGATAAAAAGGCTAAAAAAGGATAAAAAAAAGATTTTCGCTTTCCTGTGACGAAAAAACATTCCACTCGTAGATTTAAAAAAAGTATTTAAATATTTGTTAATCATTATTTTCGATGATCGAGAGTATCGGATATCAGAGCGGCCAGCTTCAATATTTTCATAGCAGTCAGCTTTGAGAACCAGATGTAAACGTTTCATAGCCCCAGCATTGATGGTTTCACATTTGTGGCCATTCGCAAATCTCGCAGAATCTCGCAAATTTGAACCAATTTTTTCCTGGGTTGATTCTAATTTCTGGACATTTTTTTTTTACTTTTTGCATTTTTAACTTTAATTATCATCAACTGACATAAATTTTAAAAAGCCTATCTAGCCTTTTTACACCACGAATAAATCGGGAGCTCCCAATTTTAGTTTTACTTCAGCCAAAAATGTTACAGTTGTATACAAAATCCGCCACCAGTGTATTAAAATGATCGACTCTAATTTCTGAACAATTCTAATTTGTGAGAATCTGCTGTTTCCGTATATCTGGGTTACAATTCCCCTACAAATAACATAGAAGAAAAACCAAAAATTGATTGATTCAAAGATAATTATGCACATAGCGTTCTTATTTGTTTTTATTGAAATTTCGTAGTTTAAATAACTTTAAGGCTTCGATAATGTTTCTGTTTGTAAGGCTAAAAATGGAAAAAATTCTTTGCTTCTTATCTGGACATGGGCATGGGCATGTGCAGAGTGAGCATGTGAACGTGATTCATGGATGAGGGGTCGGTTGGGGGTTCCGTATGGGGCGGTATTACATTTGGGGCTTACAATTATAAATACTCCACTCACACGACACAGACAGACCGTTTGTACGCACGTACTAACGTCTGTTGGTGGTGTAACAAAGTTAAACTTTTTATTGAGCAATCTGCACGTACGTGCAGCTGCGGCTGACTTACGGAAAAGGTAAGCGAGCAGAGAGTCAGGGTACAGAAATAAGAAGCAAATTCATTAGGTACAAAAGCATATATGTATATATATCTGGGGTAGTATCTGTTTATGGTATCTCTATCCGTATAATTTATAGTTTTATAATCTTATTAAGGCCACACAATCAATAACTGACAGAGTTTCTTATCCGCAACGAAAGTGCTAGAGGGGACAGGTGACAGGTGACATTGAAATCGCCAGAGACAGAGAGACAGAGAAGAGAGGCTGAGAGAGAGTACTTTGCCTCTCACTAGTATTAGTACATGTTCTAGATTTTTATCATATAAAAGAATATATATATATGTATATATCATCCCGCTCTGGAGGCGCGTACACATTTTCACCTATGTACACCAGCCGTTAGAGTGTGTTTTTTATGCATCGTACTCGTACTCGTATATAGTAGATTAATGCTATTGTTCGTAAAATGGACTAATTTCGGTTCGGTTCACTCGCAGCGCAGTTGTTCCTTCTGGAGTCCCCCGCTTTGTTCTGGCTGGCTGTCAGCGTCTCAGCCAAGTGGCGTCGAGTGGCGAGTGTTGCTTCTGGCTTGAGTCTCATAAAAATGGATTATTGGTGTTCATGGCGCCGCTTGCCTGTGAAGAGAGAGAACGTTTAATATTGATTCGGACTGCCATTTGCCTTGTGTTTTCCCCACTTACTGCAAAAGGATTGTTGGCCATAACTGGTGCTGGCTGCATGCTGCCAAAGCCGCAGCCATTGGGCAGACCCTGGCCCATGGCATAGCCATTGTTATTAAAGTTAAAGAAGTTTGTCTGCTGCTGCTGCTGTTGGGGACTGCTGCCGTATGCATTTGGTATGAGCGTCAACTGGCCATAGAGATTCTGCTGCTGCTGCTGCTGCTGCTGCTGCTGTTGCTGCTGCTGGAATGGATTCACCACGTGATTGCTTAGCATCTGCTGCTGCTGCTGGCTCTTGAAAGGATTCGGATTGTTGTTGATAAGAGCTGCACAAGGAGAACCCAATTAGTGACTGCTTTAAGGACGGCTTCAAGTGTTTTGAGCACTTACCGCTGCCAAAGGCGTCCGTCGCCTGGTGGCCATTGTTGTTGTTGTTGTTGTTGTTGCCATTGGTGGGCGTTGGTGCCTCCGAGGCGGACGACTCACTGGCCTTCAATTCGCGCAGCTGCTCATCGAGGTCCTTGAGTGCCGCATAGCGGTCCTCGCTGGGCGCCACAGCCGATGCACTATGGCCTGCGGGTGGCGTGTGGCCATTCTGCAGCGGAGCGCCTAAAAGAACATGGAAAATGGATTAGTAGCTGAACCAAGCAAGTGGGGTTACAAGGGGGCTTCAACTACTGGCAAACGAATACACAAATCAAAACTAAACACAGAACCAAAAGGAGTACAAACAAATCAATCAAAGAACGAAGAACGAAACGCAACTGAAAACGCAACTCAAAACTTACTCCACGTAAAGAAATCACTGAAATTGGCATTCAATATGTCGGAATCTTGACTTGAACTTGAAGTTGGATTTGGTTCTTGGTTTTGCTGTTCCGCTTGTGGCTGTGCTGCTGCCTCTTCCGCTTGATACTCGTACTCCTCCTCCTCGGGAAAACTGCTCGACAGGGAGCTGAACAACAAGTAGGAGGCACGGCTTGGCGGAGGCAGCGGAGGCTCTGCAGACAGAAAGGGATTTGTCGGCGACAGTGGTGGCTCTTCGCCGCTCGAGTACCAGGAGTTGGTAGAGTTTGTGCGTTGGATCATGGAGTATTCCATCTCTGGCTCTGGCTCCATGTGCATCTGCTCCTGCCAGAAGCTCCAGTTCAGCGCGGGCTCTTCGTTCACCCTGGATGCTGCTGCTGCAGGAGTAGTTTGTGGCTTTGGCGGCAGCCAATTTCTATCGTCGAAGGGATCGTGGAAGTTGTGCCTGCTCCAGTCACTCACCCAACCGTTGAACACTGGCGGCAGCGCCTTCACCGCCCTGGGAGCTGCCCGCAAAGGGAGAGAAAGATTGTCAGACACTGAATCCATAGCTGAAGGATAGCATATGGGGCGGAGGCAAGCGTTCTACATGTGGTGCAAGCATGGTGGCAGGAGGAAGCAGGCTCCTCGAAGAGTGATCGAAAGACGAATCCGCGCAACTCAAAACTTAAATAAAACCAAAGGAAACGAGATGGGACGTGTGAGACGCTTCTTACGCGTCACAACTTGTATACCCGGTACTCGTCAAAGTACCTGTCGCATATTGTTTTTGTTTTGAATTTTACATTTGACATTTTATATTTTTTCTACACCTGTCTCTCTCAGACCCACACACTGCAAATCCACGGCAGTGGGAGAGACAAGTCAGAGGCAGAGGCATTGCAGAAGCAGAGTGTAAATGAGAGAATGTGAAAAAAAAACAAATATAAGCTGCGGGACAGGGTAGGTTTAGCCACTGGAAATTAATTTATTCATTGTGGCCATAATAATGATCCAATCGGATCGCAATTTGGTGATCTGATAGATATGGTCATCCCCTACAGAATGGCGTTTTAGTTTTCTTTTATCTTCAAAATTCCAAATTGATTTGGGAGGTTTTTGGCCTTTTACGGGGGCGGAAGGGGCGTGGCTCATTTTTGAAATACACTTGTAACAGTGTGAGCCACATTTAGCTAGCTCTTATAGTCTCTGAGATCCAGGCGCTCAACAAGACGGACATGGCTCTATCGACTCGGCTATTGATTCTGATCAAGAATATATATACTTTATGGGGTCGGAAACGCTTCCTTCTGGGCGTTACATACAACCGTTATTCGCACAAATACAATTATACCCTATTTACTCTTCGAGTACCGGGTATAAAAAGGAAGCAAGTCCCCTGTGGTTCATCCCCCTCACTTACCCACGCCATTGAAGATGGGCGCATGATCAAAGTCCGCAAAGTTCTCCGCTCCCTGGCTGCCATTCAGTAGCTGCTGTTGCTGCTGCTGCTGCTGCTGCTGGTGTAGGTGGGCCGCTCGAATGGGCTGTACCTTGGCATATCCATTCGTGGAGCTCACCGATGAGGCCGAGGAGACGGCCGGTGAGCCTGTGGATCTTGCCGAAGTCGCATCAAAGATATTGGCCGTGCCAAAGTCCGCCACAAAGTCAGTTTCACCGGCAAACCCGTTGCTGGCGCAGCTGCTAGTGTCCGAGAGGGCGCCCGTGGACGTGGATCCGGCGCTGTTGAGGCTGGTAAGTCCTACTCCGTTCAGCCCAAAAGCGTCATGGTTGTTGTTGCTGTGATGGTGATGCTGCGGCCTGCTGATGCTCGTGGACGTGGCTGAGGAGCTGGAGACGGGTGTGCCCTTGTGCAGGCCATTGGCTGTGGTGCGCTGGGCGGCAGGCGGCGTCAGGTGAATGCTGGCATATCCATTGCTCGACAGCGTCGAGACACTCACTCCATTGTGATGGTGGCCATTGTGGCTGTGACTCTGCAGGTTCACGGGAGCAGCAGCCTTCAGATTGAGCGACTTCAACGGACTGGCTGGCTCTAGGTAGTAACGCTTCCGCTCATACTTGTCGGTCATTAGCTCCCGCTGGTCCTGCTGCTGCTGGTGGGCGGCCCGCTTGGGGTCCCACAAGCCCAGCCAGGTCTTGGCGCACAGCTCGTTGCCGTGCGAGCGCAGGAAGTCGATCTCCTCTTGTGTGAAGGTGGCCATCGATATGGATTTCACACGATGTGGCGGCGTCAGTCCCCGTCTGCAAAGGGAGAGAGGAAGAGAGAGAGAGACATTAGGCAAGGCAGAAATTAAGTTTCAAGTAATTATTATTGTGTTATGGAAATTGCCTCAAGTTTTCCGCGCGCTTGATGCCAGAGACGCAGACCAGGTGGCGGCATGGGTCAGTGGGTCACAGAATGCCAGAACGACCCGCCAAACGGGCGTTCAATTTCAGTTAATTGCGCAAATTAATTCGCCCTGGCCTTGGGTCTGGGGTGGGGCTTGTGCTCCAAGCAGCAATTGGAGCACTTGGAGTGCGGCCAGCAGTGTGGCATGAAAACCGAAACCCAAAAACAAACTAAAATGATGGATGGGCTGGTCGCGCAGGGGCAGGGGCCGGGGCTCCCGTTAGAGAGTTTTCCAGCAAAATTTGCCTCGCACCGAAAGCTAATTTCGGTTTTTTCACGAATTTCCCAAACGAAACGAGCACACCAAACGGCCAGCAAAACAGCAACAAGAAAAGCAACAACCACTTGAACGGACAAGCAACAACATGGCAACAGAGAAACAGCAACAGCACCAGCAAATAGCAAATAGCAACAGCAACAGCAGAACGGGCTAACAGGAAAATCTGCAATGCGAATATTGAAACACTCTTTGATTTTGGTTTTTGGTAGATTTTTAGAGCCCAAAGAGTAATGGTTTTGATGGGGCATTGTCGTTAGAATAAAGTTAAATGTTTTATTTCGGTAATCTGCTATGCAGAAAAGATATTTGTGAGTGGTTTCCAGATCAAATTGTTGATCTATCTGTGTTATCTGTCTATCAATTACACTGTGCAACAAATGGCAACTTTTAGAATGTGCTTCGCTGGAGGCAAAAATAAGATTTTAGTTCTTGCTGGGCCAACATTAGAAAACTGCTTTAAGTTAATAAATAATTCGTATCTTTGGAATTCTTTAAACAATTTAAATAATTAGTAGCTTATTTTGTTAAGAATATATGCCACTGAAGAGTTCACGCCCTAAAATATGACAAAACAAAAATATTTAAAAAGTTGTCAAAGTTGAAGAAATTTGTTATAATTGGTAAAAAAGACTTTGAGTCCGCCATATCTTCAAGAATCAAATTTCCTGTGAAAGTTAGAGCAATTTTCTTTCAAACTCAATTTGGTTTGTGTGCGCTGCAGTTTCTGTGTCACTGAATCCCGTTTTTATGAGATTTTGGGATTTAATTGCAAGCTCCAATTATGAGGAGTCATCGAGTCCTACAGCCAAATATTTGTCGCGCTCATAGTACATTCAAACAGTTCCCATTTGTCGCACAGTGTTATTATCAAAGTATCAATTATTACTTTGATTATCTACAAAAACAGGAAACTATTTTACCCAAATAACAAATATAATATGACCCACAGATAAGACAAACGACTGGCATTTACATTTGTACAATTTTTGATTGGATTATTACCAACATAAAAGCCCAATTCCAAGTAGATACTACAGTACAGCCCTCGCATTCATTCATGAGTAGGAAATGACTCAAAGGCAATAGCTATTTCTAGTTTTTAGGGAATTTGAAACATGTGCGAGCAATCCAGATTATGACTAAACCAAAGGGGCTTTCGCTGAAGAATTTTTAGACAGATATTCTACGAGCAACAGCAGTAAAGATGGATCTGATAAGGAGAGTTCCGCGTTGATAAAATGTATACAACCCTGCCAAAAGGAAAGCCATAGCAGTAGTAGCAGCAGGCAGCATAGAGCCAAATATGCATATGGCCATAGACGAAGTCGAGGCTTGAAGCTAAAAAAAAAACTGGACGTTTCACATGAACGCTTCGCTGCGTTTCAGTTGGTTAACTAGTTGCAGAGGGGCACAAACAAACCGGGGTGGAGAAGGTGGAAACGGTGCACGTTCTAGAAGCAACTACTGGTTAATGCCAATCATCAGAGACCGCCTGTGGCACAGCCCACAGCCACCAGCTGTACATCTTTTGTCATCCTTTCTGCCCGGCGTAATGCAATTGTGAATCAATTTGCAGCAGCAGGCTGCAGGCAGGAAGTCCCTAAGTGCCGTCTTTGAAAGCAAACAACTCTCGCTCCACTTCCACTTCCAGTTCCACCTTCTCCTTCGCTTGTTTGCTCGCTCACTGACCCAAGACGGACTTCCGCCGGCAGCCAAAAGATCTGCGGAGCTGACAATCCGCAACGGTGACAGCAAAGGCAACGGCAACGGCAACAGGCGGAGGCGGTTGGATGACCTTAGCCAGCTAGCAGCCGCCTTTGGACCAATCAAATGGTCCAAGTCCCAGGCCCAGTTGCAGTTCCAGTAAGTCCAAGTGAGAGCCGTGGCGACTAGAGCACGCACAGGCAGTTCGTTAGTTGGGTGTTAGGAGGCGGGTAAGTGGCATGCGGCAGCGGCAGTTGGCAGTAGCTATTTTTGAAATCCAGCGAATGAGCGGAGAAAGTGAAAGTTGCCCAGCGGCAACAGATGCAGCGGCTGTTAGAGGAGTGGAAGCCACACTACCAGAGAGAGGCAAAGCCAGCCACGCCCACCGTTTACAGCATTTGAGTCGCGCTTAGTGGGTGAGGAGAAGGCCTGGTGACGGGGGAAGACAATTTTAGCTGTAATGACAGCAAATTTTCCATCAATCGGAGGCCCCTCTGTGAAGTGCAGTGGCAGTGTGACCAACCGATTGTTTGGCAATTTAATTTGTGGGGAAATTTGTAGAGGGAAAAACTGGCATACCATTAAAAAACTATTAATTCAAACAATTTGAAAAACTTTTAATGGTTTTTTTATGCGTTTTGTTAACGTTAAATTCGAATTAAAGAGAATACCAGTCTTGGGGCAGCTTTTATGACCTTTTCCCTGTATTCTGCAATCGAAAATTGCTTGAAAACTCTATCTGGGGAACTGTTCCATATGAAAGTAACAATATTTAAAAGGTTTGTATGCCAACCCATGGATAAAGGTTACAGGTACAACACTCATACTCCGTAGATCTTCTAAAGTGCTGTTCAATATTAGCATTGGAATGCTAATTGAGAGACGAACTACACATCTGTACATCTCTGTGTATCTCAAAGAGAATGCAATGCTAATTGGAAGTCAACAGAGCAGCGGCAGCATCAGCATCATCAGCGTCGCTGCAAATTGGAAACTGTGTCACCCACCTTACAGGCCAAGACAGGGGGTAGGGTCCAAGGGAACATCCACTGCGAACTGCATTTGGAGAGCATCGATTCACTAGCACTGCTTCCCCATCACTCCCGCTACAGCAATTCTCGGGAGCTTTTGAGCTTTGACACCCCCACCCAGATTCTGCGCTCGCAATTGCACTCTCCCTCTGACACAGGCAGCTGGCTGGGTGTTGGGGTTTCCACAGTTTACGCCGGATGGATCTCAATCTCCGATCTCTGATCTCGGATCTCGACGGTTTTCGTTTCGTTTCGTGCTTGGCACAAGTGGATACAACATACACACACATGCCACAGAGACTGTAATGCAGATAAAGCTTAGCTTACTTACACACACAAACACACACACACACATAAACGGAAACACACACTTATTTATACTAATACATTCCTATTTGTCTTTGCTGAAAAAGTGCAAAACTTGTTTTTTGCGCATTTTGCGCACTCAGCGTGAAAAAAATCAACTCAAACAAAAACAAAAGTAAAACTCGTTGCTGGTCTGCGGCAAAATACACCGAAAAGCAAAAAGCAACAACAGCAACATCACAATAATACAGAAAAGCCATCACAACATACACACACATACACACATACACAAACAAGAATGAAAATCTAGCTTCAAGAACGATGCTTTAATTACCCTTTCCAGTGGCATTATTACTACGACTGAGAAAATAATGGTTATAAAAAATATCCACAGAAACTTGTAGCTTTATTATTTTGGAAGTTATGCATTTAATTCTTTTCGCTGCGCAAACATTCACACGAAAAATAATAACGTCTAGGAAGTGTATAACAATAAGTACAATCCGCGAATTGTACGTCGAGCAAAAACAGAGGGGAAAGGAATATAAGAAACACCAACAAAAGAAGGCAACATCGACAACTTGGGACCTACCACATGACGTTTAGCATCGAGACTTTAAGTGACGGCATGACGGAGTGACAGACGACAAAGAAAAATATCAAAAGGCACGAGAGGCAGCCAAAGCATTGAAGCAATGAAGCAACGAAGAAAAGTAAAGAGCAGACTAAATTATGATAATAAATAACAGCTTAAATATGGAAAGAGACTTCTCACATATGAACTTTTGATTTTGGTTTCGCCTTAGCACTTGGACAAACAACACAAAGCTAAAAGAACAACGAATCGTGCTGAGAATACCCAGCAATTGATGAGGGATATGGGAGCTACAAACACACATGACACAAAGTGAACCGAAGTGGGCAATACAAAAACTTAATTTAACATGTTAATTAATTCTTGGAATGCAGCGATTGTTCTTGCAGCGAAAACACCGCTGGGGCTATGTCAGAACTTATGGTAAATATACCCTTCTGCTCTTCGAGTAAAGGGTATCATAATACCATCCACGCAAATTTCTTGCATATTTATATTCATTTCTTCTCCCCATGAGTCACAACTGGAGAGAGGAAGATGTGTAAAGCGAAAGGGCGGGGTGAAGGGGTTAATATTGTTGCCAACAATTTCAACAGAGAAGAGTGATTGTATGTGTGTGTGTTTGTTGTCTGTGAGCAGCACATTCACTTTACTCTTTCGCTGAGAAAAAGCAATTAGTCAATTTCAGAAGAGCACAGAATAAGAGACCTTGCCCCAAGACATTGTCTGCCGAGAGAAGGGTGGGCACTGTAGAAACAGTTATTACAGTTATTAGTTTTGACTTCTGAGAGGAGCACTCGAGAAACTTGAGCTAATTTCATTTCAACACTTTCAAAGGTCACAGCGTTGGCCCTAGAATGGGAACTTACAGCGTTTGCTCCCGTTTAAACCGCGGCTGGCTACAATTGAATTCCGTGGCTAGGATGGCTTAGTTGCAGCTCGCGACGCGATCAGAACACGACTGTCGCCAACAGATCCAATAAACATAAAAATAGCACACGTCTCCAGTCTGGGACAAAATGCGTTTCAGACTAAGCGCGAAATAAAACGCATGCAAATAGCGCCTCAAAGTGCGGGGGGCGGCAAGTGGAATGAGATAAGGAGGGGTGTCTGGGGGTGACGGGTACCAGGAATTGATATTTACTCGGAAATCGAGTGCGCAATGGAACGCCCTTTCCAGCGATCGCCCTTTCCAGTGATTCCACTAATTGATCATCGCTAAATGGGCAATTAAACAACAGTTGTCAGACAGGCTTTGTCTGGGAAGCTGGAGGCTGAAGCGCTCTTTATTTGTCATGGAACAAGGGGAGCAGAAAAACACCACAAAGAACGCTTCGAATCAGATGGAGCTGATTGCCATGGGCCTCTGCGACCTCCAGCAGAGGTTCTTCCGCGTGGTATCGATGAATCAGCAGGAACAAGGCTGCCTGGTGGTGGTGGGTGGTTGATGGTGTCCCCTGGAACACAATGAAAGTCAATCTTTGTCTCCGGAACGAATCTGATTACAATTTACACACACACACACACACAGACACAGAGCGAAAGAGCCATCCAGAGCTATAAATACATACAGGTTTCAATTTCAAACCGCAGCCAAGTGACACACAAGGCAATGCCGTCCAGCCCAGTCCATCTCCCTTTCTCCAATGTCACCGGGAACCCAGAGCGAGACAACAAAAGCCAGCCTGAACATGAGAATTGAGCTCCTCCAAAGTCATGACATATGTGAGATGTGAGCGTGTGTGTAAAATATATGAAAATTGCTTCCAGCTTTGATTTTGATTCTCCTTCACGCGCACAAAATGGCCTCGACTAGACAAATACTCTCTAAGTGATCCAAGGCTCAGCTCACAAAGGTCCCATCCGGCACGTACTTGTGTACTCAGCGGTCGGAGGAGAGTCGAGTTGAGTGTGAGTCTGAGTACGAGTCCGAGTCGAGTCCCACGGTCAAGAACTTGCAGGGAAATTACATTCCAAGGTCGCGAGATAAGCAAACACCAGCAAGAGAAGCGAGAGGGAACTAACTAATCTCCCATAAAGACAGAGAGAGAACGAAGCAATCTTTTGCACTAGTACTTCCCCTTCTTCTTTATATTAGCTATCGTCAGCTTCAAAAACAGCAAAAACAAACTAGCAAAAACAACAAACACAAACACTCTCCCATCGTCCGAGAGCATTCAAAAGAGAGAGAGGAAGGAGAACTCTTTGTCGGCTGGCAGACAAAAACGCTGACCTACTCTGAATGTTGTCCAGCTGTGGAACTGTGGAGTATTTTAATTGCAAAGTTTCGTTGAAAAGCAGCTTTTCCCGCAGACGTTGCACTTTTTGACGCCCATTTGCACTGCTGCCTGGTCCGTGGACCCATCTGGTGTTACTCAATTAGAACTGGGACCAAATCCCACGCATTCCGATTCCAGTTCTCATTCCCCCCAACCCGTGGTTATAAATGGAACTTATGTCTATGTGTGAGTGACGCCTTTTGGCGCAGAGACGCCATCGTCTGGCATTCGCGGACTCGTCGTGTTTGTCGCACAAAATAAATTAAACTTGGCAGTGCGCCCCCCTTTGGGAGGGATAAGGAGGGTACCGGCTAGGACTCTATGGCTATGGCTCTTGCTCTATGAATATTTTAATAATGCCATCCATCGTCTGAGAACCAGAGCTGCAAATTGCCTAAAGAGCCTTGAGCCCCTTTGGCCGACCAAATGGCCATGGATGAAAAATGAAATATGCAAAGAGGCCTCGGACCAGAGACCATTCAGCAAGCAGCCAGCCTATGAGTATTCAAAGAGAATTCTTGGACAAAGCCGAGTGGGCTAGGCAGGATTCGGCTTAAGACTGCGTCGCTGCAGGGTGGATACCCTGTTTACGATGATGCTTGACTGAATCGATCGATGAACGCAGCATGCCCTGCCGCCCAATGGGTAGCTGCTGTGGCAAAAGAAAAAGCCATTAATCTCTGTGTGGGCGGAGCGCCTCCTTCTGCTTGCTGGTCGTTCTACATTCCCATTCCCATATCACTTCTCACCACTGAATCGCACACTCTTCCTCTTCGGTTCTCTTGGGGATAGCCGCACTCCTAATTGGCCCCAGCATCTGCCTCAGTGGCCCGGCCAACTCGAGCTCCTCTCTCCAGCTGAGAGGAACGACTGGCGCCTGCTGGCTAAAGTGGAGCACAGCACCCCGGACCCCTCTTCGCACATGTTTCCGCATTTGAATTGCATTCACAGCTGCTGTCGCTGCTGCTACTTTGGCTGGGGCGGCGAGAGTCATATCGAATCGTTTGTCGCTTTGGGGTTTGCGCCTTTGAATTATTAATAGATTTGAAAAATCTCTATTTCAAGGCGAGAGCACAAAATAAACACAAGGGGGCGAGTGGGGGAATAGACAAAACAAAGGAAAGGCAAACACAGAGAAACGGCATTTACAAAGCAACAACAACGACACCTTCCAAGAGTGTGTGCAGGCAGCATACATAAGTGTGTGTGTGAGTGAAACGAACTGCGCAATAATTGTCGTCGGGTCAGCCCACCTCTCTCACTCCCACTACCCCTCCCTGCTTGGAGCCTATGACTTTGTTTGCATTAAATGCGATTCACAATTTCCCTTAAAAGTTCTAGGAGAGGGCTTGAGGATAGGGGAACGAAGTGAAACTTCTAGGAACGGTATGGTAAACAATTTGCATTTGAAATCTTGTATGTGTAAAAACACAAAATGTACACAAGTATGACGAGCAATGGGAGTGCTTGCTGAGTGCCTCCCACTCACACTTATTTGTGGCTGCTCTTACACATGTATTTGATTTGTTTTATTTAATTGCTTTGCCTTTTCGTTTCTTTTTGCTTTGCTCTTTCTTTAACTTGGTTGTTTTTTGGTCGAAAAAGAAATAAACGGGCCACACAGCTGACACACCGCATGGTGAAAGTGTGCCCCCGCCACTAACCCTTACCCTTACCCTGCCCCAACCCCTATTCATATTGTTGTCTACTGCTGTCAAATGCAGACACTTTTTATGCTGTTTCATAATCGAAAATTTACATACGAAACCGCAGCATGGAGAGTACAAAAGAAAGAAAAAGAGAGAGAGAAGGAGAAGGAGAGAGCAATGTAGTTGAGCTGAGAGTACGGTTTGGCCCAGTTGCAACTGCACTTGGGACTACCTAGTGAGCGAGATAGAAAGAGCGAGCGAGCGCCCGCTGACGCATCGCCAGCCTTCCACTAGAAGCATGCACTTACACATATGTATGTATGTACATGTGTGCTGCTGGTACAGTGGGATTGATGACGAAGACCCCGCCTGAGAAAGTGGCTCAACATTGGTGCTCCCAATGTGGCCATTGCATGAGTGTGTGTGAGTCTGTTTGCTTTCGCCTTATCTAATCAACAAGTTTCTTGACTTTTATGAGCCAACAGTCAGGCCAACAAGCTTTGAACTCTGTTGCTGGTGGTGGAGGTGCTGCTGCTGCTGTTGTTCCGCTGCCGAGTGGGCCAAAGCCAAAGTTAGAGCAGATGTCGGGTTCCCAGACCAGACGACTGACTGCTGCTTGATTGAGGTGCAACAATTTGTCCGCAATCGGAGGCAGACCCCAACAGCAACAGCCAAAGCAATAGCAGCTAGCAGCCCAAAAATACAAAAAGTATGCGCAAAAGCTGCTTGACAGGTTTCGTGCCGATCCCCTTCCTGTACCCCCACTACCAGTGCCACTACCACTACCATTGCAACTTCATTCCCACTTCCATTCCTGAAGCCGCTTCCTCCATTAACCCATTCCAAGGGGCCGGCCGGTCTGCAGCGGATTCTTCCAGCAATCGAGTGAGAGGGGGGGAGGTGTGAGAGGAGAGGACTCAACATGAACAGCAATTTTGTCTTGGACTTGGACTCGGGAGTGGGTTTCGTTGCCTCCCTCTCCCTGAAGTCCCTTCTGCCATTCCTGTCCGAGGCATTTGTGCGGCTTTCCATTTACATGCCAACATTTGTCTCCCCTTTCAGGCGGCGGCGGATAAGGGGAAATGAGTCATCAGGCATGAAGGGTTTCCAGTGCAGTACATTGCGCATTGGGCACTGGGCACCTGGCTTGCTTGGGGCAGATGCAACGATCAGTCAGTCCAAGTCCCGCCCGCATGCTGCTCAATTGAGTAGATTCCCATCTAGGGCGGTCGTCCAGTCGTGGGAATGGGAACGGGACGGAAGCAATCATGCAATGTTAGGCCCCATCCGGAAATGCGTAAATCAAATCAATTGTAACAAGAGTCCAACAAGGAGATGACCCCAATCTGGAAATAACTGGTTCGAATCAGAGCCAATTTGCCAAATTACTTGACATTCTGCCGCTGATTGTAAGGACACCCCACCACCACCAACCAACGGAGGGTAGCGGGTGGCTGTTTGGTGGTTATAGAAATCGAAACGAAGACGACATCGAAAGTGCCGCAAAACAATTGCGTTTCGGCCAAAAGTGGAAGCACAGCCAGCGACAATTGAAAGTTTGTCTTCGATTTGCATTTCCAAATTGCTCGTTCGTTCGCTTGCCGGGAAAGGAAAGGAAACGGATTTGAATTGAGTGGAATTGAATGGAATGGCTTTCGCTTTCGCGAAACAAGCGAGCGGGGCGAAATGGCTGATAGAGGGGGTCGTCTTGGAGGCGACAGGTCGGACATTGCATCCCCTGCAAATTATCGGTCACTCCACTCTCTGGGGGAATGATCGAAAATTGACGTCAGTCAACGATAAGAGAGATGTGTGGTGCGGTCACAACGGTCTGTCCAGGGTTAAAAGAAATGCACTGCAATGAATGCTCACTGGAACTGGTGAGAGAGAGGATGTTATTGGTATGCTAGGAATCCCGTTTGAAAGAAAGCCGACACAGGGGCAAAATTGTTTTCCCACTCTCGAATCTAGAAAATAAGGATGAGCTGGATGCCGTTAGAATTCGCAGCGGCAAACAGATAGATCGAAAATGGATGAATGGAAAATTCCACTGTTCCGAGAATACCTCCCATGGCCGGGAGAGAAAGAGAAAAGAGAGAGCGAGGGAATTAAGTACTTACAGCACACCCGAGCATCGGGTACAGACAAAGGAACCGATCGTCATGTTCACGTAGGTAGGACCCTTCTGGCCACAGTCGAAGCACTGCCGGTTTCCCGCCCCGCTCGTCACCAGCTCCCGAAGGGCGAGCAGGTACTTGTCGTCCTGTTTCTTGCGCACCACCGCCATGCTGCTGCTGATGCTTCTGCTGGTACTGTTGTTGTTCAGGTTCTCGCTGGTGGCCCTGTTGTTTCCTGCTTCCGGCGAAGTTGATCCGATCAGCGGCTTGGTGGCGGCGGGGGGTCCGGTGCTACCTGGAACACTGCTCTGACTGCTGTCGCTGTCCGCTAGCTGCTCGGTATCCGAGGGGAGCGGCTCCTGGGGAGGCAGGGGATGGTGGCTCCGTTCGGCAGCGTAAGGCGCGTAGGGGGCGACGGCCGTGCGGTAGGAGTCCGCAGCTTGGGGGACGGAGCTGTTGTAGACGTAAACGAACTGAATTTTGCCTGATTTGCAGCCAAGGCTCGGCACAGATCCAGAGATTGAAACTGACGTAAGTGTATGGACACGGAAATGGAGACGATGTGGGTCTCTTTACGCAACACCAGCCAGCGCTGACCTCTTCCCTCTCACATGCCCCGCAGCAAACGCAACACTCAAATCGCACAACAAACAACGACGGACGCCGCCGTAGCTTACGAGGGGGTCACGGGCAACGGGCACTCTGTACGGAAACGGTTACGGATTTGCTTTAGTGTGTTTGCCGTAATATTCGAAACAGCAAACAACTTTAAGTCGAATATTAACGTTGTTAACGTTGTTTCCTGGAGCGGGGGGTCGGGTGTTCCCTTTTAAATTGCTTGAATTTATTTTTATTTACACTTTTTCACTTTGGCCTTTTGTTGTTAACAGAATTAAGCACGAACACAACACAACACACAAAGATTATATTTAAACAAATCGGGGAGACGCGGATTTTGCCCACCGCAGGCACGGAAATTGAAAGATTGACTGAATGATGGAATAATGGAATGGTGGAATGAAGAAACGAAAAAATGGGCACATGATAGAATTATATAGGGTGGTCCCGTCAGCTGCATAATCATTTCGTTTTCGCACCCCTAACGCTTGTTGACAGCAGTAAATTATTTAAAATCTAAATACAAAATAATATAACTTCAACTCTTTTCTTGTAAAGGTCAACTTTGAACCATTAAAGAGTTAATCACCACACTCTATTGTCATTTACTACACAGAAACCTTTCAATCGCAATGATTGACAGCATTGTAAGGGGCGCCGTGTTGAAAACGAGAACACCTTATATAATTGCATCATGAATTGGCTATGCATAAAATACCGTAAATTGTGGTATTTGAAGTATTTATTTTCGGTAGAATACAGTATTAGTTCAAAGTATCTGGAGGTTTAATATCAAATAAAAAATCAACAAATCAATTAAAGGCTCGGCTCGGGTGGTTTTATCCATAAAAAAAGAAAACCCTTATCAGATCAGGATTCAGGTGAAATGGTCAGGGAAATATTCTTCGTTTGGTCAAATGCTCGAATAAAGGACGCAATTATGAGTAAAATACCACATGATAACTTGAGTTGGTAAGAAAATCACTAAAATGACATTTAAAATCTGAATTTGGAACAAATTTTTATAAACAACTTTATCAACTACATATTGTCAAATGTTTTTAGTCATCTAAACGCTTTCGCGCGTTGCCCTTGTTGGCGAATTTACGTTTTTTGAATGTTGAAGGTACACTGGCAGCGGCCTCACCGTCCAGGCCGGAAATGGTCTTCTCCTTGAAGCGCTTAACCGGTGGCTCGGGCTCGCTGTTTGTGGACACCACAGGAGGAGGTATATAGTAGTCGGTCTGGGGCAGCTCCCAGTCTATGGGCTCTTCAGGGGCTCTGCAAAAAACAAATCTATAAAGTCAAATTTGCAAACGAAAGTACACCGATTGACGTACTTGACTTCCACTGTTTGCCATTGGCCAATCTCCTTGGTGGCCGCCTCCTCTTCAGTCTTGAACTCCAGCCTCTTCTCCTCCTTTTGCTTCTTCTCCTTGGCGGTCTCTGGTTTTCGGAAGGCCTTCAGGCGCTCTCGGTTAACGCGGGCCACTTCTTCATCGGCATTGGCTCGAAACCGTAGCGATTCCTTCTCCTGGGATATCTCCTGCTGGTCAATGGCCAGCTGATTGATGCGTTCGTACTCCTCGTATGATAGATATCCTTCCTTGGGTGGCTTCCACACGGACTCGTTCGTCTTCACGTTCCAGTAGTAGGTGTGGCCCTCATCCGACTTTCCCTCCACCCAGAGCGAGGCATCAGGCACAACGGGATCGGCTCCTACCTTGCTCACTGTCACGCGTCGATTGTCCTCCTCCTCATCAGAGTAGCCCTCCAAACGCATGGGATCCACCTGCCTGCCCCTGCCAGGGGCGTTTGCTCCACCGCGAGATCCACTGCTGCCCGAGGCAGCCACCGCGCTCATCACAGTGTTGATGGAACGGGCCGTCATGTCCGCACGTCCGTGTATATCCTGAGCATACGACTTCATGGCCGCCTCCTCCATCTTGCGTATGTCCGCATCCATTTTCAGGCGTTCCCGCTCTGACTTTTCGCTGCTGCGGCTAATGTCCGTGATCCGCTTGGCCACATTCAGCTTGTGTCGCTTGCCATCCTCATGGAAGGCGATGCTCTGTAAGAGTTCTGATTACAAGGACATCCATTGGGGTACGAATCGCATTACTTACCGCTTTGTTGTCGCTCAGCCAGCACTTGCAGAAGTCGCAGTACTTGCGCTCGTTTGATTTCCAGAATTCTGTCCTGCGGATGGGATTGGGTGAGTGTTTGCACAGAACATGGTACATATTATAGCACTTACATGATGATTTAAAGGTCGTATCCTGCTGAAATTAATTTAAATCGAGTTTTTTTGAGCAACGCAAAAGCAAAACAAACTGAGCGCAGTGCTGCCACCCTGTTGAAATCAATCGATAACGACAATCGAATATCTACTCGACGATGCGCGGCTAAAACATTGATTATATTTGGTCGCTATTCGTTAGTCGCTCTGCAGCTAGTCACCGTGCACCAGCGTCAGCCACTGCCTGCACAACAAGTACGTAAACGGGAAACGGCCCCATCTGAATCTTGACCATGGCACAAGCACGACTGGCAACAACAACGTCACTGACATCGTCGGCTCTGGGGCTGGCGGCGACGTCAAAGACAAGTGAGTGTGGTACCTTTCAAGTCTGACCTGTGGTCCAAAGTCTAGCTAGCGCTCTCTCACCTGGCGCAACAGACACAACACGATTTCACCGAAACAGTTTCGCCATCTCAGCCCCTGCTTTGCGCAGCTGTTTGTTTTGCAAGTGCTAAAAATTGTTTTTCTGTTGCGTGCAATGTCTGCTCGCGTTTCAGATGGCGTCGTGGAGGAACTCCTGGGCGCGGACAGCTGGGAGGAGTTCGAAATCGATGTACCGTGGGGCACTGTGGCAGGTAAGTGCGCGTGGAGTGTGACTCACACACATCGTCCAACCGTCTGGCTCGGCTTATCTACGGTCCGGAAGTATCGGCCCATAGCATCTGCCATTGACGTGATTTCACAATGACGCAGCGAGTAATCAAACGTAATTTCTCCCCCAGGCAAGTGGTGGGGCTCGCGCAATAGGCAGCCCATAATCGCTCTGCATGGCTGGCAGGACAATTGTGGAAGCTTCGACAGGCTGTGCCCCCTGCTGCCGGCTGACAGCGCTGTGCTGGCCATCGATTTGCCCGGCCACGGCAAGTCGACGCACTATCCCCAGGGCATGCAGTACTTCATTTTCTGGGATGGCATCTGCCTCATCCGGCGCATCGTGCGCAAGTACAACTGGAAGAATGTCACCCTGCTGGGCCACTCACTGGGCGGAGCGCTGACGTTCATGTACGCCGCCAGCTTCCCGGAGGAGGTGGCCAAGCTGATCAACATTGACATTGCCGGGCCGACGGTGCGCGGCATTCAGCGGATTGCCGAGGGCACGGGCAAGGCGCTGGACAAATTCCTCGACTATGAGTCGCTGCCGGAGAGCAAGCAGCCCTGCTACTCGTACAACGAGATGATCAAACTGGTGCTGGACGCCTACGATGGCTCCGTCGACGAGGCCTCAGTGAAGATCTTGATGCAGCGAGGCATGCGCCACAATCCCACCAAGGATGGTTATCTTTTTGCGCGGGATCTTCGGCTCAAGGTGAGCCTGCTGGGCATGTTCACCGCGGAGCAGACCCTGGCCTATGCCCGCCAGATACGCTGCAAGGTGCTCAACATACGCGGCACGCCCGGCATGAAGTTCGAGACGCCCCAGGTCTATGCGGATGTGATAGCCACCCTCAAGGAGCATGCTGCCCATGTGGTCTACGTGGAAGTACCTGGCACCCATCACCTGCATCTGGTCACGCCGGAGCGTGTCGCATCGCACATAAACCATTTCCTGCGCGACCAGTAGGACACGCTACGGAGGGGGGAGCGGTGCTTAATTAAGTAGGAGGCTAATTGTAGATTAATTTCACTGGATTGTGATGACGTAACAGATCAAAGGTATTGTGTGGACTTGGACGTAGAGTACCACATTTAATAAAACCGAAAACTAATAGGCAAATTACACATTTACATTTAATTATTGGGATAAATTGTGGGTTTAAAAAGTTGCTTCCTTTTCGGAGTCTCGGAATATTCGATTATTTGTACGCTTTACAGCACTCAACACCACTATCACCACTAATAACAACAGAAGAAGCAACTCAAAACTTGGCGCGTAACCGTAATGGTTCACAGGTTTCCGATAAAGATAGGTAGGGCGTCCACCTGTTTCCATACATCTGGCAGCTCCGAATGAGCATCACATTTACCGTTGCTTGGTTACTCATTTGTTTACACTTTTTATTTTGCCTTTGAAAGAAACTATGGACCTTATAAAGGAAATTAATGAGAAATATATGGCACTGGAGTCGGAAATCGATCAGAAACTGGATAAAGTGTAAGCAGGAGTAGGCTTCCATGGGGGAACACTATTTTATTGATGTTTTCCTGCAGCCACGCTGAGGAGCTGAAGCTGGAGCGTGAGAACGAGAAGCTGGCCAAGATATCGATACATCCGCCGCCACCCAAGGTGCTGTCCTACGAAGAGGCACTACTAAGGAACACAAACACACTCAAGGTGAGTTGGAGGAGGCTTTTTCGTTTAACTACTAATGAAATCTCATTCTAAAGTCGCTGGAACTGGCAAAGGCTCGTCTGAGGTCACGCATTACCTACTCGCCGGTGGAGAAACTGCTGCAGCAGGCGCTAGACAACTACAGAAAGGAGCTAGTATCGCTGCAGGCAAAGAATGAAGTGGCCAACGAGGCAGCGGAGGAGCAAAACCTTTACGAGCTGGTCATGCAGAATGTATTCGAGGCCAGCGGCAAAGGAAGCGACAAGAAACAGAGTCTGGCTCATATGAAACTCTAGCTGTAGATGACTGATATATAAGTAGATATATATAAAATATATATACTCGCACAATAGCTATAGTTATGTATGTGCACACCAAAGGGTGTTTGTGCTGTACTGTCTCTGCGTGCGTCTCAGTTTTCCAAGCTGAATAAATACGCTCGAAATGTGAGCACACATGACCGGGAACCGGGAATTGGAGTACAAAATGTGGGTGGTGCTTACTTAAAACAAGAATTGGAAATGGAATTTACACTGCAGGGAATGTGAAATTGGATCGCAGACAAAGTGTTGCTTGGGGGTCACATTGTAGAGGACACAGCCGACCAAGTGTCAAAGCAAACACTTTACATAATTAGTAGACCATATATATGAAATTAGTTGGACATCCTCCAAATCGGGCAGAGAACGGACAAGAGACAGAGATAGAGATAGAGACAGTAACATGACAATCAACTTTAGTAATAAATCAATTAATGGCATTCCGGCTCGTGCAAACATCAAAGAAAATTATGACTTTTCTCAACATGTTCGCCTGTCTGTTGATAAGGCAAAAGTCTGGTCTGACTCTCGCTCTCTCTCTCTGACAATGGAAAACGTGGCAGGGAGGAGTAACCGATCGCTGGAGCAAACAATCGTTGAAGTTGTCAGGTGTCACACACTTTGATGGGTGATGTATGCGCCTGACCTGGTCTTCAGCAGAGAACACTCAGCCTATCCACTACCTGCTGCTGCTGATAAGAGCAAATGGGAATGGGAATGAAAATGGAATCTATTGAGACAAATTGTAGGCCATTTCATTTTCTTTTTGCGTCTACGTTGACAGCAGTGGAAAAACGAGCAAAAGAGCGAGTGGAACTGTTTAATGGCCAATACAAAGACAACACGCACTCACACAGCACCCCGTGTACCCACACCCTTACCTGTACCCGTATCTACAAAAATATTAACCACATTTGTGCCGTTCAATATTTCATATATTTATTTGTTTGCCATTCGGTTTCTGTTTCTGTTTCTGTGTGGGGCCTTCTCCCTCTACCACTTCGGAGCCTTTGGTGGGTGAGAGATATCGGAGGTTCGGCCGATCGACGAGCACTTCGTGGGCCAGGCACCAGGCAGAGCTGACGTTTTAAACTTCATCGTTAAAACCAACCATTCAGTAACGTTTCGATACGCGACAAGTGCATAGGGCTCCCAGCTGTACTCCTCATAAAAAAAGAGAAGATCGATCACGATCAGTGCGCGTATCAGTGCTCGCTTAGCCAGTGCCTGGTGCCAACGTGTAACGCAGATACGGAGACGCAGTGCATCCAAGAGGCAACAGTCGTGCCAGTGCATGTCTCACCCATCCGTATTGGGCAGCGAATTACTTGGGCCAGGGGAATGCAAACTGTGAACGCAATTGCAAAAAGTTTGTTCGTTTGGCTTAAGTTATTTTCACGCCTCAAGTAAACGCCACGTGGGTGGACAGAGCCAGGGACTCGACAGGAGTTCGGAGTTCACATCCGACTTGTCAACGTCATGCATCGTCATCGATCTGAATGGAAAGTTGAGGGATCGTTATGGGTATGCCTTGGGGTTCCGCCTTAATCAATGTGAAATTGCACAATTGTTGGCGAGTGGTTGAGTTGTCATCGAGTGGATTGATGTTGATAATGACACTGATACTGCACGCCCTGCTACCCCCACTCCCCCTACACCGACTCTGAGAATTCGCGCTAACCCGAACGCCTGAAGCCACCTGCAGAACAGTAGCTAAATGGTGGTGGGTTTGCCGGTCTGCCGACTCCCGATCTTCGGCTACTGTTTAGCTTTCGGCTTGTGGCTTTCGGCTACGTCTTCGTCTGCTGCTGGCGTGGGTCGTCGGGTTGGAACCATAAACCCATTATCGTTATATTGCTTGTACGATTTGTGGGTCCCACGACTGTAAAATCTGATTTGTGTAGACGTGTCGTCGCTCGACTCGAACCAATTCGATATGGTGGAATGGGAGCTCTCCAACCAGAAGTAGAAACTGAGATAAGAACTCGGAGAAGCCGCCGCACACTCGCTCGCTCTTTTGGTGGGGTTGCCCAGGTAGCAGGCAACGTGGCGCAGGGGGAGGGTAAGGAAAAGTAAAAACTGAAAAAACTTAAAACTGAAAACTGATAATTGTGCAACGTACACACACAAACCTTGCTCGAGTTATCAGTTGGAGTGACAACCGGAAATTAAAGTTGAAATCGACACGATTACTTCATTAGCTCTCATTCGGGTCGTGTGTGGGTGGCAAGGTCACATCGGGAGCTCCTCCCGGTGGAGCCATAACTAACCAATTAGCAATTTGCCAGCGGTAGCAGCCGTAGCCAGGCACCTTCTCTCGTGGCTGGAGCGGAGTGTGCCAAGGTGAAACGCAATCAGCAAACAGAAACTAAAACTGAAACAGAGAGACTGAGAGCCAAAGACTTGGGCCAAATTCGATCAGGTGCAAGCGACACGGAGACGTAGGGCCACGTAGTCAGGCTGAGGGATGAGCAGCTCCGCTTCGTGGAGATGTCGATGTCATTGGTCTAAAAGTGAAGGCGTACAAGTACGAGATGTAGACAGAGTCAGAACTTTAGCGAATATGCCAAGGAATGTCAAAAGAAATGAATTTAACTTTTTGACTGGATGAGTGCCCTGCTCCAGCTCCAGCTCCAGCTCCGAGTCGCACTTTACTGCAAATGCAAAACTTTAGACAGGGAATCAATTGCTTTTGCCTTGTTTTATTTCACCCAAGACACGCAACAACACAACAATGGCAAGAAGTGAACAATTTCCAGCCAAACGAAACCGCTGGACAGATTTCCTGGAAAAGGTTTCCCAATAATCCAAACAAAGTTCTCAAATTCAAGTCTCATGTTGCCACAAAGCCACGCAAAATAAAGCGATTTGTGTTAGGATTTTATGTGTAAATGGAGAGACTTGATAGCTTTTTGATAAACACAAATATACCCGCAATATTTACGACTCCGAGGGTATGACAAGCGCCAGGAGGAGGCGGACTGTAACTAGCAACAAATGAACAGGTCGGGGGCGTGACAACAACCGTGAAAAGAACTTGAGGATGACAGTTATGGGTTACAAAGGCAAGGATTGAATCAAATAAATAAGCGCGCAAGGTTCTCGTCTCGTCTCGTCTCATGTCAGGCAGTTGGGGTCGCTTCGGATTGAATCCAAGGGTTGAATGGGATTCGATTGGAACGAACGAACGAGCGGGTTATACGGGTGTGGGCGTGGGGGTAACCTTACCACGTCCACATCCACGTCAAGTTTGCATGCGGCTGCAGGTAATTCCTCATTTCATGCCGTTGTTTTGCTGCCTGGCTGCCTGGCTGCCCTCCAGTACTCCTGCCCTTTACATAATCACAATAAATAAATGAAGGAATGAAGCGGCGAGCGATTCTATTAGCATAACATCGCATAAGACGTGTCCTGCTCTGGCTCAAGCTCTATGTGCCTCTCCGAATCCAAATCAGTTGCATTGGAGTCGCTGAGCTGTGATGAACGTGTGGAAGGCAAAGGTGCTAACGGAGGTGCCCTTTGGGCATGTGCTCGTTGTCAGTGGACGCGTCAAGCCGCATCCCAATAAGTAGGCAACAGATTCTGTACACTTTCCCAGCCAGATCACAGATCAAAATCTTTATAGAATCTCGCTGGACCTCACGGACAATGTAAACGAGAAGAACGAAAGCGAAACGGTTTACCTGAAGATCGAGGCCAACTTCCGTGAGGGCCAGATCATTCGCAGCATGTTCCAGCCCGGCGAGGGTTGGCAGCAGGAGGAGATCTCCAAGAACTGGAAGAGCGACGGGCCCAAGAATCCCCTGATACCCGGCCAGAGCTTCACCTTCCGCGTGGCCGTGCTCCAGCGCTGCTTTGAGATCTACGTGAACGATCAGCTGTATGGATCCTTTGAGTTTGTCAAGTTCCCCAAGCAAATCAATTATGTGCGGGCCTACGGGGACTTCGAGAAGATCACCCAGTTCCATCACCGCATGCTCTTCCCACTGGTCTTCCCTCGCACCCTCATGTGCCCCGATCGCATTGCCTTTCAGAGCGATGTGCCCCGACGCTACGAGACGGGCACCGTTGTGGCCATGGAGTGCATTGCCAAGGGTCCACCCAGCACGGAGTTTTCCATTTGCTTCCAGTGCAACGACAGCGGACGCACCGTGCTACGCTTTCAGGTGAACTTTGACAGGACGACCGTCTCCAGGAGCTACCAACGAGAGGACAACAGGTGGGCATCCCTTTATTTCTATTACTTTTAGGGATTCCTTTCAGTCTTTTTTCTTGCAGCTTTGCCAGCGACGACGAGGAGACCGAGGGCGAGTTCCCCTTTGTGCGTGGCAAACTCTTCAAGATTGCCTTTGGCCTCGGCGATCGCGCTTTTCTCATTGCCGTCAACGGACAGTACTTTACGTACTACAACTTCCCTGTTCGCCCATTCTCCATCTCTACGCTGAAGTGTTTCACCAATGATGTGGGCGACTTTGCCGTGAGGAGCCTGGAGTACCACTCGGACTCGCCGTTGCTGTCCCGCGTGGAGAAGTTGTCCATTATCTAGCTGGAGTTCTAGCTGTATGTTCGTTGGCTTTGACATTTCTGTAGAGCACCAGTTAAACTTCTTCTTATGAGCATTCAAATAAATCAAAGTCAGCAAACGATTAAAGTTATTTGACAGGGGAATTAACGTAACTTTTGAATGTGTTTTTGATCGTTGAAAATGTCTACTTCCTCCGCTCATTAACACTTAATAAATAAAGCAAATTCTGACACGATATTTCTGCGGAATTGATTCAGGATCATTGAAGATTCCGAGCTTAGAATATTTACTGCCACAATTCAATCTTCTCCACTTCAAAACACATTTCTAGGGGATCCTTTGGATATGGTTTTATTAAAACAATTTATTGCCTGCGCCTCTCCAGCAGCTCTTCAGCCGCAACTCCAATCTGTGGGGCTGAACTTAGGTTAGTCTTACGGTTTAATATTCTTTAAGATGCGGTCGGGGTTGGGCTTGGAAGTGGACGATTGGGATGCCTGTTCTCCGCTCTCTCTAATTCTCACTAACGAATATATATCCATGTGCTGTCTGTATGTGTGTGTGTGTATATATGCGTGTGTGTGGTGTCTATTTATATCGTTAAAAGTAACGGAATTCGCCCTTCTTCCCCAGATGCTTGCTGCGCATCATGTCCGTGGGGTCTGGCGAGCGCTGTTCCATTCCAGTGTTGTCCTACGCACAAAAATCGATTATCGATATTAGTTTTTATCGATCGAGTGAGGAATTGCTTATCGATTGGCTTACCCCCGGCCTGGACTTGCTCGCAGGACCGCCCTGCGGCAGTGGCTGCTGTTGCTGCTGCTGCACCGGCTGGCCATAGTACTGGGATCCATCGCCATCGCCATAGTTGAAGGGCGTGACAATCGTGTGCGGGACATGGGCCACCTGGCCGCGCATGTTGCGCGCCTTCCACCACTTTCGGGTGTCATCGAGGATCTGCAGAGAGTTATTCTTAGTTAAGATTTCCATTTGAGGAAGAGTTTCTGTGCCTTACCTCCAGGTATTCGCCTCGCATTACACTGAGCTCCTTGTCGTTGTTGGCGGTGCGCGGATACGTGACCAGCACAATTTTGGAGCCGCCCGTCTGCAGATCCTCCAGCCAGGATTCGAGCATTTGGTCATCGCTGACATTGGTAGCCCTGCCACCAGCCACCGACAATTCGGAGGCAGTTCCAGCACCTGCGCCATATGCGCCACCACCGCCACCACCGCCACCACCGCCACCCCCTCCTCCACCGTTTCCGCCGCGGGAGTCTCGCGTGTGAAGATTCTGCAGGCCTGCGGTAATGGCGCTCAGTGTGGGTCCTGCCCCGGGTCCTGGGCCATGGCCAGCCGCTGCTCCGCCCCGCTCAATGGAGTCGAAGGACAGCTCGCTGCGGGTATTAAAGTCTGACGCACTGATGGCACCCGCACGATCCCTGTCACGATCGCGCTCTCGCTCCCTGTCCCTGTCCCGCTCCCGATCGTTGCCATGGTGGATGGTGTACTTCTCGATGCCCATGCCCATGGCCATGGCCATGCCGTTGCCAGTATCATAGTCATCGTAGACGCCGCCGCCTGGCGGCCCACGACCATTCAGTCCGGAGCCATGGCCGGGGCCGGCTTGTACCTCAAGACGCCGCTTGCTGACGTGCGCTGGCGGGGATGTGGGCTCCAGCTCGTCGTTGATAAGGTAGTCCGGCGACCAGCCGTCGAGGAAGACGGGATGATAGGACCCAACGTCATCCTTCCACTGGTCACGCGGTATGACCCAGGCATCGCCCAGGGAACGCCACAGCTCCGTCTCCTTGCTGGTGACGCAGTTGATGAGCAGATTGATGGCCTCACGCGTTAGCAGCGGATTGACAACTCTCGCCGGCAGCTGCGACTCGTAGTAGGTGTCGCTTGATGCCTCCACAATGAGGGCCAGCGGTGTGAAGAGGAAGTGCACCAACTCGGGGGCATTCGGGTCGTGGATGTGCGCCTTCAGCTTGGCCAGCAGGTTGAACGACAGCTTGAATTTGGCGAATATATCCACGAACTCCTTCTCGTGTGGCGGCCGCGTCCGCAGCGTGAGCAGACCCTCTCCCGGGTCCCGCTTCTTTGACTTCCGATTCCTCCTACGCCGCTCCAGCTCTCTCGAAGCGGCAGCCGCGTGCTGCAGTCGCGCTATGAACTTTTCAATGTCATCGAAGCAATGGTTGAGCACGGCCACATCTCGCTCGTACTTCTCGCTGGAGGTGGAGCTAGTCTCGTCGCGCTCATTGACGCCGCCATGCTCCGAGTCCGTCTCTCCGTTGTGTCCGAGGTCCACTTCGGTCACGGCACCGCCGCCTCGCATTCCGTACTGCTCCACGCTGCTCCTTTGGTGCATGTTGTGATGGTGACTCTCCCGCTCCCGCTCGCGTTCTCGATCCCTGTCCCTGTCCCGTTCGCGTTCCCTGTCTCTCTCCCGCTCGCCACGCTGCTCCCGCTGCTGGTGGAGCTCTGCCCGACTGTGGGAGGACGAGGAGGATGTCTTGCTCATCATCATGGCCATGCCGGAGGCACCTGCCGACTGCGTGGGCGTCGCTCCGCGCTGCTGTGTGATCATCTTGCCGCTGCGCAGCTGCTTCAGATCCTCCACCAAATGGACAGCGGACACGCTTTGTGACTGGAGAGATTATGGAGAGGATTAGAAGGAACTCAAGCGACAGCTAAAGCCACACTCTACCTGGAATATGTGCATCTCGGAGCGGGAACCACCGCCACCGGATACAATGAAAACGAGAATATTGTTGTACAGCTCCATGGCATCGTTGGAGGTGAATGCCGTGGGCTCCTGAACGAGTGACGCCGGGAAACGCTCAATAATGTTCTGTAGGAAATTAATTCAATAAGGATTATACTCAAGGGATATTGATGGACTGTGCCTACCCCCGTTTCGTAGTCCATGATGAGCACCCACTGGTAGTCGAGGCAGAGCTGCATCTTCTGCGACCAAATGCCCGTGGTCTTCTCCAGCTGTAGCAGTCGGCGCATGCCATCCGCTGGGTACACAATGCCCGACTCCTTGTTTACGGTGAAGGTGGCCAAATGCTCCAGCAGGTAGGTGGGCTTGTCATGCAGATCCCCGTCCAAACGTTCACGCTCTTCGCCGCCGCCACTGCGATCATCGCCCGAGTAGTCGCCACCGCCGTGGGCTCCTCCGCCGCCGCCGCCACGCAGGCTGCCGCTGCTGTTCCCAGCACTGCCGCCGCCATTCGAATGATGATTAACCATTCTGTCTTGTGGTTATTGCTAGCCAAAAAGCGCGTTCAGGATCGTCTGCAAGGAAACAAACGATCGGTTCGGTTAGCAAGATCTGACTGAGGAGAGACTCCCCTCTGGTACGCCCCTCTGCGTGCTATTGCGCAGCCAACAAACGCTGACTCAGACCGCATTCCACACTTCCACACACACTTCCAAACACTCCCCGCACGCTCCACACATGGCAAGTCCACACCACAATCGGCCACAATTATTCTCAAACTTTAACATTTTGCCTCGCAGCCTCAGCGTCGCGGCCTCCAGCCGCAGCCGCAGCCTCAGCCTCAGCTTTGGAATTCAAAAATCGCGCGCTACTCCCCTCCCTCATCATAGCTAGCTGATTGCCTATCCCCTTCGAACCGCTCTCCCTCTCACTATCAACAGCTTTGCAAATGAACACACCTGCAAAAACACACACACACAAACGCGGATGTGCAAACGCTCTCTCTCTCTCTCTCTCTCTCGATGTCGCTCTCGGTCTCGCTCACAAGCACTCTCAGCCGCTCCCTCAGCGCGACTCAAGTGACAGCAGAAACAACTACTTTTCCGCTGACGGCTTAGGCTGGGCTCTGGCGCCGACTAAGGCAGCGACGCTAGCGTCGCATACCAATCTAACAGGGGCGGAATGGGCGGGCCAAGGTGGAATACAAATTTTTGGTGTTCTGCTGCAGGTGGAATGGAAAGTTTTTAAAAGGTAACAAAGAATCTATTTGCGGAAGCAAAATAACAGAAAGAGTCCTAAACAAGCTAGAACATTCCCTCAGATTGCTGTAGCAGCTGGGGGGAGCAGCTGGTCTACTCTTGATATGTGTGTATGTATGTATTTATGTATTTACAGTTTGTTTTGTCAACTGAAGGAATGAAATGATATGCGACGGGATCAACTCTGCTGACACTGGCCTGCTATATTTACTCAATTTTTGTGTGGAGATATCACAGCACTTGGCATATTGCATCATCTGCGAGGTATTTGACAAACTGATGTTGACTTACAGCAGCCAACGAGGAGGCAGGGGGAATGGAATGACGAAACCAGGCGATAAAAATGATCGCACATAACAGCGAAAGTGCCCGCTGTGGATCGCACTTGCATAAATCAACTTTGATCGCGATGCGGGGCCGTACGTCTTAATCAAATACTTAGTAATAGTCGGCCGGCATTCAGGTGGAGATAATTAATTAAGACGTGATAAGCCCCCGCTCACAAATATACCGAGATAGAGAAACGTAACAAAAACAATTACACTCATAGCGGGGGAGCAGCTGGTCGACTTTTTGGCTTGTTTATCACTTGGCTGCCTGGGATGGGAAGTAATTTTTCAAATAATTCAGGCGGCAGGGCAGCAGTATGTAGAGGACAGGACAAATTTAGATAAGCCCCTGTCCATGACATGGGCCGCTAGTGGTTGGTTTTTATCTCAAATGTTTGGTGGGGGCCTCTACTTGGGGCTTGGGCGAAGGTAAATGGCGCTGTGTGAAAAACAAGCTTGAGAGCCACGGCTCGGTTACAAATGGGGATACACCGACATCGACACCGACACCCCGGAGCAACAGGCAAGCACAGCGCTCAACAAGCACTATTGCCATCTCTGTCCAGCGCATGCGTGACTGGCGGACAAACAGAGTGTACCTGTGTAACTGTGAGTCGCTCTTGTGTGCATGTGTGTGCGAGACGTACGACTTGAAAAGGTAACTCTGCTGCTGATATTTGTCTCCGTCATTTTCCACCTCCCATCACCCTCGCCGTCGCAGCGTCTGCTGCAACTTTACTTTTTGACCGACCGCATTTTTAAGCTTTCTTTTCCACCTGTTTTTCTCCAGCTCTGTTGATATTTTTTCGAGTCTTTTCCACACACACACACTCGCTTCCACACAGGTAAATGGCATGGCCTCTCAATGTTGTGTGTGTGCGTGGATATACAAACTGGGAGCGGCGGCAGGTTTCGTATTGATTTTCAATGCTTTTTGTTCACAATTCATTCACTAATTCATCGAATCATGCACACATATGTGCATATGTACATGTATGCACACCCGTGTAGGTATATTTATTCTAATTGACCGCATTTACCCCACTGATATACAGTAGGTATTCCCTTAAAACACACACACAAGCACATGTATACACATTCATATCTCTCTTTTAGCATTTAGATATCACCTCTCCACTTCATCCTCTCACTTTGCGCATTCTTTTTCTAATTAGCACGAATTCGAATTTCGTTGTCACGTTCCCCTAGTATTTTTAACTGGTTTCTTTTTTCAAGCGATGATCACAGATGGGAGAAGGGACACGGACACGGCGAGGGCTCACTCGGTCGTTTTTCACTGCCTTTTATTATTATTTTAATTCAATCATAAAAAAATAACTGTAACTGGGCTTGCGTATCCATCGCACTCTACTTCTTCTTCTTTTTTGTTACCTGTCTTCCTCCTCGTTCCGTCCTGCTCTGGCTTGTGGTTGGTGCTGTGTTTTCTCGACGTTCTTCGATTTTTATATTCGAGTCGGCTTTCTTTCGTTCTTTTTAATTTTTCCACCGCCGCTTCCCTACAAACTGTCGCCGTCTACCGCGATGCGCCGCGTCTCACCTCGTCTCTGATTTCCTCTTCAAAGCAAATGTACAAATAACAATAACCCCGCAACGTCGTTGTTGTTTGTGGACGTCTGAAACACACGCGAGCGTTGTCCGTTGTGGCCGACGTGCTTCTTGTTTCTGACTGAAAAAAAAAACTAACTTGGCCAGCACAGCACAGCCAGTTGTTGGCTGAGGCGAGAGCTAAGCCTCGAAATGCTTGCTTGCTGCGGCTAAAAGAGAGAGAGAGAGAAACTTGCTCTCAGGAGAGAATTGAGCATGCGACTACGGTCGCTGAGAGATCTCCTATAAAGTTGCACTGGAATTACAGGGTTCTTTTCTTTATTTAAGGATTTTCTAGCAATAACTACAACTAAAAGAAGGCTCTTACACACACAAACACACACATTAGCTCTTGGACTTCTTGTTTGCCTTGACCAGCTTCGCCTTAAGTGCCTTGACATCCACCTTGCTGCTGGAGCTGTCCTCTGCTTGCCGCTTGCGACTAGGAGCATCTTCTGTGGGTGGCACAAAGTCCTTGTTGCGACGCTCGTCCTGCTTCTTGGCCGCATCGGCCTGTTTGGCACTGCGCTCCTGGTGCCGCTTGGCCTGCTTCTGCTCCTGGTTGAGGAAGTATTCACCAGAGGCCAGCTGTTTGTCGATTTTGCTCTCCGGCTGGGACGGCGGGAAGGGTGTGTACTCCTTCTTGGGCTTCTTGGCCTTCGGCTGCTTGCGTTTGCTTATGTTCTTGTTCTTAAACTTCGGCAGGAAGCGGGACCAGTCCTCGTTGGCCAGTTTGGGGTCCTTCATCAGCTCGCGCTTAATCATCAGCGCTTTGATGTTGTAGATGGGATGCACGTTGTTCATCGTCTCTAGCACAATATCGCGCACCTGTTGCAGACCCTTGTAAGGCCCCAACGCAGACACAGTGTTGCCTTGGACGAGAACGTAGCAGTCGGTGAGCAGCTCGATCGACTTGAGTGTGGCGCCATTTGGTCCGATCAGTCTCTGACGCCTCTTCACAAACTTCTCCTTTTTGTGGACCAGATTGCCAATCTTGATTATGTCACAGCCGATGTCGTCCTGCAGCACGCGTTTGGCCTGCTCGAAGGGCACACTGCGAGCCATCAGCTTGATCATGTCGCGAGCTTTGATGATGATATACGGGTCCCAAGTCTTTCGGGTCGTCTTCACCACCATGCTGCCCTCGACCAGATCCAGCTCCGCCTTCAGCTGGTGCTCGGAAACACATTGCTCCACCAGCGGCCACACTTCCCTCAGGTACTTCTCTCGGTATTTGGGAAAGAGCGTGGCAAAGGAGCTCTCCTCCACCATACCGTGGGGATTGTCCTCCTGCCTGAAGGCGGGAATCTTTAACGACCAGGCATTGTCCACTGGATCCGTATTCTGCTTTGTGTCTTCTTCGCTGTCACTCATTATTAGCTTTTTTTTTATTTGTTATTCACAGGTTGAAATTTGCCCAACGCACGCTTGTTTTGTTCCAGGAAAGTGACCCTCAGAAATATACCGAAATATACTATCTTAATATACCGAGGAAAAAACGGTACTTAACCCACATAGCCACCCTCTATTTAAACATCCTAACGTCTGGAGTGAAACGTAGAATAACAAACTGTTTGGTAATTCTACTAGTAGATCCATCTTTACCAAAATATATTTCACTTCAACTACTGAGAGCTGTGAAATTTGTGTGGGATTATTTACATGGTGTAAGTCTTAAAAGATATATATATGTGATGTAATCTTAGTTCAATGGTTTATATCTTGGTCTATTAACACATAGAAAACAAAAAAAAAAGGTTAAAAGCATGTCAAAATAAAGGAAAATTGACAAGCAACATATTGTCAAATACGTCATTTTAATTGGATTTTTTGTTTTGTTGGCTGACCTTTTTAGTTTTAAATTTAAATTGGAAACATTACAAGGAAAGGAAGTCGTGAAAAGTAGCCAATCTAATGGAAGATTGGTTGATAAATAGGATAAAATTATAGTCTTAGCGCTGAGACTCCCAACTAGCTAATAATATCAAGTAGTATCAAGTTGCGGTATATTTATAAAATGATATGTAGGGTTTTGCGGTATCTCTGATTGATGACTCCGCGGTCACACTAACCAAATTCTGTATACCATAGCGCACGCAAGGAGTTTTTTCCGCTAATTCGTCGAAAAACCAAGAAACAAAAAAACTGTAAGGACGATATAAAATCTTGTAATTTATTTTCTGGTAGGCTTAAATAAAACTACTGAAGTGTCTTCCGAGAAAGTCGCCAAGTCATAACTATTTGGGGCGTGGACGTGTTGTTCATACGAAATTTGCATAAAACTGATATCTGATATACGCTCGGCAAAGGCTAATTGCTGCAAAAAAACATTACGGAGTGGCTAAAATTGTAATCATATTGCTATAAAAACGCATTTTTGTTGGATTTCATTTGGTTGCGTTTTATTGCGCAGTGTGAAAAGAAAAACGTGAAAATCAATATGGCGTCATTGAACGTCTTTGTGTCGTGGCACGGTGCTGCCAACTTGTCTATGAAAAAATAGTCGGGCGAGAAAAATTAGCTTTCCCCCTCACTTTTTGATCGTACGAACGCAGGAAACTCCAATCAAAAACATTTGTGCCTAAAAAATTAAAACATTTTACATGTTCATAATCTTTAGCTCTCTGAGATAGATAAAACCGAGTTGGTAGTCTTGGCGTGCAGGGTTGCACTGGCCAATTATCGATTGGTGGCAGTCGATAGGCGCCACTCAGTGTATCTTCAAGCGCGAAGCACGTTTTTCTTTTTCGTCGTAGAACACATGGAAAACGATTTCTAAATGCAAAGCAATTTAGCTTAGCAATAAAACTAAATAATAAAAAGCCATAGGATATATTGATTTTATGCAATATTGATTTCTCGCATTCACATTTGGTGGCCTCTGAAGGAGGAACATATTGTAGCATCTTTGCAGTTTAGAAAGTGGAATTGTACGATACTCAATTCAAGTATTCGAATTTGTACTCAGTATGGTGTTTTTACTATTCTAGATATACCCCACAAGGCTTTAAGAGCTGTTATTAAATGGAATTACGTAATCTGTGGACAAATTGTATGCATTAGTCAAGCACACACCCACACCAACATAATCGTTGAAAGGCGCACGCATGAACAAATCTGCGCGCGTGTGAGAGAGAGAGACGGCAATAGAGCAGTTGCTGTGGTACAGTGTTGCCACCCGTTTCGTGTTTTTTGTTACTATAGAGAGGAAAAATGGTGAGTTTACGGCTGTGGTAGAGGAAATCCGCCCAACTTTTACTAACTTTTTTGGTTTAATTTCTATTTGCGTTTAAAGCCGCGAATAGTGCCGTTGCAGTTATTGAAGTGTCTACGGGTGCTCCTAGACAACAATGGTGGCATCTTAAGTGCCATGGAGGTGAAGCGCATAGCAGGGTAAGTTGCGAGCGTTACGAAGCGCCCTCTAGCGTCAAACTAATCAATTATTTTTACATTTTCCCAGACTCATGCAGAAATATTCAAAGAAGTTGGTTTCCAAGTGCGTTTACGTTCAAATTTTAAAATCAACTAAGACGGAGTTGCTGGGGGACTTCATGGCCTCGGGCGGGTGGTCTTTGGTCTACAGTTGGCTGAATGACTCCATTCGTGCTATGAACTGGCCCCTGGTTCAGGAAATTCTGGAATTACTGCTGCTTTCCCCAGTAGATGTGCACAGATTGAAGATCAACTCGGCACCCGTTCTGGTCAAGGGTCTGTGCAAAGATGGCGGCAATGAAGGTAAGTTACAGTCTATTGATCCCAATGTCTCGATATATCTGTGCTCTGCTCGTACCTGGAAGGGATTACTTATTACTGTTTCGGTCAACTTTCCAGGTGTTCGCATTCTAGCCAAGCGGCTGGTCGAACAATGGCTGAAGATTGTGACTGAGAACTCGAGTGGTGCGCCAGCGGCGATGCCTGCCATTCCGCCCCAGATCGGGGTAACAGCTCCCACGGCGACGGATCCGGCCACTGGTACGGGGGACTCTGCCTCTTCGTCGGACAGCACGGATAGTGCAGGAACGCCGGTGACCATGAACTACTCCATTGCTTCGGCCCAGAATAGCAACAACCACAACAGCATAACCATAAAATGGAAGTCAGTGGAGCACTTGGACACAGATGATATGAATAATGTTGACAATGATGGTTCCACGCAGCCATCTGAGGCTGGTGTTAAGAGCAGCAAAAGTCCTGAGACAAGTGCCAGTCTCCAGAGTTCGAAAAAATCAAGTTTAGATGATAGTTATTCAACAGAGGTTAAATCCGGGGAGGAGGTTGATAATAAGAAGCATAAGAGCGCCCGAGACAAGAGTAAACGGTCTGAGAAAGATCGTGAGAAGGATAGAAAGTCTTCGTCCAGTCACAGGTCGTCCTCATCTAGCCATAAGTCGTCGTCGTCCTCGTCCTCCTCCTCAACATCGAAGAGCTCGTCAAAGAGCTCCTCGTCCTCTTCGTCTCATCGGAGTTCGAGTTCTAGCGACAAGCACCGTGACAAAGACAAGTCTCGCTCAAGCTCTGGATCTAGCTCCAGTAAAGATAAGGAGCGCAGTAGCTCATCCTCTTCGTCATCCTCTTCGAATAAGCACAAGTCGTCAAAGTCCTCTTCATCGTCGTCGTCGTCGAGTTCCTCCTCGAGCTCGAGCTCGTCCAAAGATCGCAGTCGCGACAAGGAGAAGGACAAGTCCTCGTCGACGGCAACGAAGCAAGATAAAGACAATAAGCTTATGCCCCCGCCAGCCTCAACTCTATCCCCGGCCCATTCACCGGCCACGAGTGCTGTAGAGAAGAAGGAAAAGGCCGAGAGTGAGCCTCAAAAGCCCCGATCGATACCCATCATGTCCCGAAAGGCATCGATATCGATAGAAATCAGACGGGACACTGACAAGGCGGCCACCGTGAAGACGTATCAGTCGAAATTCCGATCGCACGGACTAAACGAAGAGGCGCCGCCTCCACCCTCACGCAAGGGCCTGAAGAAGCCCACATCCACCGTCCCGACGCCATCAGCTCTGGTAACTCCCGTCGTGAAGAGACCCTCACCACCACCCCGAGACTCGCCGACGGAGAAGAAGCCAAAGATCGACATGAGCAATGTTACAGGCCACGTTGAGCGCCCTGGAGCAGCCAAGCTGATTGCTCCAAAAAAGAGTAAGCATCTACCATTCCGTACTACCTTACTAATGCCTTTTTTCTCTCAGCGTTTATTCACAGGTCGTGTCGTACATTGGTGGTTTTTGTTACAAATATCCTTTTTTTTTTGCCAATCAGAAAATCGTATTTTCTGTAGTATCTACTCCCCATTGGAGGTGTTTAATTTTAGATGGGGGGCACATAATTGGACTAAGTTCAAGCTTCTCTCGAACCGCAGATAAAAGCAGAAACAAATTTTGGGTGCATTGCACAATTAATTGGCTATCTACTCGTGGCTTGTGGCTCAGCGACGACTGATCCAGTGCTGGAATAATTTAAATGTTAAATCAAAGTGTGTGTTGGATATGTCGTTTGATGGATGCGAATGCCCCCGACTGGACGCTGGTTGCTGCTGCTGCGGCCTCACTGCGCATGCGCATCAGCAAAACACGAAAGACTGGGTCAGGTGTTAAGTATATGAACAAGAAAATCTCTTTAAACGTACTCGTTACTGCTTTAGGTTTAAGCTTTTAAGAAAGGTATGTAGATTCACTTTGCCAGCCACAATACAAATAAAAACGAATTTTCCATTAGAAAAAATATATTTTTTCTATATGAATAAAAAATGCATTGAACGAAAACAATAAAACCCAAAGACAATGTTAACTTGAGCTGGCGGTTCTTGATAGCCAGACGACAGGCAGGCGCACCACTCGTCAGATCGATGGGCTCTGATTTGCAATTGGTTCGAGTGCGTGTGTGTGTGTGTGTGTGTGTGTGTGCCGCCCGTCTTCCTGGTGCTAACAATTTTTGAGAACTGAGCAGGCGCTTGCCACTGTCCCAGCTCTACCCTCCGATCACTGTAGACACTACAGTGTCAACTGTGTGTACGGGGCTGGCCTTGTTTCAGCTGTCAATTCGATAGATAAGGCAACAAAAGTCACAACCAAAAAAAAAGCATTATACACTATGCGTAGTTTCAGCAAAAACTTCCGTGAGGACAGCTCACTGCAAGGAATTCGTTATTGTGTGGGGTATGCCGTAGGTAGGATTTGCAGCGAAAAAACCACCAAATGTACAGAACGACAGAATTAAACCACAACCCATAACCCATTGAACCCTTTTCTATATTTTACTTATCATAATTTTCCTTTGCAGTTTCAACGCTTGTGGAGACAAATCTATTCTCGGATGCACTGGCAGCGAGCATCGAACCAAAGAAAGTGGTAAAGCGCAAGCGCACACAGTCGGCCAACTCGCCCACGGACAAGGATGCGCCATTGGCACCGCTGAAGTTCTACCAGGACACGCTGGACGAGTCGAAGGGAGACGAAAAGTCGGACGACAGCACCAAGGAGAACGACGAGGGTCGCTCCAGTTCGCCCAATGGCTCCGCCGATGCGGATGACGATGACATACCCTTGAAGCGGGTCAAGGAGGACATTGAGCAAAAGGTGCAAAAGGAGAAGGCGGCCGGCGAGAGTGCCGATGGCTCTGACGATGCGCCCGAGGAGCCCAGGAAGCCGGGCCCGGGTTGCGGACCTGATGGCCCACCCGGAGTGCTGATGCTGCACCGCCGCAAGGGCCCCAAGAAGAAGCTTACCTGGCAGCCGGAGGATAAGCTCACACAGATACGCTTCTTCGAGGTGGATCTCTCCGAGCGGGTGAATGTGACAAAGCAAACCTTCACCGAGATGAAGAACATGGAACGATACAGCGAGCGCGACGCGTTGAACATTTCCCGGCGGGGCTTCGATGACTCCATGCAGCCGCAGATGGAGTGGCGACCGCTCATCGAGGTGGACAATGTGTCCAACGTTCCACATGGCAATCTCTCCAAGCAGCGGCACGTGCAGGCCGAACGCGAGGCAACAACGCTGCGAGCGCTCTACTTCTCCACGGACATGATACCGGACAGCCCTGCCGAGGCGGAGTTGGAGCCACACTTTGCCCACGACATTCCCGTCATCCCGGTGGATGATCTTACCGGCAATCCCGATGCTGTCAACGACTACAGCGACCTCAAATGGCCCGAGCCCAAAGGCTATGGGCCCAGTGGCATCGGCGGCCCTGACATACCCTACAATGACAGCGTGATGATGGGCCCGGGACATGGCGGGCCACCCAATATGTTGACCAACAATCCCTTCCAGCCGTTTGCCAACAACTTTATGCCAAACGGCGGAAATATGCCGCCCAATCAGCAGATGCCAATGCAAGGACCCGTGCCCGGGCCAATTGGTCCGCCCATCTGGCAGAACCAAATGGGACCCTCTGTGGGTCCTGTCGGGCCCATGGGACCGGTCGGCATGGACATGAACATGGGCGGCATACCGCCACAGAACTATATGGGAAATCAGTTTGGCAGCCCCGGCGGTCCGCCCTATGCGTCGGGACCACCGCAGCCCTTCAACCAGGGGTTCAGTCCGATGATGATGAACGGACCTGGCCCTGGACCCATGATGCACAACAGTCCCAATGGCCCCATGGGACCCATGATGAACAACAGTCCGAATGGACCCATGGGACCGATGATGAACAGCAGTCCGAATGGTCCCATGGGTCCCGGGCCCGGCCTGGGTCCCATGCCCAATGGTAGCGGACCACGGAACAACAACAACAATCGAAATAAGAACAATGGAGGCGGCGGCGGTGGCGGCAACTGGCGGAGTGGTGGCAATAACTTCCAAGAGAACTCTGGCGGCAATTGGCGCACAGCGGGCTCTGGCTCCAATCGAGGCGGCAACACGGGCGTCTGCAAGCAGTTTATGCGGGGACACTGCAAAATGGGCAAATCCTGCAAGTACGTTCATCCGCAGAACAAGCGTATGTAGGAGCAGCAGCTCGAATCTTCCCAGGAAGATTCATTTGCGTAGATCTCAAGGAGCTAACACAAACACAACTGCGATATTTGTAATATAAGAGAAGAGGCTGCCCCTGAAGCCGAAGCCACTGAAGACTGCAGCCAGCTCTGGCCTGCTGGCCTGTTGCCACGCCCCATATACATAGTTATTGTTAACTCTGTATATATTTATAACTTATATTAAGTGTATGTATCTGGTATATGTAGGTAGCTTATGTAGGTTTTCTGTATCCTTAAGTTGTTTTGTCTTAGAGCTGCACCGGGACAAGATATTGTTACGTTGTACTTATCGTGAGAGTTCGTTCGATTCGCATTGAATTTTGTTAAGCCCCCAAAACATATTACGAGAACCATAACTATCCTTAGCTGTAAGAGCTCATTTGTATAGCTACAATTAAAGACCAAGTCATATGATGAATTCAACACAAATCGATTTCTGGCCCAACCACCTGGGCGCTTGCACTTAACCTGAAACTTGTGCGGCTTCCGCGCGGCACATATTTCTGTAATTCATTCTGTAATTTTCAGTGTTAGTTTCAGTTGTAAATATTTCATCAGCGTGTCCAGTCGTCCTACACTCTCTCTTGGCTATGAAGCTCATACATTTGGCACTCTACGGCTGTGGCCTACTGGCCGCTGCGAATGCTCTCAGCTTCACGGTCACCTCTCGAATCTTTATGGACGTCAAACACAATAAGCAGCCCATTGGGAGAATTACTTTCGGGCTGTTTGGCAAGCTGGCGCCCAAAACGGTGGCCAATTTCCGGCACATCTGCCTGCGCGGCATCAACGGCACCAGCTACGTGGGCTCACGCTTTCACAGGATAGTCGATCGTTTCCTGGTCCAAGGCGGTGATATTCTGCACGGCGATGGCACCGGCTCGATTAGCATCTACGGCGACTATTTCCCGGATGAGGACAAGGCGCTATCTGTGGAGCACAATCGCCCGGGGTACTTGGGCATGGCAAATCGCGGACCAGACACGAACGGCTGCCAGTTCTACGTGACGACAGTGGGCGCCAAGTGGCTGGACGGCAAACATACGGTCTTTGGCAAGGTGCTCGAGGGCATGGACACCATCTATGCCATTGAAGATGTGAGTGGAACTTTGAATATTTTTGCAATTTCTTTTCTTAATTAATTCTGCATTTGTTAACAGGTCAAAACGGACACGGACGACTTTCCCGTGCAGCCGGTGGTCATCTCCAACTGCGGCGAGCTGCCCACAGAGCAATTCGAGTTCTATCCGGATGATTATAATGTGCTTGGGTGGATCAAAGCGGCGGGTCTGCCCGTGACCAGCTCCTTCCTCGTGCTGCTCATTTTTCATTATTTTTTTCGACAGCTAAATATGTACTGTTGAGCGCTTTATTTACTGCACATAAAATCAATATATAAATTGTTATAACCCACAAGTCAAGCCTCGATGGAGCCCAGCAGCAGTATGGGCAGAGTGGGTCCCATGTGAAGCTGCAGGGCAGAAAAAGGAGGTAGAAAAGTAGCTTAAAAGTGGAACCTTAACTCACATCGATGTATATGTAATCCTCCACAAACTGATCCTTTTCGTAGTAACGCGTCTCGGGCTTAAAGTAACCAACAATGCGCACATCCACCCCGGAGTAGTTCGACTGACTGCCCGAGTACACTTTGGCCAGCGTGAAGTGATGCTTGTGATCGGCATAGACCGACGGATTGAGACTGTTGTAGTACTCCTCCATCAAGTGGCGATCCTTGCCCGTCAGCGTGCGCTGATGTTTCAGCAGACGATCCAGATCGAAGGAGTGCGAATGCTTCAGTGTGGGGTCCTGGGCATCCGCCAGTCGCTCCAGCATATTACGATATTTCTTCTTGAAGTACTCCAGCGTGGTGCACTGCTCAGACCAGAAAGATAATTTCTTATCAGCGCTGTAGGGGGAGGGAGAGATAAGTGCGAATATATTTATATATGTCGCCCGCCACTCACTGCTGGTCCGGGCTGATGCTAAAGTCAACAAACAGTCCGGGAATGCGTACAGCCGTACGTGCGGCTGCTATTAGCTTGCCGGGGCCGCTGAAGTGCAGCTGCAGCTCGAAGCGGCGCAGCGTGTTCCGTTTCAGCTGTCCAAGGTCGAGGATGTGGCCCTGCTGCTGGCAAGGTATGGGCTGCACCGTAAAGTACTTGGCATTCGGCGGCAGCTTGTAGCTGCCTGCCTTGTGCAATTGCTGATGGCGCTGATAGACCTGCTGGTGCTTGGCATACAGCTCCCCGTTGTCCCTTAGGCGTTTGCGGTAGCGTACGCCCAGCAGCAGCTGCTTGAGGATGGTGGCATGTGGCAGCTCCTGATTGTTGTTTACCAGCACGTAGGTTTGCACCATTTTAAACAGCTGCGTGTCGTGCTGCCGCTGTCGCACACTGGACATTTCCTCCTCGCTCTCCGACAGCTGACTGAAATCTTCGGTTATGGCATCCTCCTGAAAGCCCTCCTCCTCGCCAGCGGCAGCAGAAAACTCCGCATCTGTCTCGGTGATGCTTTTGAACATTTCGTAGTAGTAAATGCGCTGCAGCAGGCGATATTCCTCCACGATATCCAGCTCATCCTGATGGTCCGCTGGCAGCTTCGAGTCTGCGTTCAGCATGGGCATCACGCCCTGGCCACGCAGCCAGAAGTGACTCGAGGCACTGCCATTGATTAGCACCCCAAAGGTGTGGCAGAAACTCTCACTGAAGCCGAGTACGCCCTTGAGCCGTAGCTGGTCGCTGGCTAGCGGCTCCAAGTGAATCAAATCGCTGCTGACGAGCGTGCTGTAGCCCTCAATGAGTCGCTTCTCCGCGGAATGCACTGGTGTTAGCTCCACGACCAACAGTTGCAGCTGATATTTGGTCACATTTTCGACTCGCAGCACAGCATTGAATTGCTCGTACCAAGGCTGGAAGGAGGGGAGACTCAGGTTGAGTTAAAGCAGAGGCTGTGTGTGTGGTGTCTACCTTAATCCCCAGGTAAACGCTCTCCTTGTGAAACTTAATCTTCTGTGTCAGATTTACCAACGTCACGGACAGACACTGACTGCGTCCGCCCACCACTGTGAGCTGAAAGGTTGCGCGCAACTCATGGGAGCGGCGTATGTGGGGTACATGCAACACACACTGATGCTCCGGCTGCACATCGGGCAGCTCCACCACGCCCTGCTTCTCATGGAAGTAAATGAAACGCTCCGCAAAACAGTACTCCGAGGAGGCCGGCGACAGCTGCTCGCTGGACTCGACATTGAGTCGCTCGAGCAAATCGTGGATTGTGGCACGCACAAAGCTCGAAGTGCTGTGCAGCTCCAGGGCGGAGTCTTCGCTGGATTGCACCTCCCGGGGGTACACCAAAGGGCGGTGGCTGAGGTCCAAGTCGTTGACCAACTCATCTAGTAGCTCCAGTACAAGTTCTGCCGTGTCCGACTGCTGACTAAACTGACAGCGACACTGCTGATAGCGCAGCGTCATATTGGGCTCATCCTCGCAGCTAAAATTATACTCAAGCATGCGCAGCAACTCCGACAGGAAGTCAGCCACCAGATCTTGCGGATCATCGTTGTCGCCCACAAACTGCTCGGCGGTCTCCAGGCGCTTCCACTTGAACTCGGCACGCAGGCAGCCCTGATTGACGAGACTCACGCTGCAGTCAAAGGGCGCGCCGCGATCAAAGACCACCAGCTCGGGCTGGAGTATAAGCACATCGGGCACCTGGACAGTGACCTTCAGCGCGAGCGGATTCAGCTGACGCCCCAAAGCCCAGACGCTGATGCGACCCTCCAGCTGCTTGCAGTAAAACTGCTTCATGGCCCCGCGGTTGAGTATGACAAAGATATCCTTGTGCTGCAGCGCCTCAATGGGCACCAGGATCTCCTTCTCGAACGTGTCCTCGTAGAGCCCCTTGATGCGGAAGGGACCGCAGACCTGCAGCCGCACCTCAGCAATGGGCAGCGCGTGCTTGTTGATTAGCTCGGGGGTGTGTATGTTGGAGCGTTGCTTCAGCGGCTCGCAGCTTTGGTACTCGAAGAGGAGCTGCTTGCGGCTCCAGACCAGCTGGCACTCGACGAACTCTGCCTTGGCCGTCACCTTGATGGTGTACTTGCGCTGCGGATACTTCTGGTCGGTGACCTGCAGCAGAAAGTCGCTCAGCACCACGCCCTCCTGCCACGAGCTGATGAGTATCTCGAGTCGCTCCTCGCAGCCAGACGGCAGGTACAAATGCTTGGGCGTGATGTCAAAGCGCGCGGTCAGTGCCTGTGAGGCGCAGGGCGAGTAACGGCCCTTGGCCTGGGCGTAGGTCTTCAGGCGCGTGACGGTGATCCGATATGTGCGGAAGCCTTTGTTAATAACCTTCACGGGAAAGCGATGATTGTAGACGTTCTGCTGGAACTGCTCCTTGGTGTCCGTGTAGAGCTGACCCGCATCGAAGCCCTGCCTGATGTTTGGCTCAAAGTACAGCGGCACACCCTCAACGAGGAATGTGATGGGTATCTCCATGACATGATCGAACTGCAGGTCCACATAGAGTATGTTCTGATAGAGATCTGGATCGGGGAATATCGCAACCAGGGTGGTGTACATGCTCTGCCCAGTGGAGGCCAACACACCGCCTCTCGTTGTCAAATATTGGAACGTGGTGTCCTGCTGCAAGGGGTAGAGAATTAATTAAAGTAAAGCTGGGCATTCTGTGCTGCTTTTTGCTTACCAGCTTCATTGTCAGCTTGGTATTCGTCGGCGAGCAATTGTCTATGTAAAAGTGCACCTTGTGCAGCTCGTACGTCTGCAGTCGTCGCTGCACATAGTTGGGCGTTATCCTTATCTCCGTGGGCAGCACATTGGCAAACAAATGAAAGGCATAAGGCCGCGAGGCGCCCACAATTTTGATCAGACCCGTGAGCCGTGTGTTGCCCAGCGAGCGAAAGCTGACCGCACACTTGGCAATGATGCGTGAGCCCGAGCCAATGTAGAATTTCCAGGTGCCATCGCGAAAACTCATTTCATTTGGCTGTGGGATGAGGGAGAGATTAGAAATTGAAGAACTCTCCAACTGGGAGGACTACGCACAATAACATCAAAGTGCAGAAAACCACCCGTGTTGGATCTGTTGTAGAAGGACATGTCGAATTCGTACTCCTCGCCCGCGTAGACAATCCAAGACGAGAGATCCACCAGATGGCTCCACTCAATCTCGGGCGTCACACAATTATACTCAAACCACAGCTTGGAGCACAGAAAATCCGACTTGATGAGCGTCTTAACGCTCTGCAGATTCTCGCTGGAACCCGAATTGGACAGCACCGAGGGACAGATGCGCACGGTGAGCGAGCGATGGAAGTAACCCACTTGATTCGGTATGAGCAGAATGGTTATGGTGCGCCCCGTGTTGGGTCGCAGATAAATGATCTCATTGTCGCAGTAAACCTCCCGTGGATCGCTGGGCAACGCATTCCAGTCCATGAATATGAAATTGTTGTGCTTGGTGAAGATGGAAAAGTATTTGGTGCTGAGCAGTCCATGCAGCGCCTCTTGGATCACCCGCTTGTCCGTCTCCGTTTTGTCGAAAATCTTTTGCCGCTTGAGGTTGGTCAGCATATGAGTGGCCAGCAGCGGCACGGGTTCTAAGGGGTAGCAGAAATTATAGTTACGAGTTCCCCCTGAGCCGTTTACCCACCCATCACATCCTCCTCGAACTCCATGCTGTACGCAGACTCATTAATGTGCAGCGACTTCAGTGACAGCATATCCGGCACGAGGCTCGTCAGCTTGATGTCCGTCAACTCCAGCGAATCGTTGCGCATGTCCTCGTGTGCGCGCTGCAAGTGCTTAATGGGGTCCCGGACCGTGATGGGCAGCATTTCCGTGGAGTCGCGTATGTTCAGCACCAGCGGCTGCTCCGCCCCATCATCGCTGGGCGTCACCTGCAGCGTTATGGGCACTGCCAGGGGGTTCATGAGCAGCATATAACGCTTTTGCGGCACAGCCATGGGTATGCTGCCGAATTCCACGAGCTGTGGGAACGTGCGCAGCTGCACATGCTGGCCAGTGCCTCTGGGGAGAAGAGGATACAAAAGGATCGTGAGCTGTGACAATCACTCACTTAATGTGCACCTTGTGATGCGCTCCATTGACCACCTTAAAGCGCAGCGTGATGGTAAAACGTGAGGGATGCACCGTGTAGAAGGAAAGACTAAAGGCGCCACGGCAGCAGGGCTCCAGCAGGAGACCCTCAATGGGCGACACTCGCACGCCGCCCAGGTCCTTCTCCAGGGTGTCCTTGTACGCCACTTTGGCGGGCACAGCTGGGGACACAGACAACAAACTTTAGCAGCAGCTTCAGCAGCAGCTCCTCCTGCCACTCACCATCCACATTGAGTATCTTTATCTGCGCGCAATGCTCCTCCCCGAGGTAAATCTTGCGAAAATCAATCACTTTCGGATACAGCTCCACCTCAATGCCGCTTATCTCGCCCGAGACAACCACAAAATGCGACTCCATGCACTCTTCGGCATCCGTAAAGCAAAAGATAAGGCGCGTGCGCTGAAAGTACGGCGGCTCCGCATCGTCCGAGAAGGGTTCATTGCTGTCATACAGCGGCCTAAAGTTGATGACAATCTCGGCTGCGGACAAAGCCGGTATCGAGTGTGGCACAACGAAGCCAAAGTGCTTGGGGGCCGTCGCATTGTAGTTGACATTTTGAATGTTGGAATCCTCCTCAAAGTCGTAGATCAGCACGCTGTGCATGCTGACGGCCTCGTCGATCAGTTTGTTCGAGAAATGTGATGCAACGCTGTGCGTGGCGGACTCCACGTCACGCTGATCGCTGTCGAAGGTGCCTGACATCATGACCTCATGCGACGACTCATTGCACACGGTCACGGTGCGTCGCTCCTCGCGCGAGAACTTGGTCAGGCCAAAGGGCACGGTGCCGCCGCTTAGATGCACGCCCATGGACTTGGCGAGGAAATCGAAAATGATCATTTTGGGTGCCACTAGAAGAGGGGAAATTAAACTGAAGGAACGTGGCAAAGGTTCAACTCCGATACCCACTCACACCGAACTTGATGTTGAAGAAGCCTTTCAGCGACTGCAGCTTCTCCGCATGGAATACCAGCAGCACTTTGATGTAGTCCTTGGGCGGCAGCAGATCCTTGTTCAAAGTGTTCAAAGTGAGTCCGCGATTGGTGCTGGCAGGGGGAGAAAGCAATCCATTTGGGTTTTTAGCTGTGAACTCTGGATAAATACTTTCTGAAGCGCATGCGAATGCGTTCCTCTGTGGGATTGTAGATGATCATCTCATAGTAGGACTTATTGTTTGGCACGCAGCGTGGCAGGCTTATAAATTCACACAACGAAGGCTCCTCCAGCTTGTGCAGCACTGCGGGAGAGAGGATCTTGGATGAGTCTGTTGGATGAACGTCAAAGACCTACCTATAATCGGCACTTGAAAGATGATATTTGGGTGGTAAGACTCGATGTAAATGTGCCGCCTGCGATTGATATCACGCCAGCTTTTGGCACGTATCCAGATTTTCACCTCCAGCAGCTGATCGGTTGCCAGATAGCGATGCAAATCCGCTTCGACTATGGAAATGGAAGTGTCCACGCGGCTGTCAGTGCTCACACGGATCAAGCGGGGGTACTGCAAGGGAAAACAACACAGAGCTGTAGGTTAGGTAATCAAATGTTTAATGGGTTACCAATCCACTGTTCCTTATATTCAGCGTCAGTCCGTAGGTGTTGTTAATCTTGAAGCCCCGCTGGTGTATCATCAGTCGCGGCATTATGTGCAGCGAATCAACCAGGTTTGTGTAGTCGCTGTAGTCTATGGGTAAAGTGGTTAAAGATAAGTGTAAACACTAGCAAAGAATGTCCTCCAACTCACACTCTTTGGCTATGCAGCAGAAATTCGTTTTTGATTTGAGTTTTGCGCTCGGTTTGGGCACTTCTGAACCTTTTCTGCTTTCTCCTTGCTCCACATCTTCGTCTTCCTGTGGCGCTGACGCCTCATTGGCCACATGGTGTATTTCAATATCCGACATTTGTTCGTATGTCTTTTGCTATTTAAAAAAAAAGAAAAATATAATTTAAATTTGAGTTTAAATTCAAACGGCACGTTGCTGACGTTTTTTCAACTGTCTGGCAGCGCGCGGCGTACTCAGTGCAGTGGCGCCATCAGGCTGTCAGCGGTTGTTTATCGAACTAAGTATGCTTTGTCTTTTTTAAAGGCGCGAAATTCAAATGTGCTGCAGGCAAACCAAAGAAAACATTTTAAATTTCTGCTCACCCATTTTGTTTATTAGAGTTTCATACAAGGCATACATAGTGTATACATCTCATTTTCTCTGCAGCACATTTTATTTGGACCGAAATGTCCTGCCATCACTGCAAATGGTGGGGGCGAAAAAACAATTTCAATTTGGCAATGCCCAACGCAGCGTGAGACCCACAAAATGTCGAACGTGTTGCAGCCACAGCTGACCTCAGAGCCGCAGCCCCTCCCCCACACAAACCTCAGTTCTAGTTTCAGTTGCCCCTGCCCATGCCCCTCCCTCGCCATCTCCCGCTTCCATCTAGACTCTGGACGTAGAGCGAGAGCAATCCCAACCGCAGAGCTGCCAATGCACAACAAAGTCCGGCTGCTTGCCTTATTTATTTGTTGGTCCGTTTCGCTCCGTTGCCTGGCTTGCTCTTCCTCCCTTCGCCCTACTGCATTTGGCAAAGGACATTTCGTCCTTTTGTGCAAAATTAATGATATGGGCTTGGGTCTGTCCCAGGATGCCTATGCCTGAATGTTGTGCCTGTGGTTTGCCTTTGCCCCTCCTCTCTCTCACTATCTCTATCTCTCTCTCTCTCTCTCTCTCTCTCTCTGTCTCCTATTTGCCCATTTTTATTGTCAACGAGAGTCCGAAACTTGAGATAAAAATTTGCCCGGCAAAGCCAGGCGGCAACCACAGCAACCCGTACAAAGAAAATTGAAAGAAATCGTTTGGCCACAGAAGGGGTTTCCTCCAGCGAAGGATTTGCATGTGCTCCCAGCTCCGATGCTGTGAGTTCCATTGTTTGCCCAGGGGCGTGTCCTCGAAGCTGTTATCGCTGGCAAAACGCTTATAAATCACGGCACTTCACATGCAAACTGGGAAGTCCACCTCCTCCAAGCGGTCAGGGCACACAGATAACACATGTCCGCTGGAGAGCGGTCCAAAAATTGCAGCAGCCTTCAATGAAGCTTCGTGTAGCTGCTCCTACATGTTACTTTGATGGAAAACAATTGCCAGTCAGTGCCCTTCCCCAGCACTCATCACAGTTGAGTTGCCATTTTTATTGAGTACAAATTGGATGCCATAATGATGACAAAGAACAGCGACCCCAGTCAGAGTCCCATGCCATTCGCTAGATGACATTTTTATGACATCCAATCCGGTAGTCTGCGACTGATTGCTCTACGAGTGCGCTGCCATGGCTGGGTTGCAGCCTGGCCTGACCCTTGGCCAAAAGTGAACCTCGAGGGTTCAACGCAGCAGCAGCAGCAGCAGCAGCAGCGTAGGGTTTTTATTTGTCCGGCTTATGTGCTCCTTACGACTGTAAAGTGGCAATTCTTTAACAATTTATGTTGCCAAAAACCAAAGTCGAGTGTGTGCTGCCCGGTCTGGGGTTCTGCTTGCAACAGCTGGAACCCCACTCCCACTCCCACGCCGTTCGCTTTTGCTTTTTTTTTGTATTTTGTTGGTCCGTCGGCGGCTGTGAAATTTTCGTGAATTTATGAGCACTTGAGAGCAGGCGCCAACGCCAAGGGCAGCCCGTGCAGGCTTCCCCTTCCCTTTCGCATCTTCTTGGGGCGACTTTGTTGGCCTAGTATAAATTTCAGCTCGAACAACAAGCGAGAGAGAGGGTGCGGCGGCGGCAACATTTTAATGCGGCACGCGGTATATTTTTCTGTTTTTTTGTTGGTTTTTTTCTCTCGCTCGCTTCAACCCTAAGTGGCAGCAAACGGGGCAATAAAACGGTGGCTACGAATGTTATGAAAGGATTGTGTCGTAAATCGTAGGCAGACAGCAGGGGGGGTGGGGAGGGCAGGGAGAGACAGCAGTGGAGGCTGGAACGCTGAAGTGTTTGGCGGAAGTGGACGTCGCATAAAAATTAGTTTACGTGGCACATAATTCTGCATTAATTTCATTCGGAATGGCCCTCAAGAATGGACATGGCAGATCCAAGCAGCATGTGACCCAAAAACCACTTCGAGAACTGAATGTGAATGCGAATGCGAATGGGAATGGGAATGGCTTGCCAAAAACCACTCTGCCACATTTTAAAGTATCTGTCACATAAAGTGCACACAGGGGGGTGAGGAGAGCAGCGAGGGCAGGGCGCAGCAGGGCTGAGCAAGCAAAGAAAATGCAACAAAATATTTTGTTATGCTGTGCGCACAGGAAAAACATTCAAGCCAAAGAAACAAAGAAAACAAGAAAAGGAGAAAGCTAAAACTCTTTAGTCGAAGTCTTGGATGCTCTCGCTTGACCAGGGAGTATGTGCAGCAAGGAAAGGGTTTGACACTCTGCAAGGGCATAGCTCCAAGGAGGACACAAAAACAGCAACCAAAAGAAAAACAAATGCTTATAAAATGATAAGTTGCAGCTGCCTGAGAACGGGGAAGTCAAGTGAAATGTAGAGGCAACAGCAGCAGCAAGGACAGGAAAGGGAGCTGCCATCGACGATGTGTAGCGGAAATATTTTGTGTAAAATTATTGCGCCAAGAAAAAGAACAAGTACTCGTACTAGACATAGTTAATACCCCCCACTGTCATGATGGACATTGGTTGAGCTCATTTACGCCACCATTTGCATCACTTAGCATGGAGGCTGTGCGGTGGCGTATACGTGATATTTGTGTGGCAGTTGCAGGCTAGCGGGCAAACCGCACCAGCAGCTAATTAGTGTGACAAATTGCTAAGTTCAGAGCGCACAGGGACAGGCACCACAGTCAGGGGAGAGCAGCGTGGCTGTCAGGCCAATGCCGAATGAAAACTCATTAAAAATTTACAATTGATTGACTGCCCAATGTCCGGAGTCATCCGTTCGTTGCGAACGTGAATTTTGACAGTCTACAAGAGGGGACTGGACATGGGACACTGGACAGTGGACAGTGGACAGCTGCCACACAGAGACAGCAACAGCAACAGAAACGAAACGAGTGTCCATATGGCAATGACGATGGCCCCCACCCCACGTTGGCTCTGACTGATGCAATTTATGCTAATGCTCGTTAGTGAAATCAAACAGCAACAGCAACGGCAATGGAGCAACAATTGTGTAAACAACAGAGGCAGGCCCGTAAAGCAAACGCAAAAGCAATGTTCGTGTGTGCACAGGATGGCACGATGGCAGGATGGCACGATGGATGGGCTGGGCTGGACTGCAACTGCAACTGCAACTGCAACTGCATCTGTCGGTTGCACAAAATATTGACGCATATATTGGCAGTGACAATTAATCTGCTAATTGCCAATTTAAGCACGTAAACCAAACACAGGCGGTGGCAACGACATGGCCAGGGCGTGGCCAATGCCACAAAGTGGGAGACACATCGACAGGGCTCTCCATTTGCTTCACATATATATGTGAGTCCTGTGTCCTGTGTCCAGTGCCTTCACTTGAACTTGCATCCTGCAAGTGAATTTGATTCTGGCCATTTGATTTATGCGTGCCATGCACCCACTTGAGTACTTTTGGGGTAATTTGAGCTAATGAAAGTCAACACAGGCACATTCTGAGGGTGTACTGCCTCGATTGGCATATGAATAATCAGAGTTTAAAGCGAAACTCATAAATAAATTAGTTACGCTCTTGACACGACAACAAATTGATTTACATTCAGAGCTGGAGACAGGGCAGGAGGGCAGGAGGCAGTGAAGTGCCAGTGACTCCGGAATAAAACCGGAAACCCGACAGCATCCAGGCAAGCGGATGCAGCACAATGGTGAGCTAATGAGCACGCACTGCCTTCCGTTTTCCGCCCTTCGAGTGTAGCACAAAATGGATTTCATCTTTCTTGCGAAACTTTCTTTTCGCTTAGTTTGTCAGTGAAAGGAATTGTCAGCCAAATGCGCTCCATTGTTGGCAGTCCTGAAGGCTAAGGCACTGACGATTGTCGCAGCTCATTAAATCCACACAGCAAAAGGCAAGCCGCAAAAATCTCATCTCTTTTTTGCTCACACACAAAAGAGCTTTCCCCCTTTTCTATTTCCCATCCATGTTCAACTGTCCATCTCTGCCACATTCAAAATGCCATTAAAAGCATACTAAAATTAATTTGTGGCAATTAGTTGCAAATTGCAAGAAAGCAGAGCTTGGTCAGAGTCAAAGCAAACACAAAGCACAAGCGAGGCAAGCCGAAAAGGACAAGAAGGAGTAGCCAGCAGCAAGGACTTGTGTCTGTCTCTGTCTCTGGCCTGGCCACAGAGGAGAAATTGCTCAACATTTTTATGTGTTTTTTGCTCATTTAGAGAGCTGTCTATGGCCATGCCGAGCAAAATCATAAAAACCCACTGCCAATTGCCCACAGAGACCGAGCAGAGTGGAGCTGCGGCAGAGTGAACTGAAGAGGGAGCATAAATAAATTCTGTGTTATTTTTGGCAATTATTTTCACATTCGACTCACAGTCCTACTGTCTGTCTACCATCTCCAAGTGGGTCTGGAGTGTGGAGCCTCATGTGTAATTTGCAGCTAGTTTCAGCTACCGAGAGGCTGGCGAAACTTGAAGCATATTAGACTGAAGAGCAGGCGAGCAATCGGAGTTCCTCAGGGTATTTTCTCTGTCTAACACTGCTCCGTTCCATTGCTATTTGTTGCTGTGACGCCATTAATTAGCCCCCGAAAAACCTACTACTTCCAAATCCAACATCTCAAATCTCCAACATTCCATAGACATCTCGGTGCCGGCATTTGTCTTGACAGCGACAGCAGTGGGAGGAGGCATGACACATGTTGTCAGCAGGCGGCTCATCTTTCTTGCGGCACAACTATTCGCTTCGCTAATTGGAAAATGTCACAATATATTTTATT